CATGAACAGTACAATAACTAGAAAATCACAGATTCGAATTAAAACTAGTTGAGAACATTTAAAAGCAGGTTATTTCACTTGGAACCCTGAATAATCGACAGCCTGATTCTTGGTCAGAACAGGTCCCCAGTATTTGATGAGCTTGATTTTACCAGCTGTTAGCAATATTCAAGTAATATCAAGGTGGGGGACACCAGAAATTGGCTTCACACATTGTACCCATGTTGGGAATAAAATCTGGGCCATTAGTCGAGATATGGTTATTTACAAGTTCCTTGGACACAGCTTGAATATTGCAGACTGTTGCCCTAAACAACATTTACTCAACCAAGTCTCAGAAGTTATATGTTTGTTCATATTATTAAATTTGATTTGCAGCCTTTTATTTTGAGTGAGTGAGTATTGTTTTATGCCACTGTTAGCAATATTCCATTAATATCAAGGCCAGGGACTCAAGAAATGGGTTTCACACATTGTACCCATGTGGGGAATCAAACCTGGTCTTCAGTGTGACCAGCGATGCTTTAACCACTGGACTACCCCACCAGCCTTTAAGTCAATGATGTAAAGGCTCTCTATAATTCTTCATCAAAGGAATTCCATGCCAGATACATATAGTTATCATTGCAATGGAATCATGTTTGCACACAGTCTCTTCAGTTACTGTTCTGTTTCCGAGCCAAGTCTCAAATTCATCTCTCGAAGATTCATGGTCGTCAGCAACCCATGCTTGTCGTGAAAGGCGACTATCGGGGTCAGGTGGTCAGGCTGACTGACTTGGTTGATGCATGTCATCGTAACCCAATTGCGTGGATTGATGCTTATGATGTCAATCACAGGATTGTCTGGGCCTGACTCGATTATTTACAGACCACCGTTTTATACCTGGAATATTATGAGTGCGGCTTTAAACAAGAAAGAGCAAACAAACATAACTTTCAAATTCAAGGAATGCATACCTGTCAACTCTCACGCATCTCGCGTGAGTCTCACGCATTTATCATTTATCCTCACACGCAAGGTTGGGAAATTCTCACGCATTCATATAAAATGTAGATAAAAATATAATTTTTCAGAATACATGCTCTCTTAGGTAATTAAAATGGTCTTAAAATCTAACAGTCCCCCCCAACACACACACACCACCACCACCAGGCGGGGCATTCTATTTGATTAACTTCCTATGGTTGCTAAGCAACCTAACAAAATATTTGCTGCCAACATGACCAAAGGTACACTTCTCCAGCCCACACCACCCAACATCCACAATGATAAGTTTCACCCCATGATACACACTCTAGGTAAGAATATGCGTCCCTATCAACCTATGCTTGTGGTAAAGAGGCGACTAAATCGATCAGACTCGGTGACTCTTTTGATAACATGTCATCATATGCCAGTTAGGATCAATGCTCATGACATCAATCACTGGATTTTCTGGTCCAGACTTGATTATTTACAGACTGCCATCAAATAACTGGAATACTGCCAAGTGTTTGGGGAATACACAACAAACAAAAATAAACAAACACACCCTAATCAGGTCTCACGCGACAACAGGGAGGTGTTCTGCCCATATAACCCCACTGAACATCATGGTAAATCAGGCATGTCTTAGTTTCTACCACTTGCATATCAGTAATGCAAAAATACATGTGCAAAAATTCCAAGATGATTCTTAAGCCAAAGTGTTAGAGAGAATCCCCCACGGCATAGACTATGAATGTGAAAAAATGTGAAAACTTTCCATCTCATATCTTTAACATTCATTTGGCATGGTTAAAACAAAGAATATATATACTTATATATATATAAAGACATTCACAAAATTATCACAGAACACAGATTATGTGCTATATTACAGTAGTGAATCTCACTTATTTTTTTCTCATATATATAAGTTCAGCAATGTTACTAGTTGCATGTTCTTTGCCCAAATTCCAATGAAGTTGGGGCCTATTTTTACATTACTTCATTTACAGACACTTTTCTCAATGTGAGTGAGTGAGTGAGGTTTTACGACGCTTTTAGCAATATTCCAGCAATATCACAGCGGGGGACAACAGAAATGGGTTTCACACATTGTACCCATGTCGGAAATCGAACCCGGGTCGTCGGCGTGATGAGCGAACGCTTTAACCACTAGGCTACCCGACCGCCCCTTTCTCAATGTGAAGCCAAGGTCGTCAAAATGAAAAAAGAAATACATTTTCAAGATGTTTTCAGCATCAAAAAATGGAATGATAATCCTCCTTACACTGACCATGGTTTGGAATAGTTTTTCATCAGTAAGTTTGGTTTAACCCCCCTCTTAGCAATATTCCAGCAATATCACGGCAGGAGGACACCAGAAATGGGCTTCACACATTGTACCCATGTCGGGAATCGAACCCGGGTCTTCGGCGTGGCGAGCGAATGCTTTAACCACTAGGCTACCAGACCGCCCCCAACCTCATAAAGAAAGATGTTTGCAATAGCATTCATAAATGTTTCTACCCTAGAACAGGCTCAGCTAGTCAGCTACACCATGGCAGATATGAATGTGACCTCACAGACATAGCTCAGCATACAACTCCCAAGCAATGTATGAACATGTTAAGATATAAATTACCTGATGCTGGTTGTCATAACCTAGTAACTACCAGCTGGTGTAGGTGTGGGATTTGCTATTGCACAAGAGATGAGAAGCCTCCACCTACTGTGACCTAGCAAGACACTACCGTTGTACCAGTTCCAGCAGGCTCCCAGATGATGTGACAGTATCTTATTCATATCATGTACCATATCAATGTGCTGATCTGTGATCTGCCTTACTGATTAGCTCATATTCCTCCAATTATTTACCAAGTGTATGCACATGGCGGATGTGGGTCAATGGGACTCATATTGCTTGAATATTCATGGCAATTCCATCCTTTAGATGTCTGGAGCCATTACGTTTGGTTAACACAACACTGAACATTATTCCTGCTAAATAACAGTGGTATAGAAATACTGGAGTCTGGACCAGACAAACTAGTCACTGATAAAGTGATCACATGCTGTCAGGATACGATGGCACACAATCAACCAAGTCACCATTCTTGAACATCCAATCCATTGAGTCACAGAACTCACAACAAAGAGAGAGAGAGAGAGAGTTGGGTTTAACGCCGCTTTTAACAGTATTCCAGTTATATCGCGGCGTGTCAGCTTAATGTGGGAAGAAAGCCCAAAGTGATGCAGGTCTCAGACATTTACCACTTCAGTGAAACCTACGAGCATGGGTATGGTGCTGACAAACCTAGAAACATAATTTGGGCGAACCGGGATTCGAACCCACAATCATAGGTTTCTGGCGTGCCCAAGGGACGCAACTCTGCACAGCGAATCGACAACTGGGCCACCCGTGCCACCCGTGCCCCCCTCACAACAAAGACCAGCACAGGCTACTCGGGACCAATTCCAACCAGGAACCCCCACGGGGAGCTATTACAAGAGTGTCAAAACACCTCATCTATTAGGCAACACTTTGGGTGACAAAGTAGACACAATTTATGGATAACAACTTCTTTACCGGTGATTACCGTAAAGGCAATGTTTCAGTATAGATCCTCATACTGTTGGGTGGGTGAGTGAGTATGGTTTTACTCTGCTTTTAGCAATATTCCAGCAATATCATGGCGGGGGACACCAGAAATGAGCTTCACACATTGTACCCATGTTGGGATTTGTACCTGGGTCTTCAGCATGACGAGCGAACGCTTTAACCACTAGGCTACCCGACCGCCCACCTCATACTGGTGTCAAGCAAGACAACGACATAAGGATCCATACTGAAATGTTGCCTTTACAGCAATTAAAGAAGTTATCCATAAATGGTGTCCACTTTGTCATCTGTCAACTTCTAAGTAATGCCTATCAAACAACACTTTGGGTGTGTGGGTGTGGCATCTTAAGATTTTTGCTGACTCTACTGAAAATATATTTGTGTAGCTCAAGTTTTTCTTATTTCATTTGGCATGACGTTGTTTGTGTTGATAGATTTAGCAAGAAAAGATATATGCTATTACTGTGCAAAACCTAAGTATCTGCGAGTATAAACATGTTTATAATTATTGACTTCTGAGCTTATTTTCTCTTCATAAGAGTTTGACAGTGGTCAGAGAACAGATACAATGCACTTAATCATTTTCTGAATTAAAAAGATAATGGACACTGTATTCTTATAGGATTTTTGTAGTTATGTATATTTTCTTATCCATCAAAGAGAGAGCTGTCTTGCAAAGAAAAATAAATATTAAGTTGTTCATTTATCTTATGACTGAGCTTTTGAGTTTCAGTCAGTAGAATCCATAAACCGAAGAGAGAAGAAATGTGACTTATCTGTTAAACTACCGTATATGACCGCATATAAGCCGAATTTTGAGGACACGAAAAAAGATTCTGTAGAAAGGGGTCGGCTTATCCACGGGATACACTTTCATGATAGTATTTTTCAGATCGTGATCTGTCAGAAACATCGCCTGAATGACGGCCCGATAGATTACAACTTCCCGAAAGTTTGGAAGTTGCCATGACTAAAGCCATTATTGTTATAAATTATCAATAAAGTTATTATTATACACCAATGTTGTCATTATTTAAAAAATTTATGCATGTTACTACTTCCTATAATAATAACATAAATATAATATAATAACTTATTGTCTTTGATAACATTACACCAGACAACAACAAACTGATTACTTGTTCATAACTGACACCTAATCTTGTCATCTGGGAATTGGTATGTCTATGTAATATGATAATATGAACCTCCTTAGGGTGAAAACCCTCCATACTTATATATAAGTAGAAAAGCTGCATACTGTATAAAAAGAAAGTTTGATTTATGAAGATAAAATAATGAGAAATTTGTCGCCAAGAAACAAAAACACCATTAATTTATTACAGCAATATAATACCACCAACCATTGAGGAATGACGCCAGTGTTACTGAATAATGTGAAGTCAAAAGGTTATGGTGATAAAGTATTTTAATTCATATTTTACATGTAGTATTTAAGCATGTTAAGTAAGAAAATAATATAAGCAACACCAACAAAAAATAGCATGGTGGATGTGCAAAGCTATCAGATGTCTTTCTGAAAACAGAACACATTAATTACAATAAATAAATTATTTTATGACTTTTACACTACCAAAACCAATGACCTTTTCAAGATGGAACTACAGAGTTAGAACTTAACCTGAACGTTTGACTAGCCCGGGTAAATTTTAAAATTGCCCTTGTATTGTTAAGACAATAGGGAAAATGGGAAATTTTACTAGTCAACAGGAATTTGTACTAGCCCCAGGCGAGCAGGCTAGTGTTAAGTTCAAACCCTGAATTATATTACATATAGTTGTTCGTCATGCAGCAGATTATGTTGCATAAACATAGCCTGGTCATCACAGCGTATAAAGAAGGTAATGACTCTTATGTTATCTCCAACCCGCCATTATGGTATTACAACTGCTTCCTCTCAGCCCTGCAAAATGAGAGAACAGAGGCTCCAAAGTTCTGCACCATTTTCAACGTCTGTATCATGGCAACCTGTTGCTATGACGATGTTCACCAGTCATCATCACTGCTGTCATTATCCCCACCACGTATGGTCTTCTTCGCCTTGCTTTGATGCAGGATGTTCTTCTTGCTGCTGCCATCCAGAGTTGGTGGGTTCATCAGGTCGCCCTTGTAGTTGATGATGTCGGCACACCCCAGCCTCCATTCCAACATCTCAGTTGGGAATTCGTCTGTATTACCCAGATCCCCAAAGCCTACAATGTAGTCCACGGTCTTGCCATCCTTGGCAATACACAAAGTGGGCATAACCTTTATGCGAAGACGCTCCACCAAGAAATGACATTTTTCAGCGTTTATTTTGATGAATTTGGTTTCTAAGTGCTTCTTAGCTATGATATCGAAATGTTTGTCCACGATCTTGCAGCGAAAAGTGCTTTCCCTGTAAAAATGGCATACAACTTTCTTGCTTTTTTTGCACTCTTCAAAGAATTCCTTCTCATTTGCAACTTCGGAATAATCACCATGACCCTGTGCCAGCCATTCCTGTTTCTGCTGAGATGCTTTTTTCATGGCTTCCATTCTTCGTCTCTTCAAAGCCTCGAAATCGTCATCGTCCATCTTTTCCAATTTTTCTATCTCAGCATCCACCTGGCCTTCAACGACCTTGGCTGCTTGAAGCAGCTGATTCTCAAGCATGTTAGCCATGGTCACAGCTGTAATGAGAATAAAGCAATGGTCAAGATTCAGTTTGATAGTAAATGGGTAACTACACAATAGGACACAAAGACATAGCATATCCATTTGGAAGCATACTAATCTAATGTATAATTTTTTTTATAAAACTTACATCATTTGGTGACATGTTATCAACAAAAATAACATAATTTACTAGTTCTTGGCTAATAAACATAAATGTTTTCCCAAATTATTTTCATCTATTTTCTTATTTCAAGTGCAACCCTACTTCTCCATAAGCAGTATTAGTGCCATAACTGATACTGTCATTCCCATTCTAAAATTATTTTCAAAGATGGAAAGAGCAGAATTGGAATACAAATCCATCAACAGCAGTCAGCCATCTTTGAAAAACACACTGTTTTAGCCCTTGTGTTGTGGCCTTTATCCAACTTAATGAGCTTATTATATAATTTGGGTGTCTTTATGAGGAACTATTCAACTCTGTTTGTTTTTTGTTTTGTTTGTTTGTTGACTAACGCCACACTTCACCAATATTCCAGCTATATGATGGCATTCTGTAAATAATCGAGTCTGGACCAGACAATCCGGTGTTTGACATCATGAGCATCGATCTACGGAATTGGGATACAATGGCATGCAATCAACTAAGTCAGCAAGTCTGACCACCCAATCCCGTTAGTCACCTCTTACGACATCCATAGTCGCTTCTTAAGGCATACATGGGTTGCTGAAGACCTATTTACCCCGGATCTCTTATTCAACTGTGTCTTCTGACATTTAGGGGAAATGTACAGAACTCTAGAAGGTTCTATGTTGCATGGTTGGCATTATTGAGGCACTCAGGCAGGCCTCAAGGTTGCACTCGAGTCTAGAATGAACATTATAATAAAACACCTTGGTTACAGTTTCCTGTTAACAAAACCAGTTCTGAGACAGGTATGTGGTTGATAGTGTGAACAACAGTGAATGCAATCATGTCAAGATTTCACACAATCAACAACTGCTTTTCTTGAATGACAAATAATACAACCATTACCACAGCAATCGCGATAATGGCACATAATTAGGCCTATATCACAACAACACAAAATACATTTCCATGGCTCTATATATGTGCCAAATAATCAGTTGATGGTAACACTAAATTTGAGTAGTGAGTAATTCGCTGTTCAGTCAGACCGATAAATTTACCTCTTTTCGATTAACGTCTAAAAGTCTGAGAAAAACAGGACTATCTATACACTCGTAAGAAATGTTTTTCAGGTTCCCTTGCTTTACCTGATAACTCACACTGTTTCGACGATTAATTACAACTTGAACTTTTCACTTTAGAATCTCAATACAAAACTGTCGTCACTCCAGACTTCCGGTATGTAGTGCAGCCGTAAAAGGGATGTAAAAAGACCTGTGATTGGCTTAAGCGTTTCCTGGGACCAATGAAATCTCACATTACAGCAAACGCATATATTCGAGCACATGTTGTACCTTGTCAGTTGCTATGATGGCCAAATAATAACACAGTTACAAATGGACATTGTGATCGCCTGTAATCCGATTAGTTTAATTGAAATAGAAAATAATTCGAACCTAATTGTGCAATTAATGTGTTTTTTTAAAAGCTTACCAAATAAACAGACCTTGAAATTAATACATAATTACGAAATAAATTCAATAGGGTATTCATTCTTGTTTTTATCAATGTATTTTAACGGTTGTGAGTTTGAGTTACAACTAAAAAAAACATAGATTCTATAAATTTATAGACAAAGAATGAAATTAAATGCGACAAAGCGATACGTTTCCCTTTCAGGAAGCCTATAAATTGTATACATACACTGTAATTTAAAAAAAAACAACATCTAGTATATCTATTGTAGTAATAACTGGATTGTCTGGTCGAGACTCCATTATTTACAGACCGTCGTCATATAGCTGGAATATTGCTGAGTGCGGCGTTAAACAACAAACAATACAATACAAATAATACACTCTTATAGAAGTATACAGCATATTTATGGGACAATATAACTCCTTGTATACTGAAGACGTTCAACAGCTAACGGCTAAAATCTTGTCATTCATGCGTAATAATTCAACACACATGATGTAATGTATTCAAAACATTACTACACTATTTACGTATGTTACAATGATAAAGGACACTAAGTTCATCGGAAAAAAAGAATGTATTTATAAAAATACTGTGGTCTGATAAAGTAGAATACGTCATGTAATTAGATATGTGCACGAGCTGATATCATCTAACACACACTGCCTGCAGTGTGACGAATGTAACATTATTGGATCCTGACACGTTGTCGTTTCCTTATGTACCATCGTCTACAATCTAATTAAAATCATATCTAAGTGAGTGAGTGAGAATGGCTTTACGCCGCTTTTAGCAATATTCCAGCAATATCACGGCGGGGGACACCAGAAATGGGCTTCACACATTGTACCCATGTCGGGAATCGAACCCGGGTCTTCGGCGTGACGAGCGAACGCTTTAACCACTAGGCTACCCGACCGCCCTAAAATCATATCTAAGTTCTCGCTGCCGCTTTGTTTAGCGATAGCGAGAACTAAGATCGGATTTTAATGAGATTGCATCGTCTACAGATGGCAATCTTATCAACTGATGGTGCATGCCTTATGTCATATAATAATATGACGATTATCTTCCATGCATCAGATCACATAATATATTTCACTATGCATGTACGAACAGAATCTATATATAGAACTTGTACATACGAGGGGCGTTCAATAAGTTTTGCAACTTCAATATAAGACCAAGTCGCAGAATATCTTTTACACTTTTATTTTTCAATAGAATCTCCATTCACCTCGATCAATACACTTATTCCATTTGTCCTTCAAGATTTTAATTCCACTTTTATAGAAATCCGCAGATTGGCTCTCTAACCTCTGTGGCAGCCTTTATGTCCTCGTCATCCTGGAAGTGTCTTCCACGGGCAGATTTAATTTGCTGGAACAGGAAATAGTCACTGGGGGCTAAGTCTGGGCTGTAGGGTGGGTGATTTAACTGTACAGCCCATATAGAGATTGCGACAGTATATGTTCTCTTATGTAATCAAGGAGTTTTTGTATATTCTCCCTGATGTAATTTATCCATGAAATAGATTTTCTATTGCTTTCCTGTCAGAACTGGAGGTGGCGGTAACTTTCATTAACACGGAGATCACGTGCTGATACTTGGCGTTCCACAAAAGCGATCTTAGCGCTACGATTATCGTAAGCCAGTGTTAAAGTATGGGAGTTAAGATCACCTTAGCACTAAGAAGGCTTTGTGGAACGGGGCCCAGCCCCCCCCGAACGTTTGCTCATGCTATCAACCACTGGTCTTTCTGGCCCAGATTCGATTATGTTCAGGCTGTAGTGAGGTACATGTAGCTGGAATATTGCTGGATGCACCTTTAAAATAACATTACTATCCTTTGTATGTAAACACGTGTTTCAATATGCAACACACACACGGATGCAACAGATCATCTCTAAGAAGGCCATATTTGATTGATCTCGCCTCACGACCAACACGAACCCCCGCCTAACATAACCAATCATTCATGTTTCGTGAAGCTTTATCACATCCACCGATAATTACGGTATACGCGATGCTGACGAGTTTATTTTTTTAATAAATCACATACCATGCAACCGTCGTACTTAAAAATAAAATCAAGAAAATCTAGAAAAAAAAGAAGGTTTATTGTGGCCTTATCCATATCCAAAAATTATCTGTCGTGGAAAAAATATTTTCTATAGATATCAAATACAGTTTGGTGTGGTGTCAACAAGGGTATGATGTGACGTCACAAGGAATGTTGTTTATTCTAATGTAGTTGTTAATTCCGAGGGTACTTGTTTTATATATTTTTATATGTAATATGTGCTCATTAGGGATTCTTACGGGAACAAACATCCGAACGTTCATTCATATAGCTATTTGTTGAATAAGTCACTTTAATGAAGGACTCAAAAGTGCTTAATTTAATTGATAATAATTTTCAAAGAAAAAAGCATTCGGGCCCGCAATGAAAAACCTCAAACAAACAAAAATCTCTGTAAAACAAATCCTCTGCCTAAGCACCAAAAATCAATCCATTATAGAGATACAGAGTTATCTCCCTTCTCGGGAGGTGGGATTGATTCCGGTATTCATCGTACAGCTCTTTACTTCTTGTTAAATGATGAATTATGAACAAGTTACTACGTGCAGATATATTTGTCGTCATCCTGTCAATTATCAGCAATAGTGCGTATGCAGGTGCGTGTACAGTGAATAGCAACGATAAGATGGAGAGGTGATGAAAACGGCCACCACCAACAATGTAGTTGATCCAGTGATTAGCTTGATCACACTGTTGGTGTTAAAACTAGTGTTACTTGTTACTATGAATACTGTCTTATTATTGTTCCGCATTTATAAAGTTATTAATTTCCTGTGGGATATGGATCAGAAGTCAAAATTATGTCATTTATTTTTCTCTGAGTCTGAATGTTGTGGTTGTATATGTAAGCAAGGATTATATCCTACCTAAATATTATCCCAGGGGAGGTTTTACTCTAGAGTATAGTATCCTACCTTAGAGTGGGAAATCTGGGATAGGTTATTACCAAAAATAAAGGGTAATTCATCCCAGTGAAACATACCTAAGTGGAAATAGGAAAATGTATCCTGGGATAATATACACTAACTTGAATCAGTGTATATTATCCCATGACAGACTTCCTTTGCACATGCATTCATGCTGTCAGCTGATCACATGACTTCATGACTTTTAGGTTTGACATTGACATTGTCAGTTGATTTGATCAACCATGGATGGAACAGAGTATTCCAAAGTATTCAATTACTTAAAGGACAAACATATACAGAAAAGTTTAACTTTAAACAGAATAAAGCTTGTGTTGCTTTGAATTGATTGTTCAAATGTAAAAATTCACTAGTGTATCCGATCCTAGGATAAATAAAACTAGCAATAGGTTAAAATTTCTAGTGTTATTTATGTTGTTTCTTGCATTTTCATCATGTTTGGTTGGGGTGTGGGGTGAGAAATGAAGGGGGGTGGGGGGGGTCCCAGGGATAAAAAATAGAGTAGTATAATATTCACTCTTACATATACGCTATAAAAATAATTAGTTTATTAATTATAAAAATTGTTATATGTTTAGTATTTCTATTATTGTGTGATTAATACTGTTGTAGTTTTCACTATCATTACTATTTGTATAATAAATATATCCCCTAAAATTAACTGGCTTCCACAGGAATGATTACCATGAAATTGCATCACAATGCTTTACATACCATTGGGATGTCATCGGTTGGCATGATGTCAGAACCAAATGGCATCACTAATCTCTCTGCCACGGAAGCTGGTCAGCTGTACTTTTTACACTCAAAACACTGGTCATGAATGAAAAAAGTAGGAAGAATGAATTTGGATGATAAATAGAATGTATATGTGTTCTGATATAAAATATATCAACATCCAAGCGATATCTCCTGGGAAGCCAATTTGGACAATAAATTTTGGTCACAGCAGAATTCAAACTCTTGTGTGAATGCTCCTAAGACATTCCAAGCCAGTCTATTGCTGATTTGAAGAAGATGAACTGAGAATCATAGCCTAAAAGTCAAGCACACAGTGTTATGTGATGAATGAGTGAATTTGGTTTAACACCACTTTTAACAATATTATACCAATATGCATTACCCTTATGCTTTTTTACCCGTGATGATGCAGGGTAAAATAGGTCTTCAGCAACCGATGCTTGTCGTAAGAGGCGACTAAATGGATCAGGTGGTCAGGCTCCCTTACTCGGTTGATGTATGTCATATCCCAATTGCGTGGATTGATGCTCATGATATCAATCACTGGATTATCTGGCCCAGTCTCGATTATTTGCAGACTGCCATCATATAGCTGGAATGTTGCTGAGTGCAGCGTTTAACAATAAACAACAAACATCATGCTACCCACAGTCCCATCAAATTTAAGAATCAAGAAGTGGTGTGTTCTATATCTACACAATGATGTGTTCTATATCTACTCTATTAGGACCCTGGGTCCTTTAACTTAGCATAATATAACAGAGTTCCCGCTGGCTTTTGAAACTGCCAGTTCTAGTGGACTGGCAGCTCTACTAATTACCAGTCCCCTCCCTAATTTTTGCCAATCCCAACTTTCAACAAATAAAAAAATGTATGAAAATTACCTGGGTTTCATTCTTTCAACATGTTCAGTGCAAAAACGTCATCTCTGAAGTTACTTAATTAGGTCTATGCATCATTCACACTAACTAACAATCACAATTTTCTCCTTTTTTTTAAATATTTCGAGACAAAGTCACAACAAATGGATATTTAACCTCGAAGCAATGTTATTTCCGTACAATAAAAAAAGACAAGGGGAACCCTGATGGTAACAGACAAGCTGACTTCAGTCGAAAAATGTACTTATATGAATATCTCCAATGTTTTCTTCAACAACAAAGATTAATAAGGTTTATTTTATTTGCCGGTCCAGAGGGACTGGCAGTCACCTGAATTACCAGTCGAAAGCCTAATTTTACCGGTAAAAATCTGGTAATTACTGGTAAACGGGAACACTGTATAATAATCTATAGAATTTTCTATCACACAATGAATTTTGCTGTTAGCTATTTTACTTACAAGGACACGCCCTGAAAAGCTAGTGCCAAGTTTCATCCCTGACTTCTGATTACAATTTAATGTATAGGATTTACAATGTATAAACTTGTTTCATTTCATACACCTTTCTGTTGATACCTATTTATTTGTACATGAAAGTCCAAATATTTTCTATAGGGCATACATGTAACAGCACTTAGCAGAAAAGTAATCATTGTATCTTAAAAGGTGTTGGGGGTTCTCAGTTGGTGTTAAAATTGTTATCAAGTTTCACAGTAAAAACGTTTGTTGTTTACAGGTTTATCCAAGCCGAATGTTCTGTTCATTGCCGTTGATGATTTGCGACCATCACTAGGTTGCTATGGCAACAGTTTGATGGTCACGCCTAACATTGACAACCTGGCCAGTAAATCAGTGTTGTTTAATAACACGTTTGTACAGGTACGTAGGGGAATTAATGACCCCATTCTTTCATTAGAAATTTATTTTCATGAAAATAAATATCATCTTTTGCCTTTTCTCATCTAACAAAGTGATAGGTGAACTGATTTTATTAAATATGGTTATTTTGAACAAAACTGTTTCTTGTTAATATTTGTTAATTCAAACACAAAATATTCTTCTCCTTTTTTTTCACTCTTTCTTTTTTAGGTACCTGCACAATCTTTGGGTATTACCACATTTCAAAGAGACAGTTTGATGGACAGTTTAGTTATTTTACAGACATATTACTATTAGGGCTGGGACGGGTAACTTGGGTACTCGGGTCAGGTGGGTACTGATCAGAACCCGGGTACCCACAGGACTACCTGGACCCGTGGTTAGTCATGCGATATATTGTTTAATGACAAAACTTATCTAAAACTCAATGGTCACACTACAAGTCACTAATGAACTTCATGCAGTTGTAGCAGGGCGTGGAGTCATCCCACAGATGACATCCTTACCTTGTAAGCTTGCTGACGGGGTTAACCTCTTTGGTCATGTGGACAAGGCGTCCGACCTGTGATCAGAAGGTCCGTGGGTTCGAATCCCATCACGGGACTCGGAAATTTTATGGCCATTACATTGGCGCCCAACGTGGGGCTGAGCACGTTCATATTAAATTTGAGCAAAATAAGCCTCAGTACCCTACTATGCGGCCCGGGACGTGCCTTCTGTTGACGGGGGAGTATGTAGCAGGGCGTGGAGTCATCCCACAGATGACATCCTTACCTTGTAAGCTTGCTGACGGGGTTAACCTCTTTGGTCATGTGGACAAGGCGTCCGACCTGTGATCAGAAGGTCCGTGGTTCGAATCCCATCACGGGACTCGGAAATTTTATGGCCGTTACACAGTCACCTTCAGTGTATGCATGAACAGTTGGTTTTACACGTGTATCTAAATACATTTTGCCAGGGCTACGGTCAAACTTTACCCAATTGGACAGTTTGAAGTGATCTCTTGAGACCTACAGCAGGTACCCGGGTAGGGTCCGTTAATAGGTGGGTGGGTACCCGGGTAGTAAATTTTGACTCGTCCCAGCCCTAATACTATTGCAGTGTCAACATTGGACTTTGATAAATCTTATCTATGTAAATTGGTTGTGACATGGGTGCCAGAAGGTCATGAACTTTCTATGTTTGCATTCTGAATAAGTTATGAACTTGTTGAAATGATACAAATTTGTTAACATAACCTTCTGACCATTACAATTTGGTATGAATTTCGTATGTTTGTTTTTGTAGATGTATAATTTAGTCAAAATAAAAATCAAGTTGAGTACGTCATTTTGTTTTTCCTTAAATCCAAATATGACATTTTGAAGCTGTACAACATCTTGACTGAACTTATCTTGTAAAACCATTACTTCAAAAAACATTTATTTAATATTCTTTCTACAAAATATGTTACTTTAACTTATTAATTTCCCCATTTTTAAAAATGTTGGGGTGAATGAATGTTGTTTTGCATAGCTGTCTGGAGTATTCGAGCTACGTCACAAGCATCAGTCAACCAGACTAAACAAGGGTGGTTGGTATGAGCTGCAAAGTACAGTGACACCTACAGTAACCATCTGATCCGCATTTTAGTTAACTCTTTACACATTCAGTGGATACTGCCCCAGTATCTCCACCTTATTAAGGAAAGTATTCATTTAAAAGATAAACATACTTTCAGATATATGTGGGGAATGTTTTCCAAAGCAAGGGATTGATGAGGACACTGGTTCACATTCCATCTTCCTGAGGCAAGGGAGTTAACTGACTATAAACCCTTGCCAAACTAGACTGGTATTTTGCGGCTCGATTGTAGCCCCACCAGTGTCTATGACAAGTTATGTCCCTTCTATGCCCCTCCTATTGACCAATCAGATTCCACCTCTCATATGACTTGCATCTCTTTCAAACAAAATGACAGCACCCAGTCAAAATGATCTGATCAATAATCAAGATCTATATTGTAATAAAATGAGTCTTACCTTGTGAAGTGCATCAAGTCAGTTGAGCACCTTGATTAAGAAAATGAAAAGATTTGGAAAATATCTGTTGATGCCCTGGTGACGAACTAGATATCTTTTCTGTTACACAATTTTGATTGGACTATGCATAGACTCTAGTCCAGCCAAAACATTACTCTGACATTCCAGCCTTGTTCAGCAAGGCTGGAAATTGGACATTTATAGTCAGTTAACTCCCTTGCCTCAGGAAGATGGAGACATGCCAGTGAACATGATCATGAATTTCAAAATGTTACTGGTCCTGTGTAAACTTTTGTTTAACACATAGGCAGGATACATCGTACTGAGTGAGGTTCGTTGTGAATTATTAGTGAAATGTTTCTGTGGGACCAATGATATCTCTAAGGCACTGGTCCTGTTGGCTCCATGAAGACAATGACATTTGTTGAACCCTAAAGCTTAGGGTTTTATAGTTAATATTAAACTTTAAAATCTTCACTACATGCATGTGTTCCAGCAAGCTCTTTGTGGACCTAGCAGGACATCATTTTTGACCAGCCGACGACCTGACACAACCCGCCTGTACGACTTCTACTCCTACTGGCGTAAGGCAGCCGGCAACTTCACAACACTGCCGCAGCACTTCAAGCAGAATGGCTACTTCACACAGTCTGTCGGCAAAGTGTTCCATCCAGGTAGGGCTAGAGGACATGTTGAAGAGATAGGGACAAGTTGAACACAGTGGGAAGTGTAGAACACCTTGGGACATGTGGAACACTTAGGGATGTGTTGAACATCTAGGGACATATAGAACACCTTGGGACATGTGGAACACTTAGGGATGTGTTGAACATCTAGGGACATATAGAACACCCTGGGACATGTGGAACACTTAGGGATGTGTTGAACATCTAGGGACATATAGAACACCTTGGGACATGTGGAACACTTAAGGATGTGTTGAACATCTAGGGACATATAGAACACCTTGGGACATGTGGAACACTTAGGGATGTGTTGAACATCTAGGGACATATAGAACACCTTGGGACATGTGGAACACTTAAGGATGTGTTGAACATCTAGGGACATATAGAACACCTTGGGACATATAAAACAGCTAGGGACGTGTTGAACATCTTGGGACATATTAAACAGCTTGGCACATGTTGAACACCTTAGGACATGTTGAACACCTTGGGACATATAAAACAGCTAGGCACATGTTGAATACCTTGGGACATATGAAACAGCTAGGGACGTGTTGAACATCTTGGGACATATAAAACAGCTAGGCACATGTTGAACACCTTGGGACATATGAAACAGCTAGGGATGTGTTGAACATCTTGGGACATATAAAACAGCTAGGGACATGTTGAACACCTTGGGACATGTTGAACACCTTGGGACATATAAAACAGCTAGGCACATGTTGAACACCTTGGGACATGTTGAACACCTTGGGACATATAAAACAGCTAGGCACATGTTGAACACCTTGGGACATGTTGAACACCTTGGGACATATGAAACAGCTAGGGACGTGTTGAACATCTTGGGACATATAAAACAGCTAGGGACATGTTGAACACCTTGGGGCAAATAAAACAACTAGGGACAATGTTGAACACCTTGGGACATGTTGAACACCTTGGGACATGTTGAACACCTTGGGACATATAAAACAGCTTGGCACATGTTGAACACCTTTGGACATGTTGAACACCTTGGGACATGTTGAACACCTTGGGACATATAAAACAGCTAGGCACATGTTGAACACCTTGGGACATATGAAACAGCTAGGGACGTGTTGAACATCTTGGGACATATAAAACAGCTAGGGACATGTTGAACACCTTGGGGCAAATAAAACAACTAGGGACAATGTTGAACACCTTGGGACATATGAAACAGTTAGGGACATGTTGAACACCTTGGGACATATTAAACAGCTAGGCACATGTTGAACACCTTGGGACTTGTTGATCACCTTGGGACATAAAACAGCTAGGCCCATGTTGAACACCTTCGGACATGTTGAACACCTTGGGACATGTTGAACACCTTGGGACATATGAAACAGTTAGGCACATGTTGAACACCTTGGGACATATGAAACAGCTAGGGACAATGTTGAACACCTTGGGACTTGTTGATCACCTTGGGACATATAAAACAGCAAGGGACATGTTCAACATCTAGGGACAATGTACAACAGCAAGGGACAATGTTGAACACCTAGGGATGTGTGAACGGCTAAGGACATGCAGAATAGCTAATAACAGGAACACCTAGAGATGTGTGGAATGGTTAGGGACATATTTAACATCTAGGAACAATGTACAACATCTAGGGACAATGTTGAACACCTAGGGATGTGTGGAACACCTAAGGACATGTTGTCCATTTTGGTGCAGAAAAAAATACTCCTTCTATAACTATTAAAGGAGAAATTGTACCAATAAGGTGTTCAGGACGAAAGTCTAAGTGGCATGAGTGTCTACCTGTATCATTCTACATGTGTGTCACTACGCAGGTGTGTCATCCGGCCACACCGACGACTACCCCTACAGCTGGTCCGTCCCCGCCTACCACCCCCCAACACAGGCATACAAGATGGCCAAGGTATGTGTGTGTTTATAGGTTACTTGTAGATGTTGACGTTGACTATCCAGGGCTTGAAATTTCTGGATAGAAGTTCATGACAGTAGTTCATGATAGTTGTTCATGATATTAGTAGTTCATGATATTGGTTCATGATAGTAGCGTGCAGGTATGTTCATCAATTTCCGAGCCAGGGTTTTATCTTGACTTACAAAAGTTTGAGTCCAGGGGACCTCAGTAATTAATTGCAGCCTTGTGTTTTTCATTGAACAGCAGTCTTCTTCTTGTCACATTTAAAGGGGTCCAAGGTCAATTCCCAGAGACTACTAGCTCAAACATGGTTTTAGCATCATTGTCAGTAGATTTTAGTGTTATTACATGGGCTATTATTAGCTTAGCTTACTAGACTGTACAGAATTTGCTAGACTGGGGCTTCAGGCTAGTGTATTTTTTTTAGAAAATTGCAAAGCACTAACACATTAATTTTTGGGGACATTTTTTTTTCAGGTTGAAATAAATATTTGATCTGACATTGTGTTGGTAAGTTGAGTAAAGAACAACGTTACTGCTGAATCTGTTTATAATGGGGGAGGGGAAACACTGCAAATCACTGTGCAGAGTTGCATCCCGAAGGCATGCCAAAAGACAATGTTCACAGGTTTGAATCCTATTTTGCCTTATTACAACCCTGCCCTAAAGGGGGTATATAGTTATACCAAGGGATTCTGTCCGTCTGTCCATCTGTCCATCCTTCTGAAGACATTTTTTGCGTGACCTATTACTTGAAAACAACTGGTGAACACTTTCTATACTCAAAAGAGGGTGCAGTGTGAAGTTTGATTTCAAAAATTTTGATTTTCTGAAAAAACCCAAGTAATTTCTCATTTTTTTGCTTTTTTGAATATTTTTCTTTACCTTTGTGAGACCTATAACTTGAAAACTACTTCATGGATTCTATTCAATTTGGGGTACAGTATCTATACCAAGAGGAGAGGTGCAGTGCAAAGTTTGATTTTGATAAGTGGATTTTATGAAAACATATTGCTTATTTTATGTTTTAACTTAAGAAATATGTTTGAGTCGAAGTCAGGGGTATTAGTGAGCCCTGCTCACATTTTGTCCAATTACAGTTTTGGGTTTACCCTTGTTTCTAGTCCAGTTTTCAACCTAGCTGACCTGGCAGCAATATTTTAGATAGGAGTTTAGTCCATTACTCAACCAATTATGCATGAATCATTTGATAGCCATCATTATTTGGGTGTGCAGTAGATGATGTTTTTTTCTGGTTTGATTTGTAGTCCACCAATTAACGGCTGGCTGCACTTTTAACTCAACACAACAATATTCTTTTATCATGGTGTTACTTGATACACATTTAATGTTGCTGTGAAAGCAGCATGTTGTACATTTCTGACCTCTTTTGACCCATTGTTTATTATGTTGCATATATTAAAAATGGCATGTATGCTATGATTCATGGCTCTTATCTTTCATTTTATATTTTGACCTCATTTTGAAGACAGGTCCTTGAACTGAATTCCATAATTGAAAAAAGAAGATCTCAGATGCTTCCATGCTACTGGTAATATAATGCTCAGAACAAGTTAAGGAATTCACATAAATGTAAGGCTGTGTGTTGTATGACAGATTAACTATAGTCATATGAAAACATTGGTGTTCTTTAACTGATTTTGTTTAGTATACATGGTTAGGGAAAATAAGCAACATTTCTAACATCAACTTGAAATAATTAACGTTACAGTTCATAATTAACAACTCTAATTGTCATATCTTGGAACTACCGTATTCAACGTGATAAGCGCCCGCTCTAATAAGCGCCCAGGGCGATATTTGCTAATATGTTGGCTGGTGAACAATCCCAATTAGCACCCCTTCCAATTGATCTATGTACACAAGACTTATTTATTCGTGTATAATACGCACTCATGTGTTATGTGCACCCATAATTATGGGCAATTAAATTCTGGAAAATATATTTAGTATATAAACATTTCAGGCTGTCAGCTTAAACCACGAAATGTACGATCTTTCACCAAAATAGTATTCTAATAAGAGCTCCCTATATTTAATTTTGAGAAGCCCTGGGCGCTTATTATGGCGAATATGGTAAATGTGATCGCTATCATCATGAACACAGGTAAACAAGATAATGAAATACAATGAAGAGTGTGTCTGTTTGAAAACCTTCCCTGGTGTGTTGATGTTGATAATGCTTCGGCTCCTTTTGTAATATGTGTGGGACATTTTAGTGCAATGGTGATATGACTTGGGTGTTATTCTTATAGAAAGAGCCTTTTTGAGGTTGTAAACATTTTCACAATTAAATTTAATAGGATGGATGGGGTATGTCTCAAAACTTTAAAAAATATTTTTTTTATCAGATATCACACTTTGTTAACATTTTTGCTATTAAATTTAATAGGAAGGATTGGGGTATGTCTGAAAACTTAAGGAAACATTTTTTATTAGGCACTGCTTCTGAGGTCACCACCTGGGAAGACTCAGCTGTGACCAGGCAGACGGCAGATCACATTCAGCCACTCTTCCAGAATCATTAATAATAAACACTGCCATCATATATAAATGTAAAACTGTGCAACTGGAGGAAGGCTGGGACACATGAAACATTGTTAACATAAAACAAATGACTCATCATATTAACACAAATGATCATTGTCCTTTCAGATAATCCTTGCCAAAATGCTTCTACACCCATCCTTCATATATTAGATGCTCTACCTAGAAACAAGGCAACCCGATATCAGATACCGTATTCGACGTAATAAGCGCCCCGCTCTAACAAGCGCCCACGGCGATATTTGCTAATATATTGGGTAGTGAACAATCCCAATTGGCACCCCTTCCTATTGATCAATGGACACAAGACTTATTTCTTCGCGAATAATACGCACTCGTGTGTTATATGCACCCTTAATTATGGGCAATTAAATTCTGAAAAAATATATCTGTCGTACATAAACATTTCAGGCTGTCAGCATAAACCATGAAATTAATCTTTCAACTCTGTTTTTTTTCACCAAAATAATATTCTAATATGAGCCCCCTACTTCTAATTTTGAGAGCGCCCTGGGTGCTTATTACGTTGAATACGGTAATACTAATGTCATGGAATTATCAGCACAAATCATGATCCTCCATTGGTAAAATCCAGGGTTGCGTTCCATAAAGTGATCTTAGCACTAAGACTGTTGTAAGTCTATGTTAAGGTATGGAAGTTCATCTAAGTGCTAAGATCTATTAGTGGAATGGCACCCTAGCATGTCAAGATTGCAAGTACATGTAGCATTCATGCAAGTTTCTGATGTCTGAGCCAAAATTTTGAGATGTCTATAGTGTAACCTTGTTAGTCTGGAACCTGTTAATCCAGAAACACTATGTTCAAGATTATTACTGTTAGGAATGTTTTCGTAAGTTAAAGTGACATAACTACTTACCAATGTTTTGTTAGTCCGGTACTTTATTTTATCTTCTAACTGGTTAATCCGGACAATTTTACTGGAGTAGTACTGGCTGCATTAACAGGATGCTGGATGCTTGTCATAAGATGACTAAAGGTATAGGGTGGCCAGGCTTGCTGACTCTGTGGAAGCATGCCGTCATATCCCAAGAGAGGGGTGTCTTACAGAGCAAAATTATCTGCAGATTGTTTTCAGAAGTTGATCAAGGTGGCATTTATTGGAGCAGGGTGCTTAATGCGATTATTTTAAATCATGATATATGACCCGCCAGGAAAAAAGGTACCTCATGGGTGCTAGGATACAATTGTGCTGTGACGTCATAAAAAAAGATGTTTGACGTCAACTTACTTTGACAAAATCGTCATGTGTGCGGACTGTAAAAAAAGTATCATATTTTTCTCTCATTAGTTGTAAACAAAATTATTTCAAACAAGCATTTCAGCATACATGTCTACATTCTAAGAACTGCAATAATTACATAAATAATAAAAAGTCTGAAAATGGGACGCTCGCTGACTTGGTTGATGCATGTCATCGATCCCCCTTGCGTGGATTGGTGCTCATGATATTAATCACTGGATTGTCTGGTCCAGACTCGATTATTTACAGACCGCCGTCATATAGCTTAAATATTGCTGAGTGCGGCGTTAAACAACAAACCAACCAACCAACCAACCAACTGAAAATGGGACATTGCAGAAAACGAGTCCAAATATTTGATGCCATGTATCTCTGTAATAAATTTGAATTGAAGCTTATCAAATGTATTTTTGTGTTCCTAAGATACTGTAGTTTTAAAATATAGTAAGAAGTCAAAATGTGATTTTTCACCCATATGTGCCTTGTCTCATGGTTGGTCACATACAGACATAGAGAATCTCACCCGAGTGTCTTTTGATATAAAATATATCAACACGAGTTGATAAAAGGGGAAAAATTCTGAGGCTTGCCGAGGATTTTTGCCACTTTTATCAACGAGTGTTGATATATTTGATATCAAAAGACACGAGGGTGAGATTTTATTTATCATCCAACATCATTCTTTCAACTTTTTCAATTTGTAGACAGTAATTAGCAGTGTCTTCAGTGTAAAAAGTACTGAAAACGGCTTCAGTAGCAGAGCCATTAGTGATGTCATTTGATTGTGACGTCATGGTAACCAGTGACATCACAATGGTCTGCAAAGCATTGTGATGTAATTTCATTGCAGCGATATCTGCAGTGTAGATATCGCTTGATCTCATCCAAGGATATCTCCTGTGGGAGCCAGTTTTGGATGATAAATGATTATGTCCGCCACACATGTTCCACAAGGTTTTCTATCTGTGACCAGGTATGTCCCGGACCCAAGGGGAATGTGTACATGGACATCGTGTGTCCAGTGACGGTCAAGGACCAGCCTGGAGGATCACTGCCGGACATACAGAGTCGCGAATTTGCTGTCAACTTTCTCAAGAACATGTCAGCCAATCACAGCCAGCCTTTCTTCCTGGCCGTGGGCTTCCACAAACCCCACATACCGCTCAAGTACCCTAAGGAATATAGGGGTAGGCGAAAAAACAAGGGTAGCATTTGTACCTTGCGAAATTTTCATTACAATTATTAAAATTGCCATTTTCCAATGGTTCAGTTGTTCAAACTTTGCCTCTCTGTTGGTGCCAATCTCCAGTCTAGGTCTACATATTGTCTGAGTGTAATTAGGATAATCTTCAACTTGTCGCTTATTAACAAAATAGTATATCTCAAAAATTTACTTAAGTGGGCAGTTCCAAATGGAGAATTAAAATGGACATTCACTGCTGTGAATATACGTCATAGATAAGAGTGGACACCTTGTGTGAAAGTGATGGCTGCAACCGTCTCTGTGAAAATTAAGCACCTGAGGTACGCATTCGAATTCAATACCAACACAACTGTATGATCTCAGCTGTGATCTGCCCATGTGGCTCCTTCTCAATGAAAAGCTGTTGCCCATAAAACCTACTGTGGAAAGACGTGCTACCTTGAGAGCTAGTTAAGATGAGCATTTAAACGGGAGGGAGTGGGGTCAGACCAGTCGGGGAGGGAGTACAGGGGAGCTACACCAGAGGCAGGCACAGCCATATGACTAGGAAGTCCCTTTAATACCAGACCCGTGAAGATCCGGGGTAGAAAAGGTCTTCAGCAACCCATTCTTGCCGTAAAAGGCGATTGGGATCGGGATCGGGTGGTGAGGATCGCTGACTTGGTTGAAGCATGTCATCAATCCAAATTGCGTGGATCGATGCTCATGATATCAATCACTGGATTGTCCAGACTCAATTATTTACAGACCACATCATATAGCTGGTATATTGCTGAGTAAAACACAAACCAACCAACCAACCTTTAACACCAGACACAAGAGGTGTTGGGGAAGTGCCATTACGGGAAATTTGATTCTAATATACCAATGTAGAAATTTGAATAAATAGAACCCAAGTTTCTAGGACTGATAAGAGGCCTGAGAGCCCCCCTTTAAGCTGACATGAGTGATAGAACTGAAATTCTGTTGAAAGCAACTTAAAACCCAACTCGATCACTGATTGTGAGTCATTGCATGTTGTCCGTCATCGTTCATCCAATGTCAACTTTATGATTTTTTAACCACAATGTTTTTATGTTTCATGGATGATTCAATACACTGCTGACACTGGGTCATTTTTTACTGTGCATAATATTCAAAATTTGTTTTTTCCAAAATACTGAATCCGCTACTCAAGAAAATACAGTATCTGAGTTTATATGAAAGGCAGCCATTGACTTATGCCCTACTTTTCATATTTTACTTTTTGATCTTACTATTTAGCCATTCTCTTTGTCATACCCCTAGACTAACATCTAGTCTCTGAAATGAACATATCGCACTGAAAAAAACCAGTTAGTCAGTTATCTTGATAAAAATGTAATAAAAGGGAGCCCAGTGACTCTCTTCATTTTCAGATACTGCAGTAATCTAGACTTGCCAAACATTATAGACTTGCATGAGCTGTATTTGATATGTATTTGTATCAGGGTCTGTAAGACAGACTATCATTCCCCATAATTTTGTCGATGTTGTTTTTTTGTCATCCAGCCAAAGAAATAATTCAACTTGACACTCTATTTGTAGATCTGTACCCTCTGAACAAGATCCAGCTGGCCCGCCATCACACATTTCCCCTGCGGCTCCCCCTGGTGGCCTGGAACCCATGGACGGACCTGAGGGAGAGGGACGACATTCAGAGTCTCAACCTCAGCTTCCCGTTCGGACCAGTCACCGAGGAGTATCAGGTTCTTCCTCCTTGCTGATGATTTGACATTAACATGGTCTACTGATAAGTTAGAACTACCAGTCATACTGTATATATACCTACTCATAATGTCACAACACAGGTGTCACATGATACCATTTGTATCTCGATACTGCATATACAACATTTTGTGCAGACAACCCTGTGATTAGACTGAGAATAGAGTCCATGAACTCGCTCATAATGGCAAAGAAGGACAACTGACTAATACCAACATGAGTCAAATAAGAGTAACAAAGTTTATGTACTGTATAATGACAGGCATCTTACCGAGGCAAGAGAGTTAACTGACTATAAAAGTCCAGTTTCCACCCTTACCGAACTAGGCTGGTATTATGGAGTTACATTTTGGCTGAACCAAGGAGTCTACGCATAATCAAAATTGCACAATGAAATAGAAATCCGGTTCATAAACTGTTGTGCAGATTTCGGATCGATTGCAGGATTTACAAAGCATGTGCACCGCCAACTCGTTGTCAACAGATATTTTCGAAAAAACTGGTCTATCTGGCCCCTGTGATGTATAGCTGTAATACTTAGTAAGACATTGTTCCAGCTGTTGATGCGGCAGAGCTACTACGCGGCCACCAGCTACATGGACAGCCAGGTGGGGCTGCTGCTTGAGGCTCTACACACACACGGCTTCTCCAACAACACCATCGTGGTTCTAGTCGGAGACCATGGTAAGTGTGTCTGTGCAGATATTGTGAAGAGGTCTACAAACAAATAGGCTACTTGTCTGAATGTAGAGTTTGGATGACTTACAAACTTGCAATGTCTACAAATTGACCCTAGGCCATCTTTTATCATTTTCACGGAGTGCTGTGTTCAGTTGACAAATCATGTCCAAGATCATGTAGTATTTGTGGTGGCAGACATATTTTTATCCCTCAGTCTTATGCAGGAAGGAAGTGGTACGGAGTAAACAATTTGCTCACTCACACGCTCTCTCTCACTCTCAACCACCCACCCACCAATCTTCTCTCTCTCTTTCACTCACTCACTCACTCACTCACTCACCCATCCACCCACCCACCCACTCACTCACCCACCCACCCACCCACTCACTCACCCACCCATCTTCTCTCTCTTGCTCACTCACTCTCTCACTCACACGCTCTCTTTCACTCTCAACCACCCAACCACCAACATTCTCTCTCTCTCACTCACTCACTCACTCACCAATCTTCTCACTCACTCACTCACTCACTCACTCACTCACCCACCCACCCACTCACTCACTCACTCACTCACTCACTTACTCACTCACCCATCTTCTCTCACACTCACTCACTCATTCACTCACTGACTCTTGTTCACAGGTTGGTCCCTGGGAGAGCATCAGGAATGGTCCAAGTACAGTACCTTTGAGGTATCGGTCCGTGTGCCACTCATTATCCATGTTCCAGGGCTCACGGACAAAGACACAGACACAGACACCACCTTCCAGTACCAAGATCCTTTAAAACAGGTCCACAATAATGAAAATTACAACAGATCAAATCTTGTACAAACTCAACGTAAAAAAATTGATTCACAGAAAAAAAATTATGTCAAGGAATATTATGTCATCAGATCTAAAGATTTTTCACAACAGAAATACAAAGTTTCAAACGACCTGATAGAGTTAGTGGACCTGTTTCCGACAATATCGGAATTGGCAGGACTGGAGGTGCCATCAACATGTCCGCCAAATCCTTTCAAGATTGACCTCTGTACTGAAGGAGCTAGTGCAGCAAAGATCATCCACAATATAAGTCACACTGATTCATCCAGACAGAAAACTCAACTGACATGGAAGAGTGCTGTGTTTAGTCAGTACCCTCGTCCGTCAGTGGAGCCCCAAGAGAACAGCGACAAGCCCCACCTGAAGGACATACGTATCATGGGGTACACGATGAGGACGCAGCAGTATCGATACACTGAGTGGGTCCAGTTTGATCCCGGGACGTTCCACATGAACTGGTCTCGTGTGTATGGGACAGAGCTGTACCTACGGGACTCCGACCCAGATGAGGCTGAAAACATGGCCTACTTTCCCTCGTATGCCGAGCTGAGATCAAGTCTGTCTCGGGTTCTTCATGAAGGGTGGAGGAGTGTGTTACCAACATGATATTGTTTGCATTATTTTGTTATTTATGAATTATGAAATTTGCAAAAAATATTGTCTTTGCTAAAATTATGAAATTTATTGAACACTAGTTAAAATAAATCTGATGTTGAGCAGGGCTTCTGCTCTACAGTTCTTAGAACTGGGACTGTTTTAAGTCTTAAGTATGGGATTGCTAAGATTGCTTGGTTGAATTGGGCTTGTTACAATAAAGTCTTAGTTAAGTATGGGATCACTAAGATTGCTTGGTTGAATTGGGCTTGTTACAATAAAGTCTTAGTTAAGTATGGGATCACTAAGATTGCTTGGTTGAATGGGGCTTGTTACAATAATGTCTTAGTTAAGTATGGGATCGCTAAGATTGCTTGGTTGATAGGGTTTTGTTACAATAAAGTCTTAGTAAAGTTTGGGATCTCTAAGATTTTAAAACACTCACTCATTTATCACCATTCTCCTGATTGGCTAGAAATGCACCAAACCATCATTTGTCTCATTTGTGACCCATTTTGTTGATTTATATACATATAATCATTAGTCCCAATTTCTAGTTATTTATCGTTTGTCACCCTTCACCTCATTGGCTTGGAATGTACCAAACCATCATTTGTCACCTTTCACCTGATTGGCTAGAATGTACCAAACACCACAGTACAGTGGACATTCACATAAATGCCTGTTATTCTGAATTATGTATTTATTTATTTAAGAATGATAATGCTTGCAATAATTGTATTGTTTTTATCGATTTATATACTTGAATTCAATCATTAGTTTCTAATTTCTAGTAAACTACGGTTATAATGAGCTCAAAGGGGCCACTAATTTTTATTCGTTATACCCGTAGTTCATTATAAGCATATGTACTGCTAAGGGATGGGACCAAAAAACAGTTTGTTATAGCCATCAGTTCGTTATAAGCATCTTTGTTATAATCATAGTTTACTGTATTTATGAACACAGTTAATTATTGACACCATCTAACCATGACATGTTTTGGATTTTATCTGCCTATGAAATAGGTCTGTGGTTTCTCTGAAACTAACTTACCCAGCTCTGAGAAAAATGAACAATCATATTTTTATGAGATTGTGATATCCAATTGGCAATATGGAATACCTTCAATATATATATTATCTTGCATTTAAACCTTCTACCTGATCAACTATTTCTGTATTTTATGAAATAAACTTTTCTCTGAAAGACATTTTCTATTGATACTTGAGTTTTTAACAATGATGAAATACTACATACAATATCATATATACAGATTTGTATAAAACTGAGGCTCTACTACTTTAGCTCACCTGAGAGATGTTAATTTATCTTATGTCATGGTTGTTTGTCCAGCATCAGTCATGGGTCATCTGTCATCCCCCCTAAACATCTTCTCAGAAACCAATGAGGATGGAATTTCACATACCCACCAATGATGACATCACCTGGCAGCCATATTGGAAAACCTATTTATGCCATTACGGAGCCATTTTTGTGAACATGTTATCAGATTTGGTATTTGTTTAGTTTGTTGTTGGATTCAACATCAGTTTTAATATTTGCATATCACACATGCGACTGACAGCAACTTTTGTTGACATTGTATACGGTTGTCTACATATCCAGGTGAGCTACAGTGCCGTGGAACTATTTTTACACATTTAAATCGTGACCCAGTACCTCTTGTACACTTTAAGCTCAAAGTGAAATCAGCTGTAGATAAAGATTTGTCCAAATAATATGTTGCCTCAGATTTTGCAGAAAGGACAACGTTCAGTCAAAATTTACAATTTTACATTGCCCACACAGTCACACACACTCACTGTATCTTGTGGGAGCTTTATTTATGTACAGCTTCAAAAGTCGTTTTGAGACATTTTTCATAAAAATAACAGGTTTGACAGTGGAATTATTTTCATTTATGTAGCACTTGCAGCGTGTATTTCACAGAACGCATCCCTACTTTCCAAAAGTCTTACCCGTACTTGCCTGACATGTCTCACTCGCTTTCTGTGCAGACAGGGAGTATACTCTGTGCACTGTTTCAGAATTAAAAATAGACATGAATTAATCTCAGGCGTAGCGGTGTGTGAGCAAACATGTCTGAGCGGGATCATCAATAATGATCATTATACAGTTTACCCAGGCTTTGGAACAAGGAACGCAAATACACGACAGGTGGTTCTTAACCTATTATAACATTGAAAGCAATTAAATATTGCATATATCATCTTTATAAATTAGGCCACGATATATCAAATAGAGACGTCCATTACTTCCCGATTCACATTATAGTATTGTACCCAAGTACTTACGGACGAAGAATATTACCAAAACACCCACTATATGTCTTTGCTTTATTTAATTGATGAAATACACCATTTCATTGTCTTGCACGCCTTTTTTCGTTACACTGATGAAAATCAACTGATTAATTTATATGGCCTTGTAATAGCTTTTTTACAAAAAATGAAACTTTTCCAAACACAAATATCACCACATACATAATGCGACACTTGACATTTAGCCTTTTTTAAATGAGGAAGACAGACGTCTTATAAACAACTGTATGCATTTTGTGAAATTGTATGAACTGTGGTATTTGTTTGTTTGTTTAACACCACACTCAGCAATACTCCAGCTATATGACGGCGGCCTGTAAATAAAGGAGTCTGAGCCAGACAATCCAGTGATTGGCATCAAAAGCATCGGTCTACGGTATGGGGATGCGATGACATGCATCAATATGAACTGTACACACTTTATATTTATCCAAGACAACTAACACTATATGAGCACGTCCCGATCACCGTTCCCGTGACGATCCCGGGGTAGACTTGGTCCTCAGTAAATTCAACTAAAATGGATCGGATGGTCAGTCTCGGTGGCTCATTCCGGATGATTCAACTTCGCGATGCTGACTGTTGTTCATACTTTGAACGGGCAATCTATTTACAATATTAAATAGCTCTTTGTATAGACTCTTGCCAGTCACTGGCTTTATATTGTCCAGGCTCGATTAGCATAGGTCGATACAGCTGGAATAATGCTGACGACGGCGTTAAACAACATTCACTCTCATTCCCGCGAAGCGCTTGCCTTCCTTCCGTGTGTACATGTTGCATGCAGTATGTGTGCAGTGCCGTACCCAGCCCGGAGGGTCGAGGGGGGAGGGATTTAAAAAAAATAGAAAACAGTTTTATTTGAATCATGAAAATACAAGTTGGGGACAAGTGTTACTTGTACAAATATTTGCCCCCCTGTCAACAAAAGTTACCGACGGCCTTGGTGTGTGAAACTACGCCTAACCTATTTATACTGTAAGCGGTCAAACACCCGCGTTATATTTTATTGAACTGTCCAGTTTAGTTTCAACCCTTTTTAAACCCATTATTTCCATACATTCCTTTCACTGTTTTTTTTATGTTATGTTATTTTTAAACAGAACACTCATATATCATTTTTATGATCGAATAAGGGCGGCTTCAGTTTCGTTGTGTAGTTCCATCACGTTCATTGTGAGAGGGGCGTTCCGTGTTATGAGTCACGGGCCCAGCTGTTTCACCAGTAAGGGTATGGCGTACATTGACGGAGAAATTTAAGTCTGGAGCGAAAATCAGTGTTGACAGGTGGTCTCCTCGGTAAAATTCATACATGTGCCACAGGTTTTCGCAAACACTTGGTGTCATTACTATTTCATAGTGATTCATAAACACATGCTAATGATATATGACTGATTCATAAACACATTCTTATGATATAGTCGGAATCGTAAATGGAATCTACTTTTATCAGATATTTGTTATGGTTATAGAAATTGCTTTTTCGCTTTTATTTTATACCTCAGCAATATTTCAAAGATTGATGTCATGCACGACGTTTTGTGAATATGCGAGTCGGGGCCAGAGACATCATGACCCGTGAAGATCTGGGTTAGAGTAGATCTTCAACGACCCATACTTGCCGTTAAGAGGCAACTAACGGGATCGCGTGGTCAGGCACGCTGATTTGGTTGATGCACGTCATCGTATCCCAAATGCGTAGATCGATGCTCGTGATGTCAATCACTGGATTGTTTAATTCAGACAAGATTATTTACAGGCCGCCATTATATAGTTGGAATGGTGAATGCGACGTTAAACAACAAACAAACAACATATGCAAATGACCCATAACGTCCGGCCACGATGACACACCATCAGTCAGGTCACGTGGAGTCCTCCTTTTAGTTGATTCCTAGTACAAACTTGGACATATTCTAACCCGGAATCACACGGGGGATGACCCTGAAATAAAACACGTCGTCGTATTTGCCCAACAGTTGACAAAATGGTTAAAGGGACGTGAAAATTTGTTTGGTTGTCGTCCATAGATGATTTACTGTTTGATTGCTATTTTGGTGTATTAAGACAATTCAGTTCATACAGGTTATTCCTTACCACAGGGCCACGGATAGCCATACTATACTGACTGTACTGATTACATTAAAAAAAGTTTTCGATCAGCGGAGGTGTCCTCCCTTCTCTTTTTTTAATGTAATCAGTACAGTCAATAAAGTATGGCTATCCGTGGCCCTGTGTTCCTTATTGAAAGAAATGAACTAAGTATTTTGCAGTTGGTTAAGTAACTATTTAAATAAAATATATTGTTCAGAGTTATGTGGTAACCAGTTAATCGCAGACGTATATTTGAGCTACAATAAAAAAAAGACATTTCATGAAGAAGATGTACAGACATTTAGTGAGGAGTGAGTGAGTTGGGTTTAACGCCGCTTTTAACAGTATTAAATTCCTATATCACGGCGTGTCAGCTTAATGTGGGAGGAAAGCCCAAAGTGATGCAGGTCTTAGACGTTTACCACTTCGGTGAAACCCACGAGCACGGGTATGGTGCTGACAAACCTAGAAACATAATCGGGGCGAACCGGGATTCGAACCAACAATCATAGGTTTCCGGCGTGCCCAAGGGACGCAACTCTGCACAGCGAATAGCGGCACCTTGGTGACTGGGCCACCCGTGACCCCCATTCAGTGAGGAAATATCAATGCGCTATGTGCCATTGTATGGATGTCTTTGACGGGCAATTGGAGGTTTGTTGTCTGGAGCTCATGTGCACAAATAGGTCGTAACGCAAGACTAGTGTAACGTCTATGCTTTAACATAAATTTACAATTGTCGTGATGCTTAGATTGCTTTTGTCCACGTGGGCCCTTTCAGATAAACTATTCGATATGGTCTTACAAGTTTAATTGTTAATCTTTAGGTAAGAATTGAGAGGCACATATCTCAACAGCAGGTGTACCTTATATCGTGACTAGAGAATATTTTAAACATATATAAATCAATCATGGATTTCAATTCTCTGTCTGATTTTAGTAAACGCATCACCTCGAGCGGAAATATTTATTAAGGGTTCAAACCTCTGATTAACTAATCATATAAAACAGATTCCAAAATTATTTACAAAAGTAAAAAATCCTAAAACGCTTCCAAACTTCGGAGTTGCAACACCTCCCGATGCCTGTCCACCATCCACATCACGTTAGTGTCGTCTTACATTTTACAAGTAGAGATCTATTTCCACATTAAGTGGAAACCTAAGAGTTGGTGTATCAGATAGACTAAGAAGATCTAGAAGTGTTCCCGAAAAACGCCGGGCATTGATAATTAAACATGGTGGACTTACCCAATATTGACTTAGGGAGCATATCTGGGTCTGGTTGAACTTAGCGCTACGACTGTAAAAGATCTATGTTAAGGTACGGGTGTTACTATCACCTTAGCGCTAAAACCGCTTTGTACAACGGCATCATACACCATGACTTGAATACCTGCATTAAGTCGATGATACAATATGGCTATTCTAGATTACTATGTTCCACAAATCAGCATTAGAACTGGACATACAGTACAGTACAAGCAATCACATGCACTATAATCCCGGCATTAGTCCGGAATAGTTAACGACACAGAATCAGGATTCTGATTAATGCTGCAGGCACACCCATTAAAGCAAACTTAACGCATGGCCTACTTCATACTCCGCTGTAAGGAGTAGACAAAGACTTCCGCCGAATCAACACTTTATCCATTCACACAAAATAGATTGTAACCACATTTGTTATACCAGAATAGATTAAAAGGCAATTTACTAATTGGAATCAAATATATTACCGTGTAAGAATTTTGTGCAGATATCAAACTGCAACTCATGTCAGCGTTACTTCCGGTAACTCTTCTTACATATTCATACGAGAGAAAATCGCCGGAAGTACAAGTGGATTAAAAAAGATGGCTGCCTCGGTACTTGTCCAAGAGAGATTACTGAATGTAAATAACATTTTTGTCTTTTCGTGATGTCATGAAGACGTTTTAGGTTTTTAAATTGCTGTTTATGTATCCTGGTATTGAAAAGGAGATAGGAAAAGGAACGGTCTGAATGTGGTCGTGTAGTTAGATTACAGTTTACTCAAAACATATGGATTGTTTTGATTTTGTGTTTTTGATCTGACAGGAAACGCAAAAGTTATCATTGTATGGTAGAAAACGAACTCGAGATAGGGGCCATTGGATGTTTCGGAAGGACTTCCGCACGTATCCCCCTTCCAAATGTTATATATGTATGCATTGTCGATCAATCCTTTTAATTATAAATACTTTTGAGTGGGGATACCAGGCGGAAGTCTTACCTTTACTTCTTTTTTTAGTGAAATTGTTCATGCCACATTCAATCGGCTTGACAAGTTGTTGCTTTCAACCGCTTTGTGTTTAACTCCCAAGCCTGGTTAACTTAGGCTTCAATAGTTGAAAGCAAATAAGGTTTGCTGTTGTACTGTTTGTTTGTTGTTTAACGCCGCACACAGCAATATTCCAGCTATTTGACGGCGGTCTGTTAAATAATCGAGTCTGGACCAGACAATCCAGTGATTTACATCATGAGCATCGATCGACACAATTGGGATCGATGACATGTATCAACCAAGTCAGCAAACCTGAACACCCGATCCCGTTAGTCGCCTTTTATGGCAAGTATGAGTTGCCGATGACCTATTCTACCCCGGAATCTTGTTGTTCTGCACTTAACCATGTTTTCAGATTCCATTTTGTATCATTCCATCGCATGCTATGCCAGTTTCTGCTATTGATATATTTATGCTTTTTTTGGATCAGATACATTATACCGGACACCTATTCGCCATGTTTGTTTGATGCTACTAAAAAAGCCGCACGCAACAGCTTCACTATCTAAAAAATAGGGCGATAAAACTCAAAATACCCTGCTCGCATTTGTATGGTTTAATATGATTAAACCTTGAAATTGGAGATCAATGCATAAACGTTGAAAATGGGACATCGACATAAAAAAGTACTCGAAATAGAAGTACCATCATGGAGTGCGACAACCTCATCAATGACATCCGTCGGAGGAATGAGCTTGTGCACATCTCTTACCAAAATGGTGGAAGGTGTCCGGTACATTGCATTCCTGCCGCTTTTGTCATGTTTAGTAATGTGTCTTTTTTACCCTGTATTTCAAGCTTCTACGAGGAGCATCATGGAAACACAAGGGATTTCATGGGTTTATTGTTGGACGCCAAAATGAATCTGCTGTAGAAGCTTTATTTAGTACATATTGCGGAGCAAGTGATGAAAAGGTTGTGACAGATACAACAAGACAATCACAGCAACTTCTTCCGGGAGGTAATGATGTCAGTGACACATTTTCAGATGTCAGAAACATCTACGTATATACATGATCTACCTACCTTTTTCGTTGCAAGGTACCTAATAACATGGGGGGATTTCTGAAGAATAATAGCTGCCAAGTGAATAGAGAACTTTGACTGGTCACAGTTCTGTGGTTGCGTACACTTACGAGTTTTCTAAGTCCAAACCTTATGACATTTTTCAGGCTGCATTGACTTGCTTGTAATATTTCATAGTAAGGTTAGTTTCATATTTGCTTAAACTAACAACATTGTTTATCATGTATAATGTATTAAACAATGGTTGTTAAACATGATAAACAAAGCAATGATATTTTTAAAAATCGTTTAAGTCTTACCAACTGTCACCATTTTAATTGGCCTTAGGCAATTTTTTTAACTTGGGGAAAGGATTGTTTTCATTTATGATATATAAGATGGTTGTGTAACTATCATCTTAGACCTATTGTCGCTGTTGTATGTTGCACAGGTCTTGAATTGTGTGGTGTGATCGTTGTGACTGATACAGAGGCTGGACCAGCCAACACAAGGGCAGCTGTCCAGGCACATATCTCCAACAAGCTCCTGGTAATGCTGCTCAGTGCTGTACTGTTGATTTGTGTCTAAAGAAATATAGACTAAAAGTTACTTCCCCCGAGTGGAGCCTTCTATCTTAATTTTTTTTTTATATATTTTTTTTTTCCATCATATTTTACATTTCAATATCATACATAGAGTGTGCATGGATTTATTGTGACATTATTGGCATGTTTGTACCATGGACAGATCATATATCATAGTTATACAGAGTTGCCTTCTATCTTAATGCCACCTAGGTTCACTTCTCTATGGTGCCAATCACCAGAAGGATGTCATGTCAGTGTCAGAAGACATTTTTTTTTTTTTCAAATGAACGTCTAGCATTCCCTGGATTTTGTCAATGAAACAGTGATGAAGTTGATAGGATGTGATGTCATTGTTGAATTTCGTCAGTTACAGTCAGAAAAAAGTGAGTTTAGGTAATCTGACCACATGTGTAAGGTGTGAATACTGAAAACATGGACTTAGGATCTGTCCAGAGTACAGGAGGAATTTTGAGACACAAGTGGCAGTTTGTCATGGGCCAATCTCCGTATTTTGTATTGACATTCTGAGAGTCGGAACTCCACTACAAAAAAATTAAGGGGAAGCTTTAAAAATTGTACTTGTTTTTCCCTCATGTCCCAAATAACCAATGAAAGTGGAAACAACATATCGCTGTCAAACCATACCAATTTGTTGGAAGTCCGAAAGTAACCATGGTAACCGGTGACCTTAATACATCTCTGGAATTCCCTTTCTGCGCATGACAGCAGTACATAATGTTCATCTTGATTGAACTTATAAAAGAAAAAGGTGTAAAAGAAGCCATTAATTCAAATGTACAGGGAAGTAGTCAAGGTATTTGTTATGCATAGCCCAGACCCACGTCAATTCTTACACGAGTTTAAAAGTATTTCTTCACTGTGTCATCTACAGAGAGCAAGCAATCTGTCATGGCCATTTCATTCACCACACGCTCAGTTTAAAAAAGTCAGACATATATAATTCTACAGCTCAGTGCTAATGCTACTTTAGATAATGTACTGAATGCATGCAGTTTGCTACTCAGTTCTATATCAAAGAGTTCTTCTCACCATCAGGGGGCACGGATGGCCCAGTTGTCTAAAGTGCCGCGATTTGCTGTGCAGAGTTGCGACCCATGGACATGCCAGAAACCTATGATTGTGGGTTCGAATCAGGGTTCGCCCCGATTATGTTTCTAGGTTTGTCAGCACCATAACCGTGCTCGTGGGTTTCACCGAAGTGGTAAACGTCTGAGACCTGCATCACTTTGGGCTTTCCTCCCTCATTAAGCTGACACGCCGTGATGTAACTGGAATAATGTTAAAAGCAGTGTTAAACCCAACTCACTCACTCTTCTCACCATCTTGGCTGTTTCTTTATAAACATTTTGCACAATTTCTTATTGGGAGAAAAAGCCTGCAATGCTAAATATAGCAAGATGATATTAGCCTCTCACTGGCAGTAAGAAGCTCATGAAATACTCAATGTCTACCTAAGGGTCTAATTGTCTAGATACGACAATAGCAGTTGCATATTGGACATTTACAGTGTTGGCCAAGGTGATTCTAGTGAGCACCATTCTATATCAGTTATTGATCAGTTGATGTAAGCTTGTGTGTGTATCTTAGAAGCATTATGAGCAATGATAAATGTAAGAGGGTTGTCCAGATGTTGTGCTAATTGCATGATCAGTTGGTCCATAGCATTACAATTTAAGTCTTGAATTTATTACGATAAAACTATGTGTTACCAAAAAAATAAGTTATCTCACCACTGTAAGATTAGCCTGATCTCAGGTGTACCCCGAAATGCAAATTCCCAAATGTTTCTTGACAGGTTCCACCAAATTTTTCCCCTTTTCCAACTATATCATGTGTATATCTCCTTTACTGATAAAGTATTTCTATGTTATTGAAATAGATAATTGACGATTGAACAGATGATTACAATTTTGAAAACAGAATGTTTAAGATGTTTATGTGTTACAAATTGTTGCAAATCTTCTTGCAGGAGACGGGGGCACGGGTGGCCCGGTCGTCTAAGGTGCCGCAATTCACTGTGCAGAGTTGCGTCCCTGGACACGCCAGAAACCTGTGATTGTGGGTTCGAATCCCGGTTCACCCCGATTATGTTTCTAGGTTTGTCAGCACCATACCCGTGCTCGTGGGTTTCACCGAAGTGGTAAACGTCTGAGACCTGCATCACTTCGGGCTTTCCTCCCACATTAATCTGACACGCTCTCGTATAACTGTAATACTGTTAAAAGCGGTGTTAAACCCAACTAACTCTCTCACTCACTCACTTTTGCAGGAGACTCTAGGAGAAAAGCCCTTGATTGTGTGTCATGTCCAGTTGGGGTCTGGTCAACTCAGCACCAACAACTTCCTCCTGCTGGACACTGACCAGGAAGTGTTAGACTGCCAGGTCAGTCTGACCCGGGACGATGTGCTGGCCAGCAGCGTGGTGTTCCGACTGCAAGCACATGTTCCCATCACAGTCTCTATAGATTCCAGCTCAAGTAAGTATCCAAGCTGCTTTGTGATTGGTTACCTTGGTTACCAGAGTGAGGCTGTCATAGGTGTCATGGTTGAGGATGATTTGAATAATATGTAAGTGTATGTCAAAACAGTTTGATATTGATATTTTACAAAGAAATATCAAGTGTATTAAAACATGCTCAATTCATGCTTACTTATTTTTATTTTCATCAACAGAAACTCAAATTTTGAAACTCAGGTGTACCAGTGTGTAATTGTTTTGATACTCAGGGATATGACTTAGATAAGCTTTAGGCCAAACCTGGGTTTATCAGGCTTTAAACATCCATGACGTAGGGCGGGGGATGTAGGATCGAAGTTTGCCCATCCGTCCGGTTCTCAAGGGGGACAAATATTTTGAGCTCAAATGCTATTAAAGTCAGAGGAATGAAATTTTACACACTGATGTTACTGGTCATGATCTCAAATAAGTTCGAAAATTGGTGTCGGAATTTTTCTTTTTACAGAGTTATGGCCCTTGATTTATATATTTTACTTCATGTATAGTGAGTGTGTGCAATGGGGACAAGTCTTCTCAGAAACTACTGAATTTTGCATGCTTATCTACTGATCTAAGAGATACTTGTCAAGACTGAGTACGAAAATTGGTCCTGTCATATTTATTTTCGAGTTATGGTCCTTGCTCGATGCTTTTCAACTTAGTGAATTTTTTTACAGTGTATATTCACTACTATATGAACAACTAAAATTCTAATGTGCCCATGGCGGGGAATAGTGATAATGCTGTTTTCTTGTTCTACAACAAGTTACAGAATTGTTGGGGAAGGGAAGTAACTCTTCCATGCACACACTTAGGGTACTTTGAACCAACATAAAAAATACAGGCTGTTAGACTGTTGAATTGCCATAAAAAGTAGAGGACCTATTTTTGTTCAATGCATATAATTCACCATAGGGATTTCGAGTTAGAAAAGGTCCCTGACAACCTATGCTTGTCGTATGAGGTGAGATAATGGATCAGGTAGTCATTCTTGGTGGCTTGTCTTTCATTGTCTTTGCTCATAATATCAAACTCTGGTTTGTTGGTCCAGACTCAATTATATACAGACTGCAGCCATTTAACAGGAGCCGCCTCCGTGTTCTTGTGGTAGAGCGTCCGCCCGGAGAGCGGAAGGTCCGGGGTTCGATCCCCGGCCGCGTCATACCAAAAGACGTTAAAAGATGGTACTTGTTGTTACCCCGTCTGGCGCTCGACATAAAGGGGCTAAAACAAGGACCGGTCGGCTCGGAGTCAGTATACTGTGTCTGAGTGGGGTATTCATGTTAAACTGCGGCATGGTATCTCAGTGAGCTAGCACTATAAATCGGCATCAGTCCGGACTAGTTCAAGCAGCCACACACACACACGTACATGCACGTCGCTATATAAGTGCAATAATCTTGGACGCGACGTTAAACCCAATTTCACCTCACCTCACCATTTAACAGGAATATTGCTGACTGCGGTGTTCAACAAAGAAACAACGCAAATAAATAGATTATAATCTGAACACATCAGTCTGTTTTTTTCATTGTGTTGGCGGTCGGGTATCCTAGTGGTAAAAGTGTTTGCTCATCATGCCGAAGACCCGGGTTCGATTCCTGACATGGGTACAATGTGTGAAACCCATTTCTGGTGTCCCCAACCGTGATATTGCTGGAATATTGCTAAAAGCGGCGTAAAACCATACTCATTCATTCATTTTTCATTGTGTAAGATAACACATGTGAGATAGAATAAGTACATAAATATACAATTTATTTTGAAAGTTTCAATTATTCTAATGTTGGTGGTGTTAGGGAAATGTACGATTATAATGGTAATAGGAAACATGCCACATGTGAGAATCATCTACAAATCCTACACATTCTACCATGGATACAGCTTGGTTTGGATGACGTCCACCATACTTATATGTTGTTTGTTCAGTTTTTGAGCTGTAGGTTCTGTATGTCATGGTTGCATGTCTGTGCATTGAGTGAAATATAGTGTGTCTGTTCCCCAGAAGACTGGCAGCAAGCCATCAACTGTGAGATGGGTCGAGTGTGTCGCAGCCTCCAGTCTCCTGCATGCGTGTACTCAGTGAAAAACACACGTATCCTGCTCACGTCCTCGGAGGTGAAGGGTGTGTCAGGTGACCAGTCATGTGAAGTCCTGTACCAACACATCGAGTCTGATGATGATGTGCCGGTGTCTCGCAGTAAGAAGAGAGGAGTAAAGGACCAGGTATGTTGACCAGCAGTACGGATGTCCAGCCGGTATACGTCAGACCTTGTACTCTGATAAAATAACACTGCATCAAGATCTGACCACACCTTAGGGATGGTCATTTATTACCGGGTGGGTGGTCAGAGGTTGTTGATGCACTGAGGTACTGAAAATAATGACCCAACCCAATGCTTGTTACATATTTGAATGACTCTCCCTACGTCCATGTTCATTGTTTTCATGACTCTCCTTAAAAAGACAGAATGCAAAGCACCTTATATTTTATGACCCTCCCCAGATATATGTGATATTTTTATGACCATCCCCTAGAGAGTGTCATATGTTTGGGTGACCCTTCCCCGATTCCCTCTGACCCTCCCCCTGTAATAAATTACCTGTCCCTTAGGGGACTGCATCAAGTGAACCCTGAGTAAACTTGGACTGCCCATTCTAAATGAAGAAGGGCGGTCGGGTAGCCTAGTGGTTAAAGTGTTAGCTCATCACGCTGAAGACCCGGGTTTCGATTCCTGACATGGGTACAATGTGTGAAGCCCATTTCTGGTGTCCCCCTCCGTGATATTGCTGGAATATTGCTAAAAGAGGCGTAAAAGTATACTCACTTACTCACTCTAAAGGAAGGATCTGTGGCTTCTCCTAACACCAATTGATAGTCTTGAGGCAGATAGAAATTTTGGCAGTTCATATTGTTCTTTTAAAAAATATTGTGTGTGTATAATGTAGAAAAAACAGTGTGATGTTTCAAATGCTCCTTTTGTTGAGGTTAAATCTACAGATAACCTAGCCCTACGTTGAAACACAGTAAGTTTTGTTTCTGTCTTTAGCATGTATAAACCTGGTTTATGTTTGCGTATTGCATTATTAGGCAACGATAAGTTCTAGAAACCAGAAACAAGATATGCAATATGCAGGGTTCCTTTGTCTGAGTAACTTGGTGATGACTCTTGAATTATTGTTAATTACTGATTTCCAAGACTTTTTGTCAGTTGATCCTTACTCTTTCTATGTCTTGAGTCAAACTGTGGAACAGGGTATCAGCACATGCAAGGTTGTCTCGAACAGATAAACTGACGCCATGGTTTCATGTACATCTATGTCTTGCACTGCTTGTGATGTGATGTACAGAGACCATCTCCTGTATCAACTGTGCCACTGTTTCAGGGGCCTCTAGGTATCGAGCTGCTTGTGATGTGATGTACAGTTAGACCATCTCCTGTATCAACTTGCCCCTGTTTCAGGGGCCTCTAGGTGTCAAGCTGCTGGGGATGTGATGTGCAGTTAGACCATCTCCTGTATCAACTGTGCCACTGTTTCAGGGGCCTCTAGGTGTCGAGCTGCTGGGGATGTGATGTACAGTTAGACCATCTCCTGTATCAACTGTGTCACTGTTTCAGGGGCCTCTAGGTGTCGAGCTGCAGGTGATGTGATGTACAGTTAGACCATCTCCTGTATCAACTGTGTCACTGTTTCAGGGGCCTCTAGGTGTCGAGCTGCTGGGGATGTGATGTGCAGTTAGACCATCTCCTGTATCAACTGTCACTGTTTCAGGGGCCTCTAGGTGTCGAGCTGCTGGGGATGTGATGTGCAGTTAGACCATCTCCTGTATCAACTGTCACTGTTTCAGGGGCCTCTAGGTGTCGAGCTGCTGGGGATGTGATGTGCAGTTAGACCATCTCCTGTATCAACTGTCACTGTTTCAGGGGCCTCTAGGTGTCGAGCTGCTGGGGATGTGATGTGCAGTTAGACCATCTCCTGTATCAACTGTCACTGTTTCAGGGGCCTCTCGGGGTCGAGCTGCTGCTGTTGGTGAGTGAGGAGGTGGCTGGGGATGTACCATGCTGTGCACCAGTTGTTCATCATAATATAGGTGAGTTCAGCTTAAGCTGAGGAGAAATGTGAGGAATAACCTCAGCTTTGTGATCACACAAAGCATCTCAAACTAGTTTAGCCCTGTGGAGATTCCTGGTTAGAAAAGACCCCAGCAGCCAATGTTGGTCATAACAGGCAACCCAATGTATCAGGTGGTCAGGCTTGGTGTCTTGGTTGATTGTGTGTCATCTTACCAGCTCATTTGTTGCTCGATTGTTGGTCACATGTCAGACAGATGCTGCCATTAGATTGGAATAATGCTGAGTGCAGAATTAACAACAAACAAACAAAATCAAACTTGTGTATAATAGGGCTGAAGGGGTTGTTGTTATAGAGGGTACTCAGTGTTCCCGTTTACCGGTAATTACCAGTTTTTTACCGGTAAAATTAGGCTTGGACCGGTAGTTCATGTTACTGCCAGTCCCTGTGGACCGGCAAATAAAGTACCTCATAAATCTTTGTTGTTGAACAAAACATCGGCAATATTCATATAAGTATGTTTTTCGAACAAAATAAGCTTGTCAGTTGCCACCTGGGTTCCCCTTGTCTATTTTTAGTGCTATTAAATAACATTTCGCTTTGCTTCAAGGTTAAATATATATTTGCAGCGATTTAGTCTCGAAATATTCAAGAAAAAAAGAGTTGAAAGAATTAAAACTAGGTAATTTTCATACATGTTTTCATTTGTTGAAAGTTGGGACTGACAAAAATTAGGGGGGACTGGTAATGTTTAGAGTTGCCAGTCCTGGTGGACTGGCGGTTTCGAAAGCCAGCGGGAACACTGGGTACTACAGAAAAGTACCATGGCCTAAATTAGAAAACAAAAATGATACACCATGAATATTTCCAATGTGTGAGTGTTTAGCAAAGCAGTCTGCAGTATTATAGCTATATGACAACAGCATGTAAATATTCTTGTCGGGACCAGACAATCCAGTGATTGATAGTGTGAGCAGCGATCCTCACCATCAGGTATGACGACCTGCTATGAACCAAGACACCGAGCTGGACCACTCCAACCATTTGGTCACCTCTTAAGACCAGCACAGACTCCTGGGGACCTATTCTAATCCAACCAGGGGATATTTCGAAAAACTGTTTAATAATATGTGTCTCAGTTGAAATGAACTTTGTCATAAGTGTGGATGCTATCAATTTACTTGACATTTTTTTCCAGGAGATTTCAAAGCAGTTAAGATGTTGCTGCCTCTAGATGTTTTATCAGTCATCAAGTCAGATGAAAGTATAGAAAATTTGCATGCTGCCTTCACTACAGCTGTGAAAAGCCAACTAGAATCAATGAAAGATTGTCTGTGTCAGTACAAACAGGTAAACCTTTAAAATTCATCATTGTAAACACTGGATAATTCTAATAAAATTGGTTCCTTAGGAATATTTACCCCTTTTTATTTGAACACAGAATGTACATACCTGTCAACGCTCACGCATCTCGCGTGAGTCTCACACATTTATCACTTATGTCACGCTCACACGCAAGGTTGGGAAATTCTCACGTATTCATAATATGTAGATTAAAATATTTTTTTTCAGAATACATGCTCTCTAAGGCCATTAAATGGTCTTAAAATCATTCAAAACCAGTTTTTGCCTGGGGGGGCTTTGCCCACCTGCTCCCCCAACCAGGGCTTAGCCCTGGACCCATCGGGCCCCTGCACCTTGGCTTCTCGCGCATTTAGACATCCAGGGGTTGACAGCTATGAATGTATGGTATGCCGATGGTGAATTCAGGGGAAAATAGGAGGCACGGGTGGCCCAGTCTTCTAAGGCGCCGCGATTCGCTGTGCAGAGTTGCGTCCCTTGGGCACGCCAGAAACCTATGATTGTGGGTTCGAATCCCGGTTCGCCCCGATTATGTTTCTAGGTTTGTCATTACCATACCCGTGCTCGTGTGTTTCACCGAAGTGGTAAACGTCTGAGACCTGCATCACTTCGGGCTTTCCTCCCACATTAAGCTGACACGCCGCGATATAACTGGAATACTGTTAAAAGCGGCGTTAAACCCAACTCACTCACTCACTCAGGGGAAAATAGGTTGTGATAACCAAATCTTGTCAGTCCAGTGTAAATAAAGGCATAATGAGAATTCTGTTATACTGTGTGTGTCTTCTTATAAATAATGGCTGGGATAACTGCTGAAAACAGCACTCATGATACATATTTGTAATGCGTATGCATTTCTTTATACACGAGATGGCCAAATACCTGCCTCACTGACGATTTGCAGTTGGCAGGTTGTTTAGCCCCACCATCTTGCCATTGTTCCCCTACTGCAAAGCTGAGAAACTTAATCATGTTGTGATTGGATACTGCCTAGCCACAGCCAATCAAATTGCTCGGCTTTGTTAGAACTAGAAGGGAGGTAACTCTGTAACTGTGTACCATCTGTGTAGATAGTATTTGAAATGCAGTGTGTGCCAGTGTCATTTATGGCACAGTGATTGAAATTATTTATGTGTTTACCTAAGTGAAGTGTTATTATTGATATCAATTGTAACAGTTATTAAAGTAAACATTAAAGGTGAGAATCAATTTTTTGGATATAGTGTGTGACTGTGATCGATACTTGTATCGGGAAGTAAAAACCTGCAAGCCACCGTTGCACTGTGATATACGTTCTGGTGAGCAGTGGTTGCTCCTGTTGCAGGGAGAGAAGTTCCACATCCCTGAAGCCTTCCACTTCCGACCTGGTGGCGGACCCAGCTTCATCACCCATGTGTACCCCCAGACAGTGCCAGATGAAGAGATGGGTGAGATTGTCCTTCCTCTCCAACAATGCTGACAACTTTGAGGCGGTATTGTTGCTCAATACAATACAGGTGGCCCAGTCTTACAATGCGTCTTGTTTCTGCCCTAGTAGTACCAGAATCTTCTGATTGTGGCTTCAAATCTTTGTTCATAACTATATTGGTGATCAGATGTGGTGATTACAAGGAGTAATTCTTTGGGTTGTATGTAACAAAATAAAAGAGTGAGTGAGTGAGTGAGTGAGTGAGTGAGTGAGTGAGTTAGGTTTAACGCCGCTTTTAAAATTATTCCAGTTATATCGCGGCGTGTCAGCTTAATGTGGGAGGAAAGCCCGAAGTGATGCAGGTCTCAGACGTTTACCACATGGTGAAACCCACGAGCACAGGTATGGTGCTGACAAGCCTAGAAACATAATCGGGGCGAACTGGGATTCGAACCCACAATCATAGGTTTCTGGCGTGCCCAAGGGACGCAACTCTGCACAGCGAATCGCGGCGCCTTAGAAGACTGGGCCTGCCGTGCCCCCACAAAGTATAAGAGATGCTGTAACCATGATATACTGTAAATCTCGAAATTAATTCGTCTCCAAATTAATACAACTTCTGACCCCTTGCCAAAAATGTGACTCAATATCAATGCGACTCCCCGCAATCCCATCCCCAGTGGAATGATACATATCCGTACCTTAATCAAGTCATTTGGAGACATAAATGTGAAGTTTAGGTAATGCGAACAAAGACCACTTGCATCTAATTAGGTTACGCTCGTGTTAATTTTGAGATTTACAGTATAAAGAAACTTCATTAGCTGACTGCTATGGAAATGATTGTGTACTATTTAAAAAAGTATTACTACTGTGACATATTTTGCATTCCTCAGCGAAACCACTAATTCCAATTTCAATTATCTGTTTAGAAAGCCAGCGACGAGATCTTCATCACTTACTGATGTTGCCTGCAGACAGACCATTGTTCCGACGTGCGAACCAATACATGTTTCCCGGACAACCTACAGCAGGCGGATACTTGCTCAACCCACACACTGGCCTCCCTGCAGGAGGTAGGATCAGTGTCCATTGTCAAGGGTCCTTGATTATCATGGACGATGGGTCGGTGGGGGGGAGGGAGGAGGGGCGGGGCAGGGAAGGGAGGAGGTAGTTATCGGTATTGCAAATGAGAGAGTGATGAGTTTCTGGGCTTGGTCACGTAGTTCCGGTGTGCATGCGCGGAATAAGGGTGCGTTTGGGTGAGCTGTTTTCTCTGTTCTCCAGGAACACAGCACAAGTATACTGACTCCGAGCCAACCAGTCCTTGTTTTAGCCCCTTAATGCCGAGCGCCAGACAGGGTAACAACAAGTACCATCTTTTAACGTCTTTTGGTATGATGCAGCCGGGGATCGAACCCCGGACCTTCCGCTCACCGGGCGGCTGCTCTACCACTAGACCACGGAGGCAGTCATCAGTGGAAGGAGTTTGCTACATTATTTGAGTTCTATTGAACGATAGAAGGTCATCAATATTCATTAGGCTTTTGGCCAAATTCCCGTGTTTTGATTTTTCCAATCTGAGCAGAATGCTGTGTGACTGTTTTAGGAGTTGGAACCCAGTACCTGGTGGAGGGGACATACAGCTACCATCACTACATGCAGGACCGCTTCAACGACAACCAGTGGGGATGTGCGTACCGCTCTCTCCAGACACTGGTGTCCTGGTTCCGTTTCCAAGGTTACACAGACAAATCTATCCCCACCCACAAAGAAATACAGCAGGTAGGGAACACTATATTCAGGACTCGGTACCTCTTTATATTATTCATAAATGGAGCTCTGTTAGGTGGGGAACAGGTGGCCGGTCGTCTATGGTGCAACAATTTGCAGTGCAGAGTTGCATCCTTTAGAAACCTTAATGCATCTTCCCGAGGCAAGAGAGTTAACTGGCTTTAAAAGTCCAGCTTCCACCCTTGCCAAACTAGGCTGGAATTACTGGGCTCGATCATGGAGCCACCAGTGGCTATTACCAGTTATGTCCCTTCTAAGCCTCTCCTATGGACCAATCAGATTCCACCTCTCGTAACACTTGCGTTTGCTTCACACAAAATGGTGGCGCCCGGTCAGGATGATCTGATCGATAATCAAGATCTATATTGTGATAAAACAGGTCTTACATCGCGAAATCAATCAAATCACATGAGTACCTTGATTAAAAACATGAAAAGATTTGGAAAATATCTGCTGACAACTAGTTGGCGGTGCACATGCTTTGCAAATCCTGCAATCAACCGAAATCTGCATGACAGTTTGCGAACCAGATTTCGATTTTGGTGCACGATTTTGATTGGACTATGCATAGACTCATTAGTCCAGCCGAAATGTAAATCCATAATACCAACCTAGTTCAGCAAGGGTGGAAATTGGACTTTTATAGTCAGTTAACTCACTTGCCTCGGGAAGATGACCTAAATGTGGAATGATTATGTTTCTTGATTTGTGGGCACCATTCCCAAGCTCAAGGGTTTTGCCAAATTGGTGAAAGTCTAAGACCTGCATTACTTCGAGCTTTCCCCAACATCAAGCAGAAATGCAGTGATAAAACTTAAATACTGTTGAAAGTTGTTACTTGTTCACTTTAATAGAGCAAGCTGACCCTACATTATTTATGACTGTATGGCCCTTGTGAATCAATATTTATAGCACCATGATTTAATATCAGAATTCGATAAGTTGATATATTTTCAATGGTCCCTATTATTTTAAGTTACTGAGGTTTCACAGTTTGACTTACTGTAAAACTGTGTACTTTCAATTATCGTTCTCTCCTAGGTAAACCTATCAATATGGAGTAATTAATTTCAGGGATTGAATGATGAAGGTGCCTCAGAAACAGAGCTCCAGATAAGCTTTTGGTGTTGTGGGTGTTTTACCCATGCATTTTAAAATCATTGGGTATCAGTAATTCTATCTGGGTATTCAAATTTCTGTTACCCACTAGTTTTTACACATGTGGGTATTTAAGTTACAAATTTATAAACACTATTTCTCAAGTCCCTGCAAACTGGTGTCGTGTGGGTTCGAGAGCTTTATAGGACTCAAAAATACCACAATACTGCCACAAGAAAGTGTGTTGGCAAATGATCATGATGTAACTGTCATCGTGGAGTTTGGCAAGGTTGACGGAATGCCCGTTTATAATTTCAAAATAAGTTGCTGATTTGCCAATCGAATACGCAGGGTTACTTCACAATATTTTGCACAAGTTTTATTATTGTAGCGTATCTGTAATGTTCGTTGCGTATTTGATACGCTTGGATATTATTTTACTGCATATTTCTGCATTTCTGATGTGTATTTTAAATAAATATGCGACCCATGAAGATCCAGGGAAGAATAGGTCTTCGGCAACCCATGCTTGCTGTAAAAGGTGACTGTGCTTGTTGTAAGAGGCGACTAGCATTGGGTGGTCAGACTCGCTAATTTGGTTGATGCATGTCGTAATATGCCAATTGCATGGATTGATGCTCATGATGTCAGTCACTGGATTGTCTGGTCCAAATTCAATTACTTACAGACCGCCGTCATATAGCTGGAATATTGCTGAGTGCGGTGTTAAACATCAAACAAATGAAAGCAAAAAATGCACGTTTTAGATCAAAATATAAGACAATATGGGCGACCTGCTAAGCCGTATCACAAAGGTAGTCTGATATATGTTTCATACACCTTCATGTTTCAGGCTCTGGTTGATATTGGTGACAAGGAAAAGTCATTTGTTGGGAGTCGGAAGTGGATTGGCTCACTTGAAGTTGGGTACTGTCTGGATCAGTTGATTGGGGTAGGTCATGACAGTCAGTCAGCTGTACTTGTCATGCAGTAGTACAGTTTACAACTATTCTAATAATAGTGCAATATTTACAGTGTACTGTGTGGTATATGATTGTAGTGTGGTTATTAGTGAATGGTTTCAAAATCCGCCTTTGCTTGATGCAAACATCAGCAGCTCAGGGATGCAAATTGTCACTAGCCCACCACCTCGAGTAAGTCTGTTTCCCACCACCTCGAGTAAGTCTGTTTCCCACCACCTCGAGTAAGTCTGTTTCCCACCACCTCGAGTAAGTCTGTTTCCCACCACCTCGAGTAAGTCTGTTTCCCACTACCTCGAGTAAGTCTGTTTCCCACCACCTCGAGTAAGTCTGTTTCCCACCACCTCGAGTAAGTCTGTTTCCCACCACCTCGAGTAAGTCTGTTTCCCACCACCTCGAGTAAGTCTGTTTCCCACCACCTCGAGTAAGTCTGTTTCCCACCACCTCGAGTAAGTCTGTTTAATGTTCAGGGATGACACTTTTCAACAGATTTGTGGAATTCATAAGTTTTTTGTTATGACAAGGGTCACTTTTGCGTGACATGCAATTACAATATGCACATAAATCATATACTTCCCACGACCCCCAGTTAACTTTCTGTATTTAAAAAAACCTAAAAACATTGTCATCCCTGGATGTTAATGCTGTTTTAGAGGTTTGTTAGAGGTAGTCCTTATGTTATCATTATTCCATGTATTCAGGCAAGTAAGTGCTTCAAGTTCTTTTGCATCCCTACAGCTATCCCTACAAGTAACAGCTATCACTATTTGACCTGCTCTTGCCTGTCAGTTCCACCATCTTTAGTACTGTTCGGAGGGAGGCTGTCAGAAATTGATGGACTAAGATGATTGCAAAGTCATGATGTAACTCTCGTCACAAGCGTAATGGTCTTTGTTTCTGCCTTATCATTGCAGGTCACATGCAAGATTATGAACGTTAGCAGTGGCGGGGACCTGGCTAGTAAAGGGAGAGAACTGGCATCACACTTCACTCATCAGGGCACTCCGATCATGATTGGTAGGACACTCTTTACTTTGGAAATGTAGCCGCTTGATTAGGCTTGTAAAAACCCATATGGTAATTTATCATACATGTACCTCCATGTCAGAATGATGAGATCTGATTGGTCCATGTGATCTTGATAAAATACTGTGTATCTCGCCTTGGAGGGAAATGAATTTCTCAGTGGGAGAATAAATCCCTTAAACAAGACCTGCTTTCGAAGCAAAAGGCTGCACGCTTTTTCCGATTAAAGGAAAGTCATGTGACATAGCAAAGGTTAACCACAGCTCGTTCCAACTGCTGTTTTTTATCAATTTTGAATTTCTTTTAATTCTTTAACATTGTTATATTGAGGCATGTTGGAAAGATAAATATGTTGTAGCAGGATCACGAGGGGTACAAGGGGTTTTATGTGTCCTGAGTTAGGTTTTATAGCACTCTCTAAGGCTTGTGGTATGCAATGCTTAAAACCCTACATACCCCTCATGATCCTGCTACAACATATAATATACTGATTTGTTCGTTGTTCAACGCCACACTCAGCAGTATTCCAGCTATATGACGGTGGTCTGTAAATATTTGAGTCTGGACCAGATAATCCAGTGATTGATATCATGAACATCACAATTGGAATCGATGTAATATACCGGTACACATATAGTATAGTCAGTACTTCATTTGAGTGTACACACTAGGTTCTTACCCAGGAATATATTATGTTGCTTTGTGGCGTATGTGCCAACAATTCAAGGGCCTGCCTCAATGTCAGGCAGTGATAGGGTTTGCACAATGTTCACGCAAGCAGTAACAACTTAGTAGCATAGTAGCCATATGTATTCAAGGTGATGGAGGAATATGATGTAAGCAATTAAACCTGTTCACACTTGTGGTCACATGAAAGACACAAACAATATTTTAACATAAAATATTTCACCTTCAACTTCTATCTCGAACTTGTGGTCTCGTACTGATACATTTGTCATGTGGTAATAGTCAGTTGTACAGTATTTAATGAATTGAACTTGTGTTCGTCAGCCAGCTCTGATCATATTCAGTTCATGACACCCTGTACACCCTGCTACATGTGCGTTGTAAGACACCAGCTTCATACTGTTTTTCTCATTTTTATAGGATGTATCTTGGGTTGTTTTATATGAATATTCTCATTAAACCTTAATGATATAGAATGAACAGTTGCAGGGACATTATAAGCACTTGGTAGTAGATGTACTGACTGTAGCATCCAATAGCTGAAAATGCGTTCTGTTCAGGTGGAGGTGTCTTGGCTCATACCATCCTGGGGGTGGACTTTGATGAAGTAACAGGCAACATTCGCTTCCTCATCCTGGACCCCCACTACACAGAGTCAGAAGACCTGAAGGTCATCTTGGATAAGGTCAGTATAGATCGCACAGGACAATTTGTGAACCCCACAAAATGTTTAGACATGCTTCTTGTGAGACAAAAGTGGTTGTCTCGATATCTGTGGTGCCATTTAGTGCCAGATTTGGTGACCCGGGGTGCCATGCAAACTGAAATGCAGCCGAAAAAAAATTAAACATAAAAATATTTATTTTTATTGTCTCCCGCTAGTAATATGGCCATTAATAAAAAATGTTAAATATAAATTCTATGTCTACATCACTATCAGCGATTCAAGAAGTCAGCTGCACCTCGGCAGAATTATTTGGAAAAAAAAGTTTAAAAAAGTCATCTGCTTGCAACAACTACTGAGAGTGAATGTTGTTGAACACTGCATGCAACAATATTCCAGTCATGGCAGCTTGTAGGTAATCCATTCTGGGCCAGACAAACCAGTGGTTGATATCATGAGCAACCCCCGCACTGTTGGAATGCAGTGATACACAATCAGCCAAATCAAGGGAGTGTAAATACCTGTTCCATGCTAATCATCTAACCATGAGTACTGGTGACCTGTTCCTACAAATATATTACATCATTCTGATGGTTGTGTGTTTCAGGGATGGTGTGGCTGGAAGGGTCCAGATTTCTGGGAGGTGAATTCTCACTACAATCTCTGTATGCCTCAGAGACCACAGCTCATATAACGTGTGAAGTACCACCTTTGTAAGATAGCTGAATGAACGTGTGTAAACATAAACTAACATATTGACAAAATATCAGTGTTGTTATTTCTTTTGTTCATGACCCTATGGTGAGCAGATCAGTGTCTGTGATGGTTTCAGTTTTCATAGATTTATTCACCTATAGACCTATTAGCAAACCTTGAAGGTATCCCCCATGCTGAAACACCTCCACTCTGGTCAAATGACTTTCTTTGGAAATTAAAAATGATCAAAAAGTTTGGATGAAACTAATCTTTTAAATTTCATTCTGTTAGGACACATTTATTCCCTTCATATAAGTGTAATTTTGGATAGATGGCTACATGTAGTGTTGTGTTATTCAAACCAGACTAAATTCTGGTTGCAAATGAGACCAGGATATTTATCATAATACAATGGAGATATACTGATGGTCTTCAGCAACCCATGCTTGCTGTAAAAGGGGACTATGCTTGTCTTAAGAGGCGACTACCGGTAATGGGATTGGGTGGACACTATCGCCGACTTGATTGATGCATGACATCGATCCCAATTGCGGAGTGCGGCGTTAAACAAAAAAAATAAAATATATATATGTTTGTATACTGATGATGATAAACTTGGGGTCCATTACCTTTCCTTGTGGTCCCCAATCCAAGTCCTCAGTTGTTTTGGTATATTATACCGACTCTTCCATGAGAGGTCTTCAAGGTCGGGTCCCTCTTTTCAACGGACAACGCAGAGAAATGCAATAAGTTTGATTTTGTCTTTATTACACTTTGTACAGCCTCTACATTACAAAGACTTACCGTCTTCATGAACACAAAAATTACACGTGCATTCAATAATAATTGTTACATTGTACAGAAGCAGCCATCTTTCTCAGCTCACGATAGTTTAACAGTTAGCATGCCGTAATGGCAAATTGACCCAATCCCTTCCCATTTTGTATGTAAGCCTGACTAGCATAAACCTGGTACTGTAAACCTAGGTTGTCCATCAGGTCAAGTCTCCTGGTGCCGCTACAGTCATTACATCACATTTGAATTGAGATTAGTTAACAGAATAATGATAATTCTACAAACGAGACGATAAAAAAACTGGTCAAGCTGCAGAGTATGGCATTACGACAGTAACAATTGTGATTAGTTTGCATCCAGCTGGAGAACATGGACAAGTTCACAGGACACAATGGAGAAAATGCCTCGAGAAAATGGATTGTGGACAACATGCAATCAATATTACCATGTTAAGGACGCCACGAGCAACTCAAAAGTAGCAATCAAATATCCAGATCTCTAGTTTCCTTCCATTATTTAAAAAACTATTAAAACAAAGATATATGACAAAAGAAAACAAAATCAACCCTCCACTATTTCAAAGGAGCCACACTGGACATGATTCTCAAGCAATGAAAATTATCAATGAACTTTGTTTTTATCTCCTTGTAAACATTTAACTCAACAAATAATAAATATAAACCTACTGACTGGGAATAACAAACTAATAATCAAAGTAACAACTCAGTTAAATGACGTGTATCTGTTCTTATGATTTACATGCTTCTGTATTTATTCCTCCCGAAATGTACCGATATGCCAGTGGAGAAAGTACAATGACAAGGGTGAACAATGACATTGAAGTGGCAAGGAGTCAGGTTAGAGTGATACCAGGAAATTCATTACACCTCCCCTAGGTAAATCCAACTTTCTTCAACAACCGTCTTAACACGCTTCTCATACTCGCGCCGGTTGTCTTGGTAAAGCTGGGCTGCTATGTTATTAGCTGGACTGTTTGGGTTGGGTTCGTCTAACAAAGACTGAAAAACAATCAATGGGACAATACATCAGAAGGATAAAGAATGCGGCAGCAAAGATTTTAAGATGAACCAAAATCTCCATCCTACCTCTGGTTGAGAAAACGTAAAATTCCTGATGTGATACAGGCTTTCCTTATTCACTGAAGCCAGTTACAGTATACTGTTCACTTCGGTACATACATACACAGCAGGAGACTTAAAATGCAATGGAAATGTTAACTGATACACTGATGTCGTCCGAGTGTGGTGAGGAGGAGAGATGGTGCCCGCCCCCAACAACACATCACAAATTGAGAACAAACGGCAAAAATAAGCCAGCGAGAGGGAAGAGGAGAGAACAGTTCCGAGAGCCAGCTGTCTGTCCTCAAATGCGATCACTGGTGACCGCTCCGCCCCACCTACAGGCCGACCTGCCAGAAAATGTCCTACAAATATATGTTGTGGTGGAACGGGATGCTAAGAGCAAGCCATCGCCTCCTCTTCATCTTCCTCCTCATCATTCCAGCTTTCCTGAACGATCGCTGACACTTTTTTCTCGTATTCCCGTCGGTTCTCTCGATACAACTGGGCAGCCTCATTGTTGGCTGGACTATTTGGATTCGGATCATGTAGCAGTGACTACAAGAGAGAAATGACAATGTCAAATCATCGTTTGAGTGGTATTCTACTGATGAGATGAACACATACAATGGTGTACACACAATTTGGTTTCTACTTGGTGACGTGCAGACTGCATGATCTGTCCACACCTGTTGTAATTAAGTCAACAACACAATGGACGGGAATGAGGTAATGGATGAAATTGGCTAAATCTTAAATCTTTGCATGTTCTAAACTGTGAAGAGAAACAATGAAACACAAAACATCCTGTCTGTTAATCCAAATTTTGACATAACATTGGCCTTCATCATTGAGAAAAGAGCAGTACGCAGGCATGTATTAATTTTGATATTGACACTGAAATAGCTAGAAATTCTGCATTAATGAGCATCTATCCAAACACTCATTCACAAGTAGTTTCAAGTATTTCACTGTAAAATAGTGAACAGTAAATCCTCAGTTATCCATTATCTCCATTCTGTTATGGTGACACACTGGACCCATTTGCAACAATAGCTTCATTTCGGAAGTGATGTCCCTATCTCCATTTCTCGTTTGTTTGTTGTTTAATGTCAAACTCAGCAATATTCCAGCTATATGACTGCCGTCTGTAATTAATTGAGTCTGGACCAGACAATCCAGTGATTGACATGAGCATCAAGCCACACACAATTGGGATACGATGACATGAGTCAACCAAGTCAGCAAGCCTGACCACCTGATCCTGTTAGTCGCCTCTTACGGCAAGCATGGGTTGCTGAAGACCTATTCTACCCTGGATCTTCCCGGGCCCATTTCTCTTCTGACTAACTCTGCAGAGATTACTTGCTTAAAACCACAGTCAGCATGTACATTAATTTAAGCTAAAGTAAATTACAACAAATCAAAAAGTTTCTTAAGAATGAACCTCAAGATAACAAGATATTTTCTTGAATATTAAGGTGGGAAAGGGAGTCCTTATGCTTATGCATTTCAAGTTGTCTTTGAAATGAAAAACGTTGAGTACCAGTGATATCACTGCTTGTCATAATCATCAGAGAACACTGTAATTTGATAAAAACTATTCAAAACACGACACAAAATGAAGCCATGACTGTGAAATGGGTTCAGTTTAGTTATCATAAAAAATGGAGATATACAATGGAGAATGAGTAATGAGTGAGTCAATTGGGTTCTCCACTGATCAAAATTACAAACCAGTGGCCAAAGGTGTAAGCATTAATAAATACCAGAGACACTTGTGAATACTTGTATGATAGCCATAAAAAGCAGGAACATTTCTAGATAGGTTGAAATCCATTGCCTGTACTATAGTGTATAGCAATTTATATCAGTTTTCAGTTAATTGTATTCAAAAGGATTTGTCATTGGAGAACAAATCGAGTAAAACACTGGATTAACAGACTAAAGCAGAAAATGATACCATTCTCTTAAGGTGTTTGGTGTTAGTGCAATAAACATCTTCAAACAAAAAAATGATATTCTGTAGACATATAGAGAATCTCACCCGAGTGTCTTTTGATATCAAATATATCAACACGAGTTGATAAAAGTGGAAAAATTCCGAAGCTTGCCGAGGATTTTTGCCACTTTTATCAACAAGTGTTGATATATTTGATATCAAAAGACACTCGGTTGCGATTTTATTTATCATCCAACATCATTCTTCCAACTTTTTCAATTTGTAGACAGTAATTAGCAGTGTCTTCAGTGTAAAAAGTACTGCTAACAGCTTCAGTAGCAGAGCCATTAGTGATGTCATTTGATTGTGACGTTATAATAGCAGTGACGTCACAATGGTCTGCAAAGCAGTGTGATTTAATTTCATTGAGGCACAGTGTAGATATCGCTTGATCTAATCCAAGCGATATCTCCTGTGGGAGCCAGTTTTGGATGATAAAACCAAATAATAGATCCTTCAAGATGACTACATGTATATTCAATTATGTAAAAGAGCTTCTCAATGTCAACATATATCAACACGTTGAAAGAGTGATTTATCATCAAAAACTGGCTCCCACAGGAGATATCACTTGGATTAGATTACACTGCTTTGCAGACCATTGTGACGTCACTGTTTACCATGACGTCACATTCAAATGACATCACTAATGGCTCTGCTACTGAAGCTGTTAGCAGTACTTTTTACACTGAAGACACTGCTAATTACTGTCTACAAATTGAAAAAGTTGGAAGAATGATGTTGGATGATAAATAAAATCTCACCCTCATGTCTTTTGATATCAAATATATCAACACTCGTTGATAAAAGTGGCAAAAATCCTTGGCAAGCCTCGGAATATTTCCACTTTTATCAACTTGTGTTGATATATTTGATATCAAAAGACACACGGGTGAGATTCTCTATATATGAAACAGGACAAACACATTTCTAAAGTTGACAGTTTTAGAACGGCTTCTTAGTACAAGAAAACAAATAATCATAGCAAATAAACAGAATAATCATACATGTGTATAGTCACAGTGGTATGAAGGTGACCAAGCACTGAAACACACTACAACATTCTGGACACTTTCAGGGTCATACTTGTTAATTTCCAGTGACAAAGAAGCATGGTACTTGTTACATGTTAGTTTGCCGTAAATTACCAATGTTAATGAGTAAGCAACGTTAATGTCATTAAATTATTGCCATACAGCTTTTTTTCAGCCATGCCACAATGGACTGCTGTGACATCACAACGTCACACTTACCTGTATTGACGTAAGTATAGCTGACACATCATATGTAGGACTCCATCTATTCTGTAATATATCTAAACATATACTCCCATCAGCGTACACTGAAAAACAAGAAAAACATCATACAAAATTCAGATAACATCATCATCATCAGACACTTCTTAAGCATTAATCTCTAATCTCAACTGGGTAGTAACGGATGCCAAATGTTTGACACAAAGGAGTATGGATGTCTGCATGTTATAAACATATAACTGACATTTCTGTTCTGGTAAGTAATACACTCAAAGTTCAGAGTTCCAAAGGCTTATGTTTTCAATCTAATATTGAAATCCCATCCATAATACTTCAAAAGGCATAAGTCTTCCGATGCTGTGCACTGACATGAGTCATATGACTTTGGTCAATTTCTTGGCAAGTGAAGTGCACCACAGATCATCTAGACTCAAAAATAGACAGTCCCAGGTAAGTCTGAGTTACACTTACAGCAAAAGTAGCATAATAACTTTGATTGATTATCTTGTATCTAATGTTATGCTGCAGTCAGCATTATTGCAGTTATATCACAGAAGCCTGTAAATAATCAACTCTGGGACAATGAGTAATCAAAATATATTCTGTCAGGGTAAGACACAGTGTCACCGAGCCTGACAAGTGACCGACTGATCGAATCTATCGGCTCTTGCATCAAGTTTTGGGGGTATGTTGCCCACTGCCTAAATGGTTAAATGAACAGGGGAGATAATATAAATATTGCCTGTACACACCATTAGGGTGAAACATCTTTGACACAAATCGGACTGTTGGAGGTTTGTTTGGATACTCCTCTGTGAATTCTATTGTTAACTTGAAAGTACCATCTTCAAAAGGTGTGTCATGAGGCCTGGAAAAGAGGACAAAACAGGTAATGCACTGTATGACAATGATGACAGGAAGGTTCTATGATGCTATACTCTTCAATACTCTTCAATACTCTTACTCTACCTATCACAATTATTTCAAGGATTCTTTAGGCTTCCAAACTAAATTCCTCTGGCAAGGAATTTTGGAACACATTGTAATTTTGTTCACAATTGGGATTTTTAAAAAAAGTTCCTATTTCAGAGGTATTTTTATATAAAAGCCTCTCTTCTTCTCTATTTTTTTCTGTTATCAGCAAAAACTAATTCACCTTGACTAAGCAATAACATTAGTGATCACAACCATAAGAACAAGATTTATGAAATGCTTAATTCCATTTTGGAATTTTTAATGAAATTTGCTGCAAATTCGAGGTCAATTTTCAGACTCATGTCTAGATAACTCCCTGTACTTTAATAATATATCCATAATGATTTCTAGTACTTGTTTGAGTCCATAAAAGACCTTGGTAGCACACATTTAGTCATTTTTTATGCGAGCATACTTACAAAATTGAACAACGAATAGTAACTCTTACTTGATATAATGTCTACCAAATAATCAAACAGTCATTATTTATATATTACTCAGATTCCATGTTAAATGTCATTCTATGTGACAAAATATCAGGAAAACCCAAAGCTATGATAAATCCATAACTGCTTCATAGTGGTCATTGTAATGATTAATCTTGATTCCTTAAGTGATCTCCAACACTAACAGTCACAAATACATAGATTTTTAGCTGCTACTCTCATTATGCAGCCAGCAAAATATTTGAATAATGCAAAAATGAATCATTTATGTGATTGAGCAAGTACCCACCACACGCATTGTCATTCGTATGAACAAAGCAAATGTTATCTACATAAATTTACATACATATTGCACTAAATCCTAACACAATTTTCACCACCTACTACTACTATCCATATAAACAAAGCTAATGTTATCTACATAAATTTAAGTACATATCGCACTACAACCTAACACAGTTTTTGCTACTAGTATTCATTCATTTCTAAATTCTGTTTATAATACCACAACCACAGTGAGTTGAAGTGTTTCAATGACGTATCGTCCCTGACATAATGCTAATCAACAGGTTTTCACATGATGTAGGAATTTTGTGTATTTGACACTATTTTAACCCAAGACAAGTGTTCAAGATTATGCGAGTTAGTTCCTGGCTTCCCAGAGGTATGTTGAACTTTGAAAACATACAACTTTATGGATAACCACTAGTGGTTTATTGCATGTAGTGCTGTATAGATGTAGACTCTTACACTACACTGTTATCAAGGTACAGTGACTACAACCAACTGATGAGAGGTATACATACATTTTACTGTGGAGACACTCCAGATTATATTGATGTAAGAATCTACATCAAAACATTCCTAAATGCAATAAACCAGAAGCTGGTACCTACTAAGTTTTACGTCTTATTATTTACTCACAAACTTCTAGAATGCCAATCAAACAGATATGATATATGCTGAACTCAGGGTTACTTCTAGGGTGGGGCCTTGTGCTTTTAGCCGCTAAATTTGAAAAAAAGGCGTACACTTTTAAAAATCATGGGGCATTTTAACATTTTGTTGTATGGGTGTACCTCTGGAATATTTGAAATTTTCACATAGAGGGCCAATGTCAGAAATTTCCCAGTGTGAACTAGAATCTAAATCTAAGGACACCCTAAATCTACAGTTTCATTTTTAACTTAAGGTTCTCCATGGTCATCGACAAGGAAACCTTGACCTGATGCTTAATTTTGAACACTGCTAAATACACATACGGTAATATTTTTGATGTGTCACATTCATGATATTTGACACAACGCATTCTTATCAGCTCTAGTTCCTACAAAAACATCCAAGGCACAGTAAAAGAAATTGCTTATTTTCTTCACTTTAACATGTTTTAGTCAACACAATGTTCGAAGTTACTTTTGATTTATATTTAAAAAATCATCTAGATAATACTGAAAAAATAAACATCTTTGCTTGAAGTTATTAGCATTGATTAGCATTGGTTCAAACTTGGTTGCAGTGTCTAACTAAAACTAAAAGCTTAAATTTATGCATGACTCTAAATTGTTCTTTTGACTTGCAAATTAACAAGACACCCAGTTTTTATCAGCTAGGCAAATATCCTGCATCAAACATGTAAAGAAACTTGTAAAATACAAGTCAATTTAAGTAACTCATTCTTTGTTTTTATGTGTATCAGTGTATTGCAACATGTGTTAAATATCAGGTGAATACATAATTTCAGTTTCACACAAGGTCCACCATCTTGATCTATATTGAAAACTGGAAACACGTAGCAGCAGGACATTATAGCCCCTACATAAGTGGTACATATTTTAGCTTAGCAACTCATCCACACTCTTAACCTTATCCATTAAAAGGGTATTAAAAATACAGTAATTTAACTAATCATGGAAAGGTTTAGAACCGTAACATCTAAGTTGTGTTTGGTGTTTTAATGCCGGACTGAGCAATATTCCAGCTGTATGACGTCTGTATGACGTATTAACGTCTGGAGCAGACAATACAGTGATAGACATCATGAGCATCGAGCTACGCAATTGGGGTATCATGTGCATCAAACAAGTCAGAGAGCGTGACAACCCAGTCTTGTTAGTCACCTCTTATGACAAGCATGGATTGCTGAAGACCAATTCAAACAGGGATCTTCATGGGTTGGGGTACAAAGGGAAAAATGATAAATGTATTGGTTGTGAAGACCAAGTTAACTAGTGAAAAAGTAGACAACTGTGCCTAGTAAGTGTAACCTTGCTTAGTTCACTAACTTGTTACAGCCTTTTGACGAAATGGTAAAAGAATTGCAGTGTGTAGTGAAACTTAGCGACATTATACATGTTATAGGTGTTAGTCTTGCATCATCCAGAATAGACTTCATGTAAAATAATATCACCAATTCCACAGCTCAATCCATGCTAGTGGTTTATGTAAATAAATAGATTTTGTAAGGAAACAACAAGTCCTTAAACATGTAAACAATTATCACTTGTCTTGGATTAATGAAATAGTGGCAACGCCTAACACTGAAAATATGACTAACTTATTGCATATAAAAATAATTATTATTTAATCAACATGATACAAGAAACTAGCATTGCATGGCAACATTTACCATGTGTGCCGTATGTTATGAATGCATATATATCACATGATACACAAGGAAGTCAACATGGTCAACAATCCATATTTTCTGTACAAAGACTTGCAATCTAGCCATAGCATAACATGTTAGGGTCATTGTGCCTCTGACATATCAAATAACTCTGTTTTAAAAACAAAATACATAAAAAACAAAACAAATTCAATTCAATATATGTATAAGAACGATATATGTATTTTGACTTCTGATAGCTTTGTCATTGATAATGTCTTACCCAAATATAACAGCATTCCAAAGCATAATATTGTTATCAGTAGGAGCACCACTAACACCAGCAGGGGGATCCTCTTGTAATCTGAAACAAAGAATTGCTCCCAATAACAAATAATGACAATTGTAAAATGACATGAAGATACGTGTCTTAGATGAATAAATATGCATCATCAGTCTTGACTGAGGTTGTTACGCAGCGGCCATTTTGGAATATTTACATTCAGATTTTGTCGCTAAAAAGGCTGAGATAGAAACAAACCTTTTGAAATCGCGCATTAGTCTTCTTCTGGCTGGAGTAGACATGTCAGTGGTGTGATCAAAACTATTTACACTGTTCGATTAATGTATGTCTTGATTTCTATGTATTGACAACAGCGATCTCACGACCACTGACGTCTACATCCGGGTTTCAGCTCTTTCTAAAGGTTACACTGGCGCAACTAATATTACCAGACAAAACTTTGTAAATTTTGTTTCCACTAATACATTATATACTACTTTAGAAATATGAATATATTACATAAATCATTACCCAATAAGTATTCATTTTAATTTACAAGAATTGTCTGAAAACAAGCATTAGATCGTAACAAATTTCGTTTACGAATAATATCGCATACAATAAGTTGTAGCACTAGTCGTATTCATTCCCATGACATCATGTGGTTATAAAAATAGCTATATTGCGAGTCCACAAACAATAGAGATGTATAAGATCCAGCTTTAGATTTGAAACCATCCCCGTATGCTATTCTAAGCTACATGTTATATCATAAACAGTTATCACGTGACAAGTAAACGAACATGTAAAGGGCTTTATAACAGTTTACATATATTCTATTTTATGTTGTTTTTTCTCTCTCCAAAATGTATATAAACTAGATTTGTTTATATAAATTTAGCCCCGGGTTATTTTATTATCACAAATGACGGTACTTGCCATGGGCGCATAAAAACGTTTAACATTCTATACCAAAACAAAAGTTTAACATTAGTGTTATATAATTATGTACCTCCCCATAAAGAACTACTTTTGACCTTTTACGTGTATACTTTCTGTGGTGCCCATTCTATATTTTGGTAACTATTTTATTATGACAAACGTGTACTTAATTAAACGCACTTTAGCAAACATTGTTTCCAAAGATACGTTATTAAAAAAAAGATAACACAAATTGCACCATGTTTATCACACTCCTAATGTTGTTTTTTAGCATTTGAATGTTCATAAAAGTAATGATAACTGTAAATTCTTTGTTAAAATTATTTTTTTTAATCATAGCAACGTTATTTACCTGATCCTACCCTAACACCATAGACGTGTAGAACACCCTCTGTGTTCTCTGACATAATCACATATGTATTAGATGAAAGTATTTTAGAAAATGACCATCTGTGATTCCCTGTATTTCATTATAGGTGATTTACAAGCTGTCTATTTAAGTAGACTGATGTGTCATAAATTTCATTGTCACAAAGTAGCCCTGATTGACCTTATTACGTCACGCGATGGAGGGGGGCTGTCGGAAGTCCTCGACACCTGTGCAGTATAACGGCTTGTAATGAATAATGCATTCTGCCATATGAAACATGTAACGATTCGCATGCATCATGCATGCAGTCGATGTGGGATATTGGTATCCGCCTGGGTTTGGATGCATAGTAAATCGACTTGCGACATTATTTAATTACAGTCAAACACCGCTGTGTCAATTGTGATGTGTCGGAATTATGGTTGTCTCGAAGTAAAAGGTTGGTCCCTGTATATTCCTTCTTTATCATCTTCGGTTGTGTCGAAGCTCGGATAACTCGAAGTATTTGCGTAGGTCCCTCCAACTTCGACACAACAGTGTTTGACTCTATGCTATCAATGTATGACTAACTCATTACTTTATAAATTGCTTATTGAAATTAAATTCGATTTTCAAATGGAATGAAGTGAAAAATATGCACTCAGTGACTTAAAACTCTAAACATTAAACAGTTAATTGAATAAGTTATATTGATAAATCGAAATGCTTGTTTTTTAAATGTTTTCACATTACCTAAATTAATATTCGTTGACACAACGCGTTTAAATTCAGGTGTTTAAAATGTTAAACTTAGAATTAAGGTATTGAATTCACAAATAAACGTTTTACACATACAAAGTTAGGTAGAGAGAAAGTATGACAGCTTGGAGCGAGCAAGCTTGTACAGTGTGACGGGGCCAGGCGCGAGTGAGTGAGGATGGAGCGAATGAGCAAATTGGTTTGAGGAAGGGACGTGTCAGGTGATTGAGTGAAAGTTAAAGTGAATGAGTGTGTTCAGCGAGTGAGTTTATGTTTGTGAATGAGTTATGTGAGTGAATGAGTTTGATTTTACGCCACTTTTAGCAATATTCCAGCAATATCACGACGGAGGACACCAGAAATGGGCTTCACACATTGTACCCATGTTGGGAATCGAGGCCGGATCTTAGGCATGACGAGCCAACGCTTTAACCACTAGGCTACCCGACCACCCCAATGAGTTAAGTGCAATAGTATAGTTAAACTGCGGGTCTTTGGAGTGACAGGTTCACTATGTGAAGATTAAAACCCGTGGCGCGCATTACCTCTTTTTAATGCAAACAATAGGTCCACAATACTCCATCATACAGGTTGTGGGGATCGAGTTGCCGGCTGGTTACTAAGATCTTTGTCAGAAACGAATATTTATTTAGTCACTGCATCTTCAAAACATAAAATTTCTTCCTGAGAAAGAAATATGGTGGTGTGAAATTGGGTTCAAGATTAGTGCACTTATATAGCGACGTGCATGCTCGCGTGTGTGGCTGCTTGTACTAGTCCGGCCGATTTTAAGTGCTAGCACACAGAGACTATGCGGCAGTTTAACATTGATACCTCACTCAGAGTCATTATAGTGAGTGAGTATGGTTTGACGCCGCTTTTAGCAATATTGCAGCAATATCACGATATCACGGCTGGGGACACCGGGAAATGGACTTCACACATTGTAACCACTAGGTTACCCCAACGCCCCCAGGCTCATTATACTGACTACGAAATTAACAGTCCCTGTTTTATCCCTTTAATGCCGAACGTCAGGCAGGGTAACGACAAGCAACGATATCAGTGACGCAACCAGGCACTCTGAAAGTGAGTGCCGAACAATATTTTACATTTTGTTTCAGGAAATCTAGTATGTCCCTTATTTTCTGGAACCAAAAACCCCCCAACAACAAACAAACAAACAAAAAACCGAAAATAGAACAAACAAACAATAACAGCCTAAATCCCAGAACATCAAATGATCGGCACCTGTTTGCAACCTCCTAGTGTCTTCACTGATCTATTGTTCAGATACCTGTTTGCAAACGCCTAACGTCTCCACTGTCCTATTGTTCAGATACCTGTTTGCAAACATGGCCATGATGTCTTCACTGTCCTATTGTTCAGATACCTGTTTGCAAACACCGCCGTAACGTCTCTACTCTCCTATTGTTCAGATACCTGTTTGCAAACACCGCCTAATGTCTTCACTGTCCTATTGTTCAGATACCTGTTTGCAAACCACGCCATAACGTCTCCACTGTCCTATTGTTCAGATACCTATTTGCAAACACCGCCGTAACGTCTCCACTCTCCTATTGTTCAGATACCTATTTGCAAACACCGCCGTAACGTCTCCACTGTCCTATTGTTCAGATACCTGTTTGCAAACACCGCCGTAACGTCTCTACTGTCCAATTGTTCAGATACCTGTTTGCAAACACCGCCGTAACGTCTCCACTCTCCTATTGTTCAGATACCTATTTGCAAACACCGCCATAACGTCTCCACTGTCCTATTGTTCAGATACCTATTTGCAAACACCGCCGTAACGTCTCTACTGTCCAATTGTTCAGATACCTGTTTGCAAACACCGCCGTAACGTCTCCACTCTCCTATTGTTCAGATACCTATTTGCAAACACCGCCATAACGTCTCCACTGTCCTATTGTTCAGATACCTATTTGCAAACACCGCCATAACGTCTCCACTCTCCTATTGTTCAGATACCTGTTTGCAAACCCGGCCGTAACGTCTCCACTGTCCTATTGTTCAGTTACCTGTTTGCAAACACCACTAAAACGTCTTCGACGACCTGCTGTTCAGATACCTGTTTGCAAACACTGCCTCAACATCTTGTAAACATCGCCTCAACATCTTGTCAACACCACCATTACGTCTTCACCAACCTACTGTTGAGATCACTGCTGTAGAATAATATAGATCGGATTGGGTAGACTTGTCTCCAGCAACTTGTGCTGGGCGTAACTATCAGCTTTTAGCAATATTCCAGCAATATCACGGCGGGGGTACCAGAAATGGGCTTCACACATTGTACCCATGTCGGGAATCGAACCCGGGTCTTCAGCGAACGATTTACCACAAGGCTACCCGACCGCCCCGCTGACACCTACACGATCCACGGCATAATCTAATTGAGTTTAACACAATAATACTTCAAACACGTCAAAAGTTGAAACGTATGAATTTAATTCCATACAACGGCCCACCTTTAGAATTCAGGCGTCCGTTCCACAAAATTATCGTAGCGTTTAACTTAGACCAACGACTGTCGTTGCGCTACAGTACGATCGCCTTGTGGAACGGGGCCTTGCACTTCAAAGTTTACAATCACGTCACAACACCCGATGACGTAATTTGTGGAAATTTGTTGCAAGATCCTTCGGCGAAACAATGCCACGTGACGTCAGCCTAGCAACAAGGTTGCTGGGGTCATCGAGTGTGCATAAGCTCCTCTCGGTGATCTATTATCTCCACACGCAATGTCGTTGAATAAGCCAAGGGATGTTAAGAGCTTTCAAAATTTTCCAGAAACGTGTTCCGAGAGTACATAAGCACGCATTTTGGTATAACACAATGTGTAATACAACTGTATGTTTATTAAACGGGTGATCTCTTCACGGGCAAGTAATAAATATAAATAGCAAACGGCGCAAAATGAAATATGGTGTCACTCCGTCTGTTAGTGATAATGGAGTTGCTTAATGATACAGAAACAAGATACGGGATCGTGTTATTTAAAGAAGGTTTATTTTTAGGAACAATAATACCACTGAAAACAGGTAAGACTTTTGCAAAAGAATATGTCAAATATATCGAAACTACCAGTATTAAAGTTCTACTATGACACAGCAGGCAGGATATGTCTTTCAAATCTCCATGACTTAGTGTCATGACATTCTGTTCCTGCAAGCGTTTCAGCTGTTTCCAAACATAAATCTATTTACAACCGAGAGTTGAATGGCTTACAACACTTTAACAACACCATCCTTCTGAAAGGTGGAACTAAAAAGTCTGAATATTACAGAAAAATGTGACAAATGACAGCACAAATATTTCTACATCTATAAATGACACAGAACATCCATCTAGACAATGGGATGTGACCATTACTGAAGCTGATTGTTTCCTTCAAAATGTGCAGCAGAAAATGGGGCTTCTCCCAATGCACTGTTTCATCTTGACCAGGAGCAGATTGCACTTGATAAGCAGGATATTATTTTGTTGGGGAAAATGTCGACTTTGATACAAGCAAGACTGATGTCTTAAACCACCAGAACAAAAGTCAGCATATATTCTAAACATGATCATCCAAGTCGATTGGAACACTTCGGATGATTCAAGGCATTCGGCACCCCCCCCCCCCCCCCTCCTCCTCCTCCACCCCCCCCCAAAAAAAAAAAAAAATAAAAAAAAAAAAAAAAAAAAAAAAAAAATAAAGAAAATAAAAAATAAAGAAAATAAAAAAATAATAATTATAAAAAAATAAAATATATATATATATATATACAAATATGCAAAAGCAGTTCAGTTTCCACTTTCCTGTCTCATCAACCCTTATCAGCGAACTTGCCTTTGTTGTTGCAATGAATTTAATTCTCAGTTAATATCAGACAGTTTGAAAAAGTTCAGCCGTAAACTGTTCTACAGGTGAATTCATTCACTCTCCGAACTGTACATCAAGACAATAGGTTTTCTCCTGGTATTCTCATCAACCTCACTGTCACTAGATCTGTCTTCATCAGATGAAGGGTCACTTGGAGAATCACTTGGGCAATATTGCGAGGAGCGTATCTTGTCCATGACCAATGATGAGTTTTGGTCACACGTTTGGCCACATGTACATATTTCCTCACAGTGACACTGACATTTGCATTCAAGGGCACACACATCACAACAGTCATGAGGGGGACTCACTTTTGATGGCGAACTTTCAAAATGTTGCAGAAGTTCCACACGGCGACATGAACTTCCGGTGCAATACTGCTTCATGCAAGACTGGACTGCATTGCTCTGGGACAGACATTTCCTATATGTCATCAATATGGCGTGTACTTGTGTCTTCTGATTTCTTCCAGCTCTTCCGGTTTCTTGTATGTAATCCTCCACGTCATACGCTGGCCCATAGTGAATGACGTGACCTACACCTTGTACATCGAGACACGTACTGAAGGACGACGACACCAATACAACACGTTTAAAACCCTGGTCATCCTTGAATGAAGAACAAATACTTTCTTTGACTTCATCGTCTGTTTTAGAGTGCAGCATGTCAAATAGTCTATTTCGGTCATCATTAGGGCCCTTAGGCTTAAAATCAACACAAGCCTTGTCACGAAGTGAATAAACCAGATATCCATAAAGATCTCCCATCTGACGTATTTTTCTGAAGAAAATGGCCACTCTTGGAGTGTTCTGGCCCTGTTCCAGAAGTAGATCTGCAAGCCATGCAAAGTCTTCAGCTATGCTGCGTTTAGCCTCACACAACCAATATTTGATATTGCATGCATTTGGACTGACAATGACTTCATCACATTTCTGAATGCACAGTTTCTCTTTGATTAATGTACGTGTTTTCGCGCATGCTGTGGCTGTAAGGGCAATCACTGGGACAGCTGTTAGTGACCTCAGCTCTCCAAGCTGCCCATACGCAGGTCGAAATGAAGCCCCGTTCTTGTCACTGGACACTCCACTGTAAAGACATGTGACAAACGTATTAAGTCTATACTCGTTGTAAACATTCTGTAGTTATTAGTGTTTCACTATTAGGGACGGGAAATACATTATAGGGGGTGAGTTAGTATAGTTTTACGCCGCTTTTACCAATATTCAAGCAAAAGGGGGGGGGGGGGGGGGGGGGGGCGAAAGGGGGGAGGGTCGCCTACAATCATGACAACTAGGGTGGGGAGATGAATAAATGACGCGAATATCTTGTTTTATGTATGAATTAAACATTGTTTTGGGACTTGCCATTCTCTCCCCCTCTCTCTCTCTCTCTCATGTACATACGAACGAAACGTTTACATTTAATAATATGATACATATACTGTACTTTGACGAAATACTAATGCACTAAACTATATGTTTTCTTAGTCTGTTTGATTGTAGCTGATATAACTATGGCCCCGCAATCTTGACAGGAGTGTCAGATACTGACATAGCTTAGTAGGGGGCTCAGAGGAGATGTTGCATCAACATGGTGTCGCAGTATTAGCTAATTGAACTGTTTGATTAATCCAGTGAGTGAGTATGGTTTTACGCCGCTTTTAGCAATATTCCAGCAATATCACGGCGGGGGACACCAGAAATGGGTTTCACGCATGTCGGGAATAGAACCCTGGTCTTTGTCGTGACGCTTTAACCACTAGGCTACCCGACCGCATTAATCAAGTGATCAGAACTGGTCGTAAACAAAACAACAACTTCCAATGCATATGAATGGGTCCCCGAGGACTGGTGTTTCTATTTAGATGTATACCTAAACAAAATAACAAAGTCTTGAAACAACAATTAATCTTTTCACTGATCAAGACTGGGCGGTCGGGTAGCCTAGTGGTTAAAGCGTTCGCTCGTCACGCCGAAGACCCGGGTTCGATTCCCGACATGGGTACAACGTGTGAAGCCCATTTCGGGTGTACCCCGCCGTGATATTGCTGGAATATTGCTAAAAGCGGCGTAAAACCAAACTCACTCACTCACTGATCAAGACAAATGTAAAATGTCAACGTCAGGGTTCATCAGTCTCGATTATCCGACGAAACAGATTGCTATTCATAGGAAATTGAAAGTTGCTCGATCTAATAACAGCACAAGGTTGACTTCGTTTGGTAGTACTCTCTAGGTCAGGGGTTCAATACATGGTCGCGTCATACCCAAAGACGTTAACAGATGGTTCATGTTTTACCCTGCCTGACCCTCGGCAATAAGGGGTTGAAACAAGGACTGGTCGGCTCGGAGTCAGTATACGGTGTCTGAGTGGGTATTCATGTTAAACTGCGGCATGGTATCTCAGTGGGCTAGCACTATAAAATCGCCATCAGTCCGGAGTAGTACAAGCGGACATATACACACGTGCATGGACGTCGCTATATAAATGCAATAATCTTTGACGCGACGTTAAACCCAATTTCACCCCCCTAATGTATATGCACAAAATACATATACACCGTATGTAAATGAACTGAATAAACTTCTTCTGTTATCAATAGGTGCAGATTTAAGGTTAATCATAGTCTACACTACAAAGTTGACACTTTAAGGCAGAACACTTGCATTAGGTCAAAAAGGTTTTTAATTACTAGTGTTAATACAATGGATTCATGAAATACACATTATTTTTTTATTAAGACCACGTATACTTTTAATGAATACTACCACACGAAGTCAACCTTATACTGTTATTGAGAAGAGATCGGGCAACTTTTAGTTTACTATGAATAAAAGTAAATATCTTCTCACAGACATTGTTTGCTATTGTTTGAGTGAATATTAGCCATTTTTGAACTTTGTATTGGAAGTATAATATTGAACTGCAAAAGGTGATCCATTTTTATATATTTCATTGCTTTTGGGGCTTTTACAAGCAATGGAATTTGTTTCGGCGGATATTCGAGACTGCGTTGACATTTTACATTTTGAAAAAGGGTAAACGGCACTTGTTAACTTTTTTTTGTTTTGATCAGTGAAAAGAATATGGGTTGTGTCAAGACTTTGTTATTTTGTTTATGTAAGTATCTAAAGAAAACAAAACACATGGTTCCCTTGGGGGCCTATTCATATCAAAAGGGGCTTGTAGTTTTGTTTACGACCAGTAATCACTGGATTAATCAAACAGTTCAGTTAGCTAATATTGTGACATCATGTTGATGCGGTATCTCCTCTGAGCCCCCTAATGGGCTTTGTCAGTATCTGACACCCCTGTAAAATTGCGGGCCTTATTTATATCAGCTGCAACCAAACAGACTAAGACAATATTTAGAGCATAGTGCAGAGCATTAGTATTTCGTCAATGTACACTACATGCGTGTCGTGCGTGTCATATTGTTAAATCTAATCATTTTGTTTGTATGTAGGTATATGAGAGGGAGAGAGAGAGAGAGAGAGAGAGAGAGAGAGAGAGAGAGAGAGAGAGAGAGAGAGAGAGAGAGGGAGGTTGGTTTGGGTGGATTGGGTGGTATTATCTTTTTACACTACAGGCAGCAATAACCCATTCGGATGTTGGAATAAATATAACGCATTAAATTGTGCACTTACAATTTGGATATACATTGTGCTTCTTCAATGAAAACTGCCTTTAGATGTTTCTGTTTATCCAATTCAGTCACTAAGTTCCGATGACGTCCAAGGATAGATTCCGGGGTGGTGAATATTACATCAGCTTCTCCATCTCTAATGTCTGCGACAGTCATTTTCTCTATAGAAGATACAAGACCGCCATCATTCGCCAGTGCTCCCTTCTCTGTGACGTCATTCAGGCACACGGCCTTGAGCCCCAAGGACGAACATTTCTCCACATACTCCTTCCTCAGTTCCACGAAGGGAGACACAACAATGACAGTAGCATGGCTTGTACTTTCTACTGCCTTGTACAAGTGGGGAGAAAGCTCAAATGTTAATGATTCTCCACTTCCGTTTGGAGAGCAAAACAACACATCTTTACCTTTTAAGTACCCTTCAATCACTTCCTTCTGGGTTGGACGGATGCTCTGTATGTTCGCTTTCATCAGTGATGAAGCAATCAGCTCATCAATGTTCCTATTCATTTTTAAGCAGAAGTGCAAAACGTCCTTTTCACCGGAGTAACAATGGATCAACTGAAGAAAACACGAGGTCGTGTATGTCACTGTGTCTCCAACGTAACCACACATGTTGTCTGAGCGAGCAGGAAGGGGACAGAGCAGGATGGGCGGTCTCGGCTCAGCGTGGGGTCTTGAAGAATGGTGGGGAGACCCGCCCTTCGCCATTACTAAACACTCATGACAGCGGTAGAGATCACCTTATAATGACAAGCCATATTCATGATATTTGCTTGTGAATTCAACAGTTGCATAAAGACCTAGACTGACATCTAGTCCAAGAAATAAAGTTATCTTATTTTAAAATATATATATCTACAAAATGAAAATAATAAAATCCAAATAATCCTTAATTTCAAGCTTTGTTTGTTTGTTTGTTTGTGTGTTGTTTAACGCCGCACTCAGCAATATTCCAGCCATATAACGACGGTCTGTAAATAATCGAGTATGGACCAGACAATTCAGTGATTGATGTCATGAACATCGATCCACGCTCTTGAGATACAATGACATGCATCAACCAAGTAAGCGAGCCTGACTACCCGATCCGGCTCGCTGACTTGGTTGACTAGCAAATCTGCAAAGCTCTAATTCCTGTAATCTTGTAAATGTCAACTTTAATTTCTGTTTACATGCCACAGCTACTCAGACGGCCTATTTCTGACCCCTCCCTGCCACACCCTTTTCCCTTGGTACCCCTCCCCTCCCCAGTGTGGCACCAAGACTGTTGCTTTTCTTGTGTTTTCCAGCTCTTTGTATATACATGATGTAATTTCAAAAGTAAGTGATTTTCCAGTTCCAGTTGGTGAACAAATTAACACATCTTTTCATTTCAAGTACAACACAATAAGTCTTTTCTTATTCGGACGGATCTGCTTGATATTATACAAACAAAGTGCAGTAAGAATTGCCTTTTATACCTTACTGGATTCCATTACAAATATATCTGTGAATGTTTAGTGCAGGGACGCGTCCTCCTCCTAAAGCCTAAACCCAGTCAAAGACGTATATAGATACGTCTTTGACCAAGTATATTGTGTAAATGGGAGATCCTACAGCTGGCATTCATTAAGTTTAGACAAGGGAGAGAGGCTTCACGCTGTGTCGACCACATCAGCTGTAAACACCAGTGGACAGAACAAGATTAACTGATAAAAACAAGCCATAACCTCGCTAGCCCTGCAGATTTGGACAGACCACAGAGCTGGGGCAATCTAGACTTGGCAAATCTTTCTAGACTTCAGTTACAGCACGGACTTGGTTACAGTAAACTACGGTTATAACGAACTCAAAGACACCACTAATGTTTGTTCGTTATAACCGTAGTTCGCTATAAGCTGATATACAGCATACAGCAATATATGGCCGGGACTTAAAAATAAGTTCGTTATATCGGTCAGTTCGGTATAAGCGTGTTCGTTATAACCGTACTTTACTGTAGTTGAACTCTATGAACCTTTTCATTTATTCTCTAGGGACTGGGACCTATGTACAGACCCTGAAACTTCAGTCATCTAGTCTTGCCGACTATTATAGACTTGCATGGCCTGTATTCGATATATTTGTTTCAGGGCCTGTATTATAAACTAAAACTACCATAATATAGCTGGAGTAGTGTGAATTAGTGTACAGTAAACTACGGTTATAACGAACTCAAAGGGACCAATAACGTTTGTTCGTTATAACCGTAGTTCGTTATAAGCAGATATACAGCATATATACAAGAAATGGCCGGAACTAAAAATAAGTTCGTTATATCGGTCAGTTCGTTATAAGCGTGTTCGTTATAACCGTAGTTTACTGTATTTAACAACAAACTACTATTCCGATCACTGTTTGCAAACGATCCCTAATGTTCAGAACACATTTTTCAATACCACTCTATAACCATTTCACTGGACTAACGCTTAGTCTCTTAAAATATTCTTTTGGGTGTTATAGAAACAGAGACCATATACCGATATCGGTATATGATCTCTGATAGAAACAAGCAACTACATATACATCGAAAAGGAGACCCTTAGATGGGAGATTATAAGTAAATATAGACTTGCTTCATTTTGGGTTATAGCAGCACAGTAAGGGCTGAGCGAAAGGGAAAATAATATATACCTTCAACATACTCTAGTACAACCTATAACATTGTATACTGTGCGAAAAAAAAGTGATTATTAATTCGATCATTCTTTGATAACACACCATCTCCCCAGGCTACATATAAACTTATTCCACCAGGTTCATTAAAATACACGATTGACTCTTTTCTGCGCTTGAAACTCAAATTTGCTGTTCTGATTTAACCTTGCAATTCCCTGCTACTCTAATACATTGAATCACAGCTACAGTGTGATTCACTGGGTGTTCAATAAATGCAAATACGAATGCGCTGTGCATGGATTCGTGTAGACTTGCACAAGTCTCTAAGGCAATAATTATTAGTTTAAATAATAATTTCTAAATAATGCTAATAATACGAACAAGCTGTCCCTATTAGAGACAAGCGTACTTGTACTTTCTGTTTATCTAGACTGCCTATTATATGGATACAAGCACATACACCAATGGACTTATCATTCAGTACAGCCTTGGAGCAAGGCTAGCGTGCGTGTGCCTTGAGTGGAAACTGAAACGACTTGTCACTTAAACTGAAGCTCTGTGGTATTGTGCTCCAAGCAAGACAGATGTCGTGACAGAACGTTATCAGGACTAAAAGGAAACTGTATGCACCTATATATCTTCATAAAGTCCTAACTACGAATCATGAAGCTTACAGTTGCTAGATGAATACTTAATATTAACAAAGGCCTCAGACTAACAACGCCTACTTTACATTTAACACACGTGTTTATTTATAATACTTCGGAAATATATAATTATGCACGGAAATATTTATTAAGTATAGTATAGCTATGCTGTACACACGTGCACATCATTTGTATACTGTGCACTAACTCATTTTTTAATATGTCATACTTCATGCACACATGCAACACTGGGCTTTAATTTCTGTCTCATTAAGCTCACTTGTCATATTATAACTGAACTACTGTTCAAAGAGGCGTAAAACCAAATTTACTCCCTGGATGAAAATATAAAGAAAAGAATATATACAACAACGCTTCTTGCCACTATTATCGCCAGAGTAGCTTATTTCTATTTGTAGGGTGGTGGTTGGGTAGCCTAGTGGTTAAAGCGTTCGCTCTTTGCAACAGACGTATATTAATAAGGAACAATGAGTCAAAATAGAAATAAACACGAGACGTTTATAAAAACATCCTTGAATATTACCCTGACGGTGCTGTGAGTTGTGAAGGCAGTGAGCCGTGCCGCGCCATCAATGCAGTTAATGGTCAAAGGGAGATAATCGTGTTAATAATGCTAATAACAAATAAGAGTAATGTCCCTTGTATAAGCTCCTTCCCAGCGCGTGACACCTTCGTTACACTCTCGGTAAAATCGCTGCCACCAGTGTGGGCACGGCCATTACAAGACTCTTGAAATTGAAATCTTGATGCCCTCTAACCCCAAATGTAGTAACGTTCACAGTTCATTTTGAAAAGGTTTGCGACTGACCATGTTTTCCAGATGAATTTACTTTGTTGTTTGTATAATCAGATTGGTTCGAGATTGCAGACTAACGGAAAATCAACCAACTACTCCCTTAATTCTTACTTTATCAATTACATGATAGTTTTAATGAAATAGAAATTGAACTTGACAAATCCAAAAACATAGTAGTCTAGCGAAGTGTATTCGGCGTCACGACAGTCGTTACTTGTTTGTAAACATAACGGTCATTCGGGTGCGAGTTCAACTCCAAGCATGGTTGTGGTCATCAATCACTGTGGGGAGTTTTGACTGGTGGCAACGATACATTCCATTCGTGACCAACTCGTGTTATTCCAGGCTACGGAAAGGGGCGAGTGGTGACGAATGGGCAACGATAGTACAGATAAGCTGGTTCCCGACTCCCGATGCGCGTCGTCAACTTGCGCCAATATTGTGATATTAGAGACGGGGCCCAGCTTATAGTACATAGAGCTCTGGCGGGATATTGCTGTGAGGAACTTGAGCTACACACAGTGTGTTAATTTACACTCACCACATCGTGTGGAATTGTCCTAGACTCGTTTGCCTATCCACATCGAATGGGAATTATCCGAATTTATATAGGGAAACTATTCGGCGCACCGAGACTGAGCGTAACTGTTACTGGTTCTCTCCCTTGCTACAAGGTCGAATGAAATCATAACTTCGAAAGGGCATGGCACACATATTATTTCCATTCCACACCAACTCGTGTTATTCCAGGACAAGCTGAATAAAGGGTCGAGTTGTGACGAATGAGAATATGTTCATAACATAGTTATTTTCCTTCAATGAAGTACAACGAAGTGTACACTTTTAGCTAGACAGGAGCACAGTCAAATTGCCAAGCTGAATTACTTCCCTTTGACCACAAACTTTACCGCATGAAATAAAAGTCGATTGAATTGTCTCCCTTTGACCATGACAAAACCTTTGTATCGTCGCAGATTTGCCGACTCAGATCATGTCCTTCTTTCATCCTAATTAATTAAATATAAAATATATTAAAGAAACTACCTAGATCTAAACCTATGTTGGATGTTTTTCCCTTGTTTGTTAATTTACCCCAGAGTATCTGGTTCCATTTTGCCCGAGACTGCATGTTAGAAGATACACATTTGTTTAAAAAGAAAGTGATTTTAGATTCGAACCTATGTTTTATGTTTTATGACTCGAAATAGGTCAATGATAAGAATATTATATAAATTACAATATGACTTTATGGTGATAGTTTCTTTTCTGCATGTGCCTTCCTCTTTGATATTATATTATCTTTTTCCACAATTTGTATAAATTTGGTTTTCGGGTTCAGATTGCTCTCAATAGTCGACACGACTTATCGATATGACTGCGAAATATCTATATGATTGCGAGATATCGATATGATTGCGAGATATCGATATAATTGCGAGATGACTGAGTTCCTGGGGTGCGTTCCACAAAGCTAACGTAGCGCTATGGCTATCGTAACTCCCATACATAACACTGACTTACAACTATCGTTGCGCTACGAATTATTAGTGGAACGGGGCCCTGAACGTTAATTGTGAAGCCGGAGACGTGGACAATCGCCTCCACACCTGGCCTACCTTGCCACACTACACGAGATGTATGGTTGGTTAACACTCACAATTTGCTTCACATGAAAATTCCATGACGTGAGTTGAAGCTGCAACCTCACATATCACGTTTAGTATGGTAACCCACTGAGTCACCGAGGCAGGTTGTTCAACTTTTCACGTCCAGACTTCAGTTGTCTGCATGCGGCACGTGGTCTCTCTCTTGTCCGCTGTCATCGAATTTGTTCTCTACCGCGGATCCTGTATTGATTCACTATAAGGTATCCCGATGTTTTATGTTTCTTTATGGCTTTTTTTGCACTTGGGCGGTTCAGAAGTTATTTGAAACACCCCTCATCGGCTTTCGTTGAAAAGGGAAGACATTCGGCCCTCCAGCTTTTCCCTAGAAATAGTGTTTTAAATGCAACAAAAAATCAGCAGATATGCCTATTAAAAAGCCTGTTTATACAATTCAACTGTAAAATCTAGGTCTTACAATTCGAAACCTCCAAGCAAGTCTCACAATTCAAATGTTAAACCTCTCAGCGGGTCTCAGCTGAAAGTAGTACCTCTTATAAGGTTACAATGAAATGGCAAAATACCTACAATACAATGCGAAAAAGTGGCAGCAGGAGTGTTTGTTTGGTTTGTTTGTTTGTTGTTTAATGCCACACTCAGCATTACAGCTATATGGAAATAATCGAGTCTGTACCAGACAATCCAAAGCAATTAAGATACGATGACATGCATCAACCAAATCAGCGAGCCTGACCACCAGATCCCGTTATTCGCCTCTTACGGCAAGCACGGGTTGCTGAAGACCTATTCTACCCCGGATCTACACAGGAATACATATGGGGAGAGAGCCTGTCGGAACACACCCATGGGAGAACCGCAAATTTGGTATATATTGCCAGATACAAGGATGACAAGTATTACAACATCACAACGGGGATGAATTGGACTTTTAAACTGTTGGTAAATAGCATTCGTGTCGTTGGATGCCGAGAATACTCATCACGCGCTTTGTTCGGGGAGTAGTTTAAACCCGCTTATCCTGCCAAACCACTGGTATCCCATTCATGTTGCACGAATATGTGTTACTTGTGACGATTGATGTTTGTAGTTGACCGCACATCTAAACTATAGATCTATGTAAGTACTACAATAGATTTTCGTTTCACTTCAGATCGATTCATGCATTTTACATGTTCCAGTCCCATAATTGACTCCGTTTGTTTGTTGTTTAACGCTGCAGTCAGCAATATTCTAGCTGTATGACGGCGGTCTGTAAATAATCGTGTCTCTAATATCCAGCAGTTCAAGGTATCTTTAGGAAATATATGCAGATGATTTTAACCTCATTTCGATAAATGCTCAAAAGTCGGTACAAGGACTCTTTTTTTTCTCTCCATGTGGTCTCAAGTTTGTTTAACACGCACTCTGGACCACACAAATCTGTGATTGACATCATGAGCATTGATCTACTCAACTGGGATACGAAGCATCAACTAGGTCAGGGAGCCTGATCCCGTTAGTCACCTCTGACCACAAGCAAAATAATAATAGGCTATTTATATTGCACATATTTCCACACCACTCTGGAACTTGCTCAAAGCCTATTATTACCCTGGTCACTGGATCAATGTGCACTCAAGAATCATTCTCAGCTCCCTGATAGGCGCTAGAAGGTTAACAACCATATTGACATCTCATCCTACTGGGTACTAATTCTAACCTGAATCTTCAAGGATTCCCGTAACTGGGAGGAGTATTATTATACTGGCATATTATTAATATAATTACATGTGATGAGTCTCTTCCTACTGCCATCAAAAGTATAGAGCCATTTAGTACATAAATTTCCTTTACATCAACCTTGATATTAACCGGCCTCTCAACCAGTAACACAGCGTTCCATCGCCATTTTCATGTTAAATAATGATGGTATTGACTATCGACACTGCCATACTAACATGACCAAGAAAATTAGAATAGTCAAACCTCTATATATGATTATATCAATGAATCAAAAATGTGTCAGTCCAACAAGTGGTACAACTGAGAGCCACATTTGATTTACAGCAGCTTGAACCTAATTCAGTTATATCAGGGCCTGATGAGATACCCCAAAGTGATGCCTTGGACATATACCACTTTAACTAAACTAACAGTACGCTGCTGTTGACTAACCATGGTTCATAATCAGATCGAATCTGGAATTTGAAGGTATATGCAGCAGATCCTGGTACAACTAAGAGAAGCAACTCTGAATGGAGAATTCCATAAACTTGGCCAACAAGGCTGGAATTTCTGGGCTTGATCTGAGTGGCACCAGTGGCTCTTACGAGTTATGTCCCTTCTATCTATCTTACCTCGGGAAGATGTGAAATTACAATCTCCTTTTCATTGTTTACAAAAAAAATAATCAGTTTGTTGTGGCCTAATCATATACTTTATCTAACCCTGGATACATAGCCATTGACATTGACCATTCGCAGTTTGTATTGAGCATAATGTCTGAAACCTAAGGAAACTGTATTTGTGGATGAGTTTATACATGCACTACAAACAGACTTTGACAGAAGCCAGGATTACAATGTACAGAATGTGTCCAGTCTAAATTTGTATTAACATAGGATTCAGTACTTAGCATCCAGTAAAACTCGAGCTGTTGAAGTCAAACATGTCTTTGTAAAAAACAACAAGATGTCAAGGAGAGAAAACTGATTTTAATGAATTGCAAAAATGTACAATTCTAGACTGGCAAGTGGGACCATACTAGGGTCTGTTTCACAAGCATGTAGAAAATGAAACAATGAACAGTCAGAGGGGAAATCAGATCTGTACACTGTATGATACACGTCTTGATAGATTTGAGAGTAATATATTACTTATTTCAATCAACATTTTATTATTTCCCTGATCAATTACTTTGCACCATTACATGAAAACTGAGGCAATCACAAACAACAAGCTAGCATGGTAGATCACTGAAACATACGTTCCTAATTATGTACCTAAAAACTGAAATGAAAAGTGATAAAAAAACCAACCTTATATAGAATCATAAAAGAGCATTCGATATGCACTTACTTATACATAATAACAAATATGGTAAAACAAATGAACACATCTACACACAAGTATGAGATTACTATCTCCTACACATATGGGACCTGTTGTTTTTCTAGTAACACCAAATGAAAATTGTATACATTATATTTCTGTTATCTCAAATCTGAAAGATATGTTTCAATATGCAGGGAGTCGCATGCATTTCATAGGAAACAAATAAACAGTTTTTTAAATAATATCATAACCTTCTAGAATACAGAATTATGCATCCCCAGATAACAAGCACCTGTTCGAGACACTAGTTTTAGATGGGGTCATAACAGCACAAACGAAATTTGTAACATCATGACACTAAAAAACAAACAGTTTCATATAATGTAGGGACCACCACCTATTGTTACATAAATCTCAAATTTTGATGCTGTGAAGACTCGGCCTACTTTGAGATAACAGGATCTGTAGTACTGTGGGTCTACTGAATACTACTACTCCTAAAAATCACTATCCGGACACCAAATCTAACACTGAGCCAAAAAATATTAACACTTCAAAACTACAAAAACAAAGCACAATTATTCATAACAAGGGTTTCTTTTCCTAATACTTATTTGACACAACTAAAAATAAGCTTCAGTAAGGTCAAAAGCACCACAGTTTGAGTGGGGAACTCATGAAACTAATTAATACAAAAAACAACAAACAAACAAACAAACAAACAAACAAAAAACTACAGAAAAGCAACTGATAAAGAACAGTCATCAGAAGATGACAAATGCCCTGGCCCAAACAAATTTGAAAGAAGAAATCATCTGACTGTTACAGTAAGTCCAACTTGTTGAGAGAATTTCTATCTAATCTGTCTGTCCGTATACCAGAGTACTCAGTGAGCTATCATAACAATATCATGGAATTGGGATTCATAACTTTGTATTTCTATGTCGGGTACACACCAATGAGAACAGAGTCAATGTAAACTTGTTTCATAAAAAATAAAAATAAATAAAAACAGCTTATCCCCTGATTACCGGTAATACATCTACGAAGTTTGGATGAAGAATTTTTAATAGTTTTTTAGTTCTGTTCCCAAAACAACACCTACCCCTGTTTCAGCTAAGTCTTACTTATTTCCATGGAAAATGGAAAAAAATAAAATTAAAAAAAATTCCTAAATAGCAGAAAGCACTTCAGCCTCTGTTTCATACATGTATCAAGTTTGGATGAAAAATCTCTAACAGTTTTCAAGTTATGCTCCGGAAACGACATAGAGACTGCAATATGGACAGACAGACCAGATGATGACCATATCCCCAGCATTATATGCCAGGGTAATAAATAGTGCGAAAGAACAAAACCGTTGATGTCAAATTGTTTCAACTTGTCATGAACCTTAACAAGCATAAACCTGAAGCACTGTCAAAAGAATATGATCTAATATAAGAGACAGAGGTGTGATCATCAAAGCAAAACAATAAGAGACAAGCACTAGTTTTATTGTGAACAGAAAGAACAACACAACAGCAGGGTCATCCCCGATATCCACCCTATTACATCTCCATTCGGTATACCCTGAACTCATTTACCACCAAAGCTTCGTGTTTCGTAAGTCCAGTTCAACTAACTGAAAAAAGCCATCCAATCAAATAACATGATATAGGTTTTATTTGTTCCTCGACCAGTAGATCCAGTCGCATTCCAGTTATTATTCTCAACTCCCTGGGTAGTATACAACTCAAGCTGTAAAGGGCGCTGAAATCCCCAGACTTCCCTCCCCATCTTAATATTCAAGAAAATCATCTCTTCCAGCATGAAGTTCATTCTGGTTCGTAGTAAAATTCTTTATTTGAAATATATCAAGGCAGCTATTTTGAAGGTAGATCTATGCCAGTTTGTCATTAAGAATAGTCAGTTTGATTGGTTGTTGATCTCAAGCGACTCACGTTATGTGCTAGGTTAGCAATGAGGGAAATGGTGCTCCTGACGTCTCTTCCGCAATGAAACTTTGTAGGCGTATGTGTCCAGGGCATGGATATCATGATGGAATGGAGACAAAATGACTCACTGATCACCAAGGATGAAGCAAGGTACAAATGCACATCACGTAGCATGGATATCAGAGGGACATACCACCAGCTCAGACATACATCAGTCATGCTTGTACTCTCATTTGTCAATAATGGAACAAGAAAATCTACTTAACGCAAAACCAATTAAATTCTTATGAGATTTTCTTTGTCTTAAGGGGGTTGAAAAGGTGTTAGTCTTCTAAATCTAAATAAAAGCTATTTAACCCAACAGCATTTACATATTTTCTCCCATGTTTTAAAGTTGTCCATAAAAAATAAAATATGATGAACTGGCTTGGCTTCATACTAAAACAATGAACATGATGCTTGATTGGGATTTCTTACTGCTTTTGACAAGTTCTTTACCTCTTTCTTTTAAACAAGTTCAATTGTAACTCATACATTATGATGCAATATTGGAAATATGCGGTTTGTGAAACAAGTACTGAATAAAAGGCAACCCAGCATTTGGCAAATAATCTGTGATCAAGAGCCCTCACATTAGTGTGCAGGATCCAGAGGCCTTTCATTGGACTAAGGCTGTAGTGGCCGTTTGTGACACCATGAATAAAACAGGAGTGCAGCAGTAAAAAACTTAACATTTTTAGTCTACTAGACCTCATAATGATAACATATAGCAAAACCCTTAAAAATGGCAAGTTTCTACTAGTCCATATGACACCTTAACTATTGGGCAGTTTGGCAAGGACTACAGGACTAGAGCCAATTTCTAACACTGAGAGTGTCATCAATATCCCCGACATTCCTGTGTTTGCACCAATGGGTTTAGTCTTGCATGGCATATGGATGAATACAGAATTTTTTTAATTGTATGTTCTTTGGAATATAACTTAAAGGACCGTGTCACTGATCCACACAAGAACCAGTACACATTTCCTATTATGTACATGTGTCCGTGCCAAACTAGAAAGGGGAACTCGAGATACAATCATGTTCAAGTTTTTTTTGTTTGCTGTTTAACACCTCACTCAGCAATATTCCAGCTATATGACAGTGGTCCGTAACCAGACAACCCAGTGATTGACATCATGAGCATCGATCCACGCTATTGGAATATGAAGACATGCATCAACCAAGTCAGCAACCCTGACCAGCACCCGTTAGTCACCTCTTACGACATGTTCAAGGTAGGCTATTGAGACAAATACAAGTAATAAGTGTGCATTATGTTCCATCAATATTTCTCAAGTTACTTGTTGAAAAGAGTTTACCACTTTGAAGGTTAACGGGCAGACTTATGGCATAAGTACATTAATATCTGCATGCATCTACCATGCCAGTGTCAAAATATCAGGGCTGGGGTGGGGATCACCTTGAGGCTTGCTCGTATTTGAATCAAAGGACGCCTAAATTATAAACTTTTAACATTAGTGTTGACAAGGACCCCTTCAGCCCTTACTTTCAAAGACTGCGCACCTTACAAATACTTCAAGCATTTGTTCAAATGCATAACATGTGCCAACAAACCCAAATGATTTGGCAATATACATGTACGTGTTACGAGAAATCTGACTGCAATCGTAATCAGTGTTATCTGAGACATAACATTGGTTATTGCCAAATAACTTGGTAAAACTAATTTTCAAGCATGAAAAAACCATGATAAACAATACATATCAAATTCAACAACATATAAAAAATAGAGCACTTTAATATTACATTAACTTACACACAACAAATACAAAACACAATCAATTAAACCTCTTTGGAAAATTCAAAATAGTTCCGGAAGAATTATTTTCTTCAACACGGCTACCTCATATGGTCATACAAGATTAATAGCAACGCCAATGTTGTGCTAAAAAATACATATTCTTTGTCTTTGGGCAATGTTTTGGTTAACATTGTTGGGCCAGTAAACTCACCAAAATAGTTTTGTTTCCAATCCTAGACAAAACATAAATCAAATGCATGGGCCTGCTCCCCTCCCTCCATTAAATGCATGTGCATGAAAATGTTGCATACATGTGGCAAAGACGTCTTAACTTGTTTATTAGAGTCATTACCAAGTTAAATTCTTACGTTTGAATAAATAAAATGCTATGCCATACATACTATGCCTTTACAATAAGCTGTATAACACATATTGTTAGTGCTATTTTGGCAAGAAAAAAAAATCTGCAGCACTGAACGTCCATTAAATTGTAACACACAATGACACGAGTCACATTGTGCTTCTTGAAATATTTACTCTTCCAAAAGACACATCTTGGAAAAACTTTAATTCAAGGTTCACTCTGATATGCAGGTTACTGTTTGCATAATATGTTGAAATGAAAGCAATGAAAGCATCATCTTTCAATTACTGGGTTAAATATAGACCCTAGGGGTGAAACAATACATCGGTGCACCATGAGTTTTCATGCCATGATACGATACATTTTTTACTGTGTCGATGCAAGACGATACACTTGCTAAAAAATTACACCCCCCCACACTTTTTATCAGTCAAATATTGCAAAATGTCTTGTAATTGGTGTTTTAAGTTCACTACTCAAAATTGCCACTACGAACATGTGTCAACAGCTAGCTTTTCTTTTGAAATTGCTCTGAAATATAGTCAAGAAGTGTCCACATGATTTGACGTAAATATCACAATACATATCCTATCGTGACCTTGCTGTATCTTATCACCCCTAATAGACCTCACATCAAAAGCCTTATAACATCACAAACATTCCATCACAAAGTCCAATTTGTCCATCAATGCAATATTATGTCACCTTCTTGAACATACATGAACTCATCTACTAACTCATTATAGATTTCTTTACGATTACAAAAGACACACACCAACTTGCAAATTACCACAAAGGAACATATGCAACAGAACTATCCCTGTTTCTGATATCGATTAACATACTAACTAGAACCCTAACTGGGATTACAGACTGCGAGGCAGGATCTGATCTGATCTCCATGATGTCAGCTATTGATGAAGAGTTGCTGCTGAACAAACTTCAGACAAATCATGACAATTGAAGCTGTGGATGTGCATTATCAATGCAGTTGAAACTGCAGGGGTAAAATATTGGCCCATGGGACAGCCAAAGTGGCACATCAACAATTACACATAGAGCACGACTCAACCAGTCCGCTTTTTAATGGACTCTTCCAATGCGTGATGAACACGGTCTTCACACCAAATTAGGTAAGTGAACTACCATTTTGGGGTTTGGGTTTAATTCCAGCTAAAGTAAGTTCACAAATGAGTGGGCACAGCTCTATTAAAGGGTAACACTATTACCTGCATGAATAGAATAGTGTGTATGGTTTTACACTACTGTTAGCAATATCACAGCGAAATGTGGGAAATAAACCCAGGCCTTAGGCATAACGAGTGAATGCTTTAACCACTAGGCTACCCCACTGCCCACCTACACAAATAAATAAACATGACCTTAAATAAATGTTTAAATACTAAACATCAATAAGTTATGCATATTAAATGGCAGGGATGACATTGCACCTGAACAACAAGCCTTCCTTAGTTCTGAATGTCCAGAATAACTAAACTGGCTATAAATTCAGGCAACATGATCTTCCCAACAATGACTATGCTTGGAAACAAATATTTGTTGAGACCTTGATCTGTGTTTCACTATTAATATTTAGTGTTGACTTGCAAAAGAGTTGACTAGGACACTGTCATAACCTTCCTGCACCACCATGGTATTGTGGTGCTCAACCATGCTGCAGGGAACTTGCATGTCAATGGACGATTCAGCTATCACAAAAGCTTGCTTGGGTGACTGGCTTGGGTGGGAATCTGGAAAGAATTAGACTTATATTAATATTTGAAAACTATCCTAACTTTTAATCACTCTAAACATTACATTCACAACAGTTATATCATTGAAAGAAACAGCAAAAGCCAACAACCTAAGTTCTATATACCAAGTGGATGTTTTACCATGAACTAGCTAATTCTGGAGCTCAGTGATCTTGGTTTAATATGTACATAGTTCTTGCTCACTTAAATTTGTTTTGATGTCATTATATCACACCCTTTTTATGGCTTAGTAAAGAAAGTGAGTGGATGTGAGTGAATGAGTGTCAATGTCCAACTTAAAACTACACACTCAGCCTCTAATATGACTATCAATCTTACTAGTAATATGGACATGCATAACCATAGCTTCTGAAACCCATTTAATATCATTGTTTGTTGTCTAAACTTGTCCATATATTTTCTTACTTGGCCCAGGCACTACCCTTGCTTTTATCTGTAACAGGGACTCAGAAATGAAATATCATTTAAAAAAAATTTGAAATTGTGATATCAAACCAAACTGGTTACTCTAAGAATCCTACACAACGCCGAGTCAGTAAATGTTGTCTAGCTCCATAGTCTGTTTTAGTCAGCAATATTACAGCTATGTCAAGAGGGCCTATACTAATCTGAACCTGTGGTTACGAACATGAGCACCAGTCTTCAGGGACACACAAGCAGTCAAGTCCCATTGTGTAATGACCAGCTCAGCGATAGAAACTAACAGTTTCAGTCCACTAGTCCTTATAATAATGATGATATATAGGAAAACTCTTACAAACAGCAACTTTCTACTAGTCCTTAGGACACCCTAACTATCTGGCAGTTTGGTAAGGACTATGGGACCAGTGCCAATTTTTAACGCAGCCAGCTCAGTCTGTCAGGTTTTGTATTCTTTGTGTGTTGTTAATGCCGCTATCAGCAATATGACGGCTGTCTGTAAATAATTGAATCTGGACCAGAAAATCTAGTGATTAACATCATGAGTATCGATCTACACAATTGGGATATGATGACATGCATCAACCAAGTCAAACGAGCCTGAACACCAGTTCCCGTTAGTCATCTCTTACGACAAGCATGGGTCGTTGAAGTCCAATTCTAATCCGGATCCTCACGGGTCTAGCTCTTTTGACAAGCATGGGACACTGGTGACCTATCACATCCAGGGATCATACCAGACAGATATACATATCAGCTAAATATATCTAGTGTTAGAATTTAAAGGGATCCTTGATGGTTCTTGTCTTATCAAAATGATCTGAGGATTCCCTGCTAAATTATGTCTTAATTGGCTGTCATTTTTAATTTTGAACACCTAAAGCAGATTTGAGAAAAACACATACTTAGACATTATACATTAATCAAGATTTGTTTAAGTATTCTTAATACATTTATTATCATACATGTACAGCTAATGGATGCTAATCTTTTACTGATGCCTTTTTTTAGTGAGTGAGTGAGTGAGAGAGAGCAAGTTCAAATTTTACATTCCATTGGCAATATTGGAGCCATATCATGATGAGAATAAGCTTATAATTAGAAAATATGAATTTTAAAAGAAAAGATACTGGTTTCAAATAAGCAAAAAAATAACTCTCATATAGCATTGCGCTAAACATGTTAAATTTATTCCATCTGAGCATTCATAAACATCTCTAGCTTAAGCCACTGGTAAACCAGGTCATATTCCACTGTCAAATTCATCCTCATTATTTACAAACAACAATATCAAATAGGCCATACTTTTAAACAAAAGCTCATATCATATGAGAGTGCAGGGCTAAACATTTAACTGGAATGTCTTGATTCTGGCTGATCACATGACAGGAAGAGCATCCACTCGAAGGCATGGGATTGGTAGGGTGGGAAGGTTCATCCGGGTCCATGGAGCAAGGGGGGATAACTCTTGCTTCTGTGTGGAGAAAATCTGGGAGTAAGCTTAAGACACATCCTGAAGCTTCCATGAAAGTCATCATGGAAGAAGATGGGTAACCATGGTAACAAGAAATATTTCATCACATATAGCAGATATCATGCATCATGTGAATAATGAATAAAATGCCCTCTTGGGAAAGTATTTAACGTGGGGTTTGAAAGTGTTAATAATTTATATGAAATTTGAAATCATGTCATACTATTTCAAGGAGTACTCAAACTTAGCCTTGGGCTCTGTAACTTACCATGCTTACCTGGCTCACGGCAGCGACACACTTGGAACACTCTCTTACTCTGATCTTAGTTTAGTTAACATTTACAGGCTTTAGAGTGACTACACTTTCAGATGACTGTTGGCATAATTAATATGCATAAATACTCCAATAAGTAACCAAATGAAAACCTGCATCCAGTTTGAATCAAGACATTTCACATACGACACATCAGGTATCAGATTATTCATAAATATACAAAAATCTTTAAATGAATGACAGACCATATGTCAATTTTGATCCAAGTAAATAACATATCATTCAGAGCCACAAGTCTTGAGACGTGTGTGTGGTCAATATACTGATATAAATCTATATGTCAAAAGGATTTCAGGTAACAGAAACAAAAGAGGCAATAAGCTCATACAGACCCTTTGAGTCAAATAGGCTGGGAATGCAAATATCACAGTCTATCACTTAATGAAACCTCTTTTATAATGTTTATCAAAACTTGTGTACTTATTTTTTTACGAAATGTTTAAGAATGATGTCATAGTATTTGAATATTGGGACCCTCGAAAACTTCAATGTTAAACATTAGGGTCATGGTTAGTACTTGTTTTATATAAACGTTAAAAAACACCACCATGAACTACCGTGAGTGTGTACACTTGCTATAGTAGGTACAAGCGTGCTGCTGACATCCTGAATGGGCTTTACACTACATGTTAGATGCACAGTGAGGGTGAGTGAGTGCGGGGTTTTAGGACACTTTTAGCATTACTCCAGTAACATCCCGTCATGATTGATTACAAATTGAACATGGGCCTCCAGCATACGCTTTAACCATTCGGCTACCCGACCGCCCAGCACAACATTACTTGTGGGGTATTAGACCTGAGGCCTTCTGACGAACGAAGTTTCTTAAATGTCAAACAGCAGCACTATTCTACATCACTTTGCTTGTGTGTGCAGGGTATTGATGCGACAGGGTATCAAATACTGTCATTTCAACATTTTCAAATTTCTTGTCTCTAAATCATGAAAAACCCTATCAATGGTATCATGGATGGTCATTTCACCAACATGTAGCAATGCACAATGCAAATATGAATATTGAATTAATTTCAAGAGAAGCAAAAAGTTTTCATGATAATGTTACAGCGTTACAGCTAAGCCAGCTCACCTCACAAGAAAGAGACAGACAAGTCAGCAGAAGAAAAGTGTAGACTGTGTACCTGGCGAGTGACTGTCTGACGTAGCGCTGGGATTGGCGGAGATGGCCAGAATAGCATTGTATGAACTCAGTATATTGTTATTGTGAGATGTGGCCTCAACATGGTGTGAAGGCCGCTCTGTGAAAAAGAAGGAGTCGCCTGTGACCATTCTAGTATCACAGAGAAACAATTTCAGGGTCAAAATTCACTACCATAAGGAAACATAATATCTCAACAGAGAGATTGTGCAAGGAATGGAAGAGAAAGGAGTTAGTCGTGATGTTACAGTAAAAGGAAGTACTTGCTTGGCATTACAATACTGAATGAAAATACTGAAGCATTTATGTATCTTATCAGTAACAAATAGCGTCAGCATGTAAGTGTTAGAAATCCTGCTAGTGAACGCAATTCTGGTCTGAGCCTAAGTTTCCTGGAAGAGTTCTAAACTCTTTGGGGGGCTTACACATTAAGGTAAGTGAATGAGTGAAATTGGTTTAACTTTTCTTTGAACAGTTACATCACGCATATCAGCATGGAAGGAATGCCCAAATGATGCAGACCTGAGAGCATTTATCACTTTGGTGAAACCCACAAAAGCACAGGTATGTTTCTTGTATGATGCCGCACTCAGCAATATTCCAGCTATATCACGGCGGTCAGTAAATAATCAAGTCTCGACCAGACAATCCAGTGATTGACATCACGAGCATCGATCTACATAACTCGGAAGCGATGACATGCATCAACCAAGTCAGCAAGTCTGACAACCATATCACATTAGTCTCCTCTTACAACAAGCATAGTCTCCTGTTACGGCAAGCATGGGTTGCTGTAGACCTGAAGGTATGGTCGACAAACAAATCTGGGAATTGAACTCATGACCATAGGATTCTGGCACACATAATAAGAGAAGATTGGGAGACACAGAGTTTAACTTTACTTCTGATTGTATTTAAGCACATCAGGTTGTGGTCAAGTTCTGTAAAACTCAACTCATTTTCAAGTTAACCCAGCATGTCCTGCAGGCTAATTACATGCCGGGGACACCCTGTTAATAATATTGGTGATAAATACATTGCGTGTTGAGATATTCATGGTAGATGGTCTATCTATCAGCAGTGAGAACATGCAGACATGCAGCTACTAAAATACACTAAGAGAACGTTAGTTAGGTTATATTATCATCATCCCTCGAACAATATTTCCTCATAACAGTGTTTCTGATTGTTGTGATTCATTATGGTTCAAATTAATGTCAGGCATTAGACACAGGCATTTCTGGCATTAGACACAAAGGGTTAAAATTTAGATCCTCATAGCTATAGGATAGAAATGGAGGGTCAATAATTGTGTTCAGAATTCAATAACCGTCTTGTAGGGATAGACACAGCCAATAGTCTTTAATCCGAGACCAGTGAAAATCTAAAGGGACTAGTTGATTTCTCCCAAACTCGAGTTACTTTACATAAACTGCTAGTCTCGTATGAGGTTAGGACATAAACAATGGTGTCTATCCTGTCTTGCAATCTTAAACACTGCTTACACAACATATGAACCTCAAAACCCTAGCCCACATCACTAAACCTCATCCCACACAAAATCTCCGATAAGTTGAAGAATCCCTCAATAACCCATCTAATCATTTTTCTGCTTTGGGTCTCTATCAACACCATCACAGCATGAAAGTACTGAGAAACCAACCATCACATCGCCTTCTTTTGAAGACCTCTTCTTCCAATTCATCTCTTCCCCGTTTCATTCCACAGAAACCGTTCTGGTCCATATTAACGCCATTGGTAACTTGGTAACCAGTCATATGTGTTTTGTGCATAGATTCTTCAGAATGAGTGTCCATATCGGTGTCCCCATTAGGATGTTGATCCCCACCGAGATGCTCCTCACTATTCGCATCGTTCATGTGATGAGACAACATTTCAGTGTTATTATTATTGCAGGTGTGAGTCTGGACAATGTTGGCTGCCATGGATTGCTGTTGAAACTGTAGTGATTTCTCCAGGCTGATAGCACACTCTGGGTACCCTCCAATGGAGGCTACCTGGGAGGCAGTATGACCACTATGATTCCTCAACCTGCCAAATAAAGTGTATGTGTTTAGAAAAAGAGGAATATTGGACGTAATCTATGCAGGAATTGACTGGCTGCAAAATATCTATATGCACACAAATTGTGAATGGATGCAATTAATTCACATTGTGGATACTCAGCTGTCCAAAAAAGCATGGCTGTTGGAATCATGAAAACTAATAATAAATAGATTGCATTTTAAGTAAAACTGGTATATCTATTCTGGTAAAAAACATACACTTATGAGATGAGATATGACATCAGTAAAATCCTTGGAAATCAAGTGAAGCCTGCTACAGGTCGCCAGCCTGGGACTAGAGACTGTATTTGAAAGACATGGGTTTACTGAAAACAGAAACTGTCCATATAGCAGTCCCATACTTGTCATTCAGACCTATTTTATAGAATGAATGAACAGAGGTAGAGATTATTATATAGGCATGTGTGTCCTACTGATTTTTCCATATGTGTAAGAATTCTTGTATGTCCTGAGCGAGAGCGAGACACTAGTTACAAGTCATTAAGAACTACCATTATTGGAATTTTACTTGTCCATCAGCACACATTAGAAGTCTTAGGCTAGAGGACTAGCGCCAATTTTGAAGGCTGCACCCTATAGTCTAACTGTAAATAGCAGTCTGTGCCAAAGACTTTGAGCATGCAAGCCAGAAACATGGCACCTAACCATTACATTTTAGTGTTATCATATGGACTACTATCTTCTGAAGTTACTAGACCAAACAGAATTTTATTAGACTCACTGCAGCCTTTGGACTAGCGGCTAAAATCGCAAGCTGAAACAGCATGAAATTTCTTTTGAAAGTTGTTTTGTGGTTGTATCACATAATCTCACATGACTATCCCATTGAACATCTTTCATGTTAAGAAATCATTAAATTTAAAAGTTTTCAGTGTTAAAGAATTGTCTTAAGGACTAGTTAATGACGAGCAATCACTAATCCTTGAGTCTAGTGTAAGAAATCTCCAGCTGTCTTACACTGTTTGACAAGATGAGGAGACAGGTTGTACTGAAGCAATACAAAACAAGAGTTTGCCACTAACGTGGCTATATCCCCCGCCCCTTTGCAGAATTTATGACATAATTAAATCTAAACAAACCCTAACCTTTTTTAACCGAGGTGGAAGAAGAGTTTGGAACCTAAGTCCATCTTGTTGCAATGGAAACGTAAAAAATATAAATTTCTAAAATTTCTAAATAGCAAAAGGCACCAGTTCAGCATGTACCTGACAGACCTGCAAAGTTTGATGAAAAAATATTGAACGGTTTTTGAGTTATGCTCCGGAAACGAACCCTAGCCTCACAGAACCTAAGTCCATCTTGTTGCCATGGAAACGTAAAAAATATAAATTTCTAAAATTTCTAAATAGCAAAAGGCTCCAGTTCAGCATGTACTTGACAGACCTGCAAAGTTTCATAAAAAAATATTGAATGGTTTCTGAGTTATGCTCTGGAAAAGAAACGTGATGGACGGAGCCCGTTTCTATGCATAGTTGGCGGGGGATAAAAATATAAAACAGTTTTAGTAGGACAAATATTTTTCAGAATACTCCAAGACATGATGTACAAAGTGTACACACCCTATTGCAGCTCCCTGTGCCACCAGTAGACTGACACACTCCATACTGCCTGATCTGGCAGCCTTGTGTAGCGGTGTCTCCCCACAGTAATCCTGAAGAAAAATATTATCTTGTCACGACATGTTTATAGAACAAGAAGAAGAAATAATTCTTCCAATGTACAGCAAACTGCAAAAAGGCTTTAAAAATAACTATTTCACAGATAAAGTTCTGAATCTAAGAAGGGCGGTTGGGTAGCCTAGTGGTTAAAGTGTTCGCTCGTCACGTCGAAGACCCAGTTTCGATTCCTGACATGGGTACAATGTGTGAAGCCCTTTTCTGGTGTCCCCCGCCGTAATATTACTGGAATATTGCTAAAAGCGGCGTAAAACCACTCACTCACTCTGAATCTGAGATATTATCTTGTATAATCTTAATTCATAATTTTAATAGAATACACAAGAGTACCAGTATGACTGTGTTAAACAAATGTAAATGTGAAGTGCAGGCACAACAATGATCATCATGATGATATTACTGATAAAGTCATTCTTTATTGTAGATACTGTCTGCACACAGACACCACTGTAACCTAACTTTACCTGCCACATTTTTGGGATAAAAATTGTAAAAACTCTTTCATAAATACAAAATGGCATCTTTAGCACTAAATACACTTTGACAGAACCCACATCCAATATTAAAGCTGATCCAAACTCAGGGCTAATTCTAGGCTGGGGCCTTTAGCTTTTAGCCCCTAAATTTGAAAAAAAGGCCACATTTTCAAATACAATGGGGCATGTTAACATTGGGCTGTGTGGGTGAAACTCTGGAATATTTGAAATCTTCACATAAAAGGCCCACGTCCAAAAATTCCTAGAGCGTACCCGGCAAACTTTATACCATGTTAATTTGACATGCATTGCTCCCCTGCTCATTTCATAAAGAAAGCTCTAAATTCACATTATAAACAAAAGATATAGCGTCAAAAAAAGTTTATTTTGATATATACTGAAGTATTATGTAGTTGCTATTAACAAATGATTAAAGGCTTTTAATTGAAATATTCTTTCAAGTACACAGTTAAATTTAGTTGAGCTTTTGATGATTTAACTTGTCATGGATGTGCTGTCTATCTAGATTGTGAGTGAGTGAGTGAGTTTGGTTTTATGCCACTTTTAGCAATATTCCAGCAATATCACGGCGGGGAACACCAGAAATGGGCTTCACACATTGTACCCATGTCGGGAATCGAACTCGGGTCTTCGACATGACCAACGAATGCTTTGACCTTTGACCCGGGTTACTCAAGACCTATTCTCCCCCGGATCTTCACGGATCTAAACTAGACTTGGTACTTTAATCTAGACAGTCATGGCACAGGACTGGGAGAACTAGTGTTCATTCTAGTTGAACAAAATATGGGTCTTTTTTGCCCCTTCATCATGTTCTACTAAAACTAACACATTTTACATATTTTATAAACTACCAAAACCAACAAGCAAGGAATAAAAGTGTGAAAATATTAACTTTGTCTGGTCACTATACATGTGACACATGTATGTTCTTTGAAAAAGAAAAAACAATTGTCTATGTATTCGATCTTGACATTTCTCTGGGATCTCCCCATTTTGTAGCATGGTACATCCACTTGTTAATCTGGGACCCCTACAATTAAATGCTGCGAGTTTCATAGACCTCACGCAGGCAAATCCCTGAAATGGATGCTAGCTAGCATCAATGGATTTCTCTTGGACCTGGTGTTCAACTCACTGACATTCAGAGTCATGAATGGAGGCTGTGGCCTTCAATTTTCGTTTGCATAATCCACCATAAACCTGTCATTTTCCAGTTTGATATTGGACAAAAATTATTCAAGCGTTTGAAAACACTTGCCATCCCAGTTACAGTATCAAAGAGGATTTTAAGCCAATCACATCAACATTTAAATTGATCAGACTGTAGAGAGCCAATTAAACAACCTTTTTCATGTGTCAAGTACTGCAATCGGCATATATACTTTGCAATAATGCTCCCAACAGCCTGCAATCAGGATATATACTATACTATGCAATAAAGATACCTGATATTTTGTTCCCAGCATACCTAACAGGAAGTTAATGAATGTGTCAGGCCATATGATACAGCTTGCTCATAACATTACAAGTATCATATATACAATTTGCTCACTACTGATGTAAACATGTGTAGCATGTTGACAAAGGTTTATGCGAAAAGTAACTGTGACGCTTACAATATGAGATTCTACTGTTTGCACCCTACTGCCTCACTTAGGTCATAATTCCATGCTCTAGTATGACTAATGTAGTGTAGATTTTTCTGATCATGCCTGGATTGGCAGCACATTTATGAAAATACCAATTTCATACAACATAAATGATGACTTCAAATAGCATTAACATTACCTGGATTCAGTTCAATGGATGTTATAGTCCACAAGCTCCATATTGTAGACTTAATATATTCTACTCTTAAACATGTTAAACACTGACCTTTCATAAATGTGTACCAGCGATAGAAACTAACAGTTTTAGCCCACTAATCCTTATAACGATAACATATAGCAAAACACTTAAAAAGGGCACATTTCTACTCGTCCTTATTTTACCTTAACTATTAGCAATGATAAGGCAGTTTGGCAAGGACTATAGGACTAGTGCCAATTTCTAATGCTGCGTACTAACTTGATAATATATTTGTTACACTGGGGCATTACACGAGGTCACAAAACTAGGCTTGTCTACAGCATGCACTTATTTACCTGAATACTAGGCTCAGTCCCAGCCTGAAGGACCCACTGCAAGCAGTGGGGATGCCCTGACATTGCAGCCAGGTGAGCAGGAGTTACCTGGGATCGATTCGATTGCACAACTGGGGAGCCATCTTTCGACATTGACACAAGCTTTCTCAGGATATCAAGCTACAAACCAAAGTTAACATTTCAGTTACTGTATTGGATTTACCTGTCTGTTGATGGAAGCACCACAATGCAACAACCATTTTAGGCAGTATATATTGTCCCCTAAAGCAGCAATGTGGGCGGGGGTTTGGTGGAAGCGAAGTGTAGCGGCGTCACAGCTGGCACCATGCTGAAGTAGCTGCATAAGGCACGTCAACTAAAATCACAATGCACACACAACACTTAACTATGAAATATGAACATGAACTAAATAGGCTAACCCAAAGGATGGGGGCCTTTCTTCTACACTTCTTCGCAAAAGCTAAACATGCTGAACTACATACAAATGAACAGAAATGTTGTAAGGCAGGACCAATAAAATTCCTTGTTTTGTGAAATCAAAATATAGGTTTACTGATGAAATTAATCTAAAATACAATGCACATGTGCAACAGCGACTCTATAGTGATCCAGCATTACCCACATCTGCCTGTAGACAGTGATTAGGGTGGAAACAAGTGGCACATTCTACTTGAGTTTCATGATTATCAAAAAGGGCATCCTTGTAAATCTTTATAACATTACCATGATTACCAGTTTATCATGTTTATAACCCAGAGAATATTTGGAATATGAATGTCTCAAATAGGTATAACTCTAAAACCATTGTGTTGTCAGGCTGTGCCAAAACAGTTTCTATCTTAACATTTTTCAAATGTACAATCACAAATTTGCATTTTTGGATCATTTTCAACTGCTTTTAGAGTTAATATATGGCCTGTAATAAAGATTAGAATTTGCTCAGATAAAAAGACAGAAATATATATTACTAGACCTGGGCTTTGGACTAATATATAAAGTAAGAATGTGTTAACAAATAACATGTTTAACATTAACAAGATTCATAGATACATGAAATATTTTTTGTAAATCAATCATTATCTATTTTGCTGTGACGTTGCAGGAGACAAATGTCATTATGACATTTTCATGATTTCAGCAAATTACTTGAAGACATTCTGGATGACAATCAGTCATTGTCCAACATAACCAAATGTCCAACGTAACCAAATGATCTGAAACACTGCTTCAGTTGCAAGACTAACCCTGAGGCCTGCATATTTATGCTGATTTGCAAAAGACACAATGAATAATCAATTACCTCAGTAGTCCCACGGACACCTTTTTTATTCAAAAATATTTAATTTACCAGTTAAGCAATAATCACGAGTGACCACAGATAACCACCATTCAAATATTATGATAAATATGTGCATAAATATCTACTGCCCCTAGATCTTGAACTGTCACCACAAAATATAATCAAACAAAATTTAACCAGTCACCAGATTCAGAAATGGTTTCACATCACATTATCCATGTCTTCTATCAACTAGTGGCATTTTCCAATGCTGTAAATGGTTAGATCTCTAGTATTCAATTTGAACATTGCTCCTTCATGGCAACGTTAAGATATGTTTCCCTTCTGGTATAGTATGGCAATCTTATCAACATTATTTGTATTAAATAAGTGACTAACACTGCCAAGTGTCATATTTCAAAGATACCCAAATCATGTAAATGTTAAGCCTTTGTCATAAAGGTTGACTGAAAAGAACAAATATTAGTATTAATTTCACCATAAGCATGTATCACGACCAGTAAAACTTCTTAACTTCGGGCAAGTCTACAACTCCAAGAGAACTAGATTGCCTTAAATTTAAAAAAGGCTAGAATATATAGCAACAATTCAGTGTCCTGTATTTGCACCCCCTGCCTATGTCCCGTCTGTTTCTATATTTATCTCATATCAGTAATTTACAAGAATGAAAATCATGAGGATAAACCATGACAAACAAGACTGCTTGTTCAACACTATACTGTTATTTGCTTACTTCACAAGAAATTTGAAAAATATTTTTTTATATCATCATTGATCATGTCAATATCAACATTAATCAACCCATCAAACATTTTCTGAAAATTAGAAAACAAATCAGATGAAAAAAAATCCTAATATTTTTCGAGTAGTTTCACCATGTTCATGTGTTTTTGATCATGTTTATTATACCTTCACACTATGTAACCATGGTATTAATATATGGCAAGGGTTACTTTGAATTTGAGAAAAAAAAGAAGCATGGATGACAATGAAACATTTCAAATAATTGCAACAGAAACATGATAAAGTATATGAGAAATGGAAACAAACATTAATGTATCACTGAATGTCATTTATGATGATACTCAATAAATACCTTCTCTCATAACAAAGTTGAATGATTGATAAGCAACAGGTGTGTATCAGTAAATGTCACAGGAGAGTAACACATGACACGGGCCAACAGCACTGTACAACATGTAGCATGTTTGGTATAGCACAGACTGTCATAGCCTGAATGTGACAATACAACAAACAATATCATAAACAATAAACATGATAAACACGGAAAGCTAAACAAAACATAATCACATGTTCTAGTGTCAAAGACTTTGTTTACCATAATAATGGTTCAGTCTGTGATTTCAGCCACTAGTTTGAAAGTCTGATACAGTTTCTTTCAGTCTTGTGCACGTTCCTAATAAATGTTGATACATTAACCAGTTAACACTAGGATCTACTGAAAATGATGTCAATGTCACAGGTTGGCTAGTATTTTGAAGAGACAGGGTTCATACAGAAATTCTTCGGCATTTGTATGTTCTTAGTGGCAAATAATAAATTCAATTCAAATAAAACAATTTGAAAATGAAATATATCAGATATCATTATCATTTGTATTTTAAAGAAGTTCAACTGACCCTAGTGGTATGGTAGTATAGTAATATTCTAAATGAATTAATTAAAAAACGTCAGAAAGCTTATACAAGGCTAATCATGATTCGTAGTGTAGGGCCTATATCTACAAGATAATGCTAGCTTACATGTTAACATGATAACACTGGTTAATGACCTCTGGGCTCTTCAAGATGAGACGTTCCAAATATTTCAAGGCTTATTATCATGATTATGAACCTCATTAATACATGGTAATCAAATCTGATAGTAGTGACATTTCATGGTCAAACACATTTCTTTTGAACAATGTTTTTGTTTTAAATTGGCTGAAGTATGATGAATGAACAGGTTGTATCCAGAAGTGCTTAATTATTTAGCAGCTAGGGTTTGGCCGGTTTCTAACATTGTAAGTGCATTGAGATGCCTTCGCATTGATTTGTCGATTTGACTTTAGATGTATAAATAGAAGTTGCCTATTCACATAATTCAGTTCGACAGCCTCATTTTCTTTCCGGGTTGTGTTATTTTCCACTGATCTATAAATAGACCGAACGGCCTTGTCAACAGTATGCCTTCACACTTATCAGCTTATGTCTATCTCGCTAAGTGCCTCATATAGCCTTCTGTTAAAACAGAAAAAAAGTATGATTATGGTTGACATTATTACTTTTCCAAAGTGTGCTGCCCAGTGAACAGGTGTCCATCCGTAAAATCCGTCCTCTTCGTATAGATCAAATCGTCCTGTTTTCAACAAAGACACAGTTCTTTCCATATCGCCATCACGAATAGCAGTGTGCAGTGGATATTGACTTTCAAGCAAAGCCTCGTTCTGTTTGCTCAACCAACTGTTGTCTTTTGATTCATCCATGATTATCAACTGTAACTTCACTGTCCTCAATTCAAATCATATCCTTATTTTAGTCTGTGAGATGAATTTTGAATGACTTATCACCCGCCAAACACTCGTCAAGGCAGACGACGGGTCATGCTGTGATCCGGGCACCTGTCGGCACAACGAACATATTTTCCTGACTATAAATTCTGATCTGGTTATTCATTAATCGTGACTACATGTGTATGCTGAAGCCATCAATCTTACATGATTTTAAAAATACATTTTTATATTAACCATATAATCTAGGAGACGTAAATTCTAAAATATTTATACATCTTAGTAAACGTACATGTATGTAACATCAAGTAAACAATTAGTTGTACGTACTTAGTCTAATGAATGTGCGAGAAAGCGCGAGGTTTAAAAACAAGGAAGTGACCTTTGATATGACCCGTTTTAATAAACATACACTCGGTTTCCATCATGTGAATAGATGTTGATGCTACGTATGGAGTCACGACGATCGAGTCACACCCCTCTTTGGCGGGCGAGGTAAAGCAATATTTGCTACACAGTGGTTTTCCATATAAAATTGAACATTTATGTTAATTGATATCTATCCGCACAATCTAATACTGATAAGGCTACACCTGCGAGACTTGGCTTGGCTAAAACAGCACCTTGATCTGCAAAACACATTGTGTTGCCTGGCGAAAACGATATGGTATTTTCATACTATTTTTATACTATTTTGACTCAACAAAAATGAAACATAAGGTACGTTCAAATGAAATATGATTGATAACACAATTTGATATGTTTCTAGAACCAGTGTAAGGCACATATAGCTATTGGTAAACCAGGATAAGTCGAACCAACTCGCAAAACGCGTATGAGACAAGTAGGCAGTGCACAGAATTTGGTCAAACAGACTTCATACAAAGTCATACTCAGGTCACAACTCAACTTATCCTGGCTTACTAGTAGCCTTATAGTAGTCAGTGTAATGGTGGGTTTAACAATAACATGTTTCTTTTGATAAGAAATATTTGTCCAAATTACATGATGTCAGATGTTTGTCTAACGTTATTTAAATTACAGATTTTCCAGAATTGTGAAAGCTAAAAAATAATTTTAACCATCCATGTTTCAGATATACACTTAGGATATGACTGAGAAGTAGTGACAGCATGGATTATAAGTTGCTAGGTGCAGTAGGGGCAGTGTTTCTGTCCATGCTGCTGTATATTTACGACTGGCTGTCGCTGTTCTTGTACGTGGGCATCCATGTGGCTGCTGGTGCTGCGGCCCTCTACTACTCAGTAAAATGGCATCTTGTGCAGGGAAAGCTGTACAAGCCGGTCACAGTGCCGAGACAGGTCAACCTGGCTTCCATTTTGCTACAGAAGATGATGGTAAGTGCAAGATGGACAGGGATTCAGGGTTTTATGTGGCGCAGAAATGTGCTTCCAGTAGACACAAATGTATAGAATGGATGCAGAAAAATATATATTTGCACCCCGAGCGATGCACAATAATGTTCATTGTAACAAATTCTTGCAAGAAATATAAACTTCCTGTAATTAAAGTAATTACTAGATCTTATAGTACAGTAAACGACACTGTTTCATTAATTTACAGGACCCTCATATTTCCTGTAAGGACCCTTGAAATTAGTAATTGGGTGTCCTTACTTACTTACTTATATTGGAGATTTAACGTGCGCTTTCCGACTGCAAGCGTATGTCGCACACAGGCCCGGCTAGGCCATTTAATGTGTTTCCGAAAAGGGGAAAAGTGAGTTTGTGCAACCCAGGAGGGAGGCTTTTGGGGTTGCTTATATAGTAATTTTGAGATTTGTAATGAATGCCAAGTGTGGGTGGAGGACGAACTAAGGGAGCTGTGTGTGTTGGGTGGTTGTTAGATTAGGTAGTTTTGGTTTTAATATTCTATTTGGGGTTTAAATGCGACTAATTAGTCCTGTTTTAATTAGGTATATACCTAAGGCTTTGAATTTTTCTAATTTATTTTGGGGATTTAGGATTGATTCTAGTGTAAGTGCGGTTTAAAGATTTAGGGTGGTCTGTAGTGTTGTTCGGTGTGTTTGGTAGTGTGTGCAGTGAATGAGTACGTGTTCTGGTGTTTCTTATTGTTTGCAATGTGGGCAGTTTCCTGTTGTGCTTAGATTAGCTATTTTACGGTGATTGGGTGTCCTCTGGTGATTTTCTACCAGTTTTGTAGGTCCCCCTGGTGATTTGTCAGTATGAAGATCATGGGCATGACCAGAGATGCCAACTTATGCGATTTTGGTGGACTCACTGCGATTGTTTGAAACTAGTTGTGCCATGAGGATTAAAGGGGACTATGCTCCAGTCTAGATGTTGTAACTGAGACAATGTCTCTGTGTGATTAGGGTGATCAGCAACTGCTGGATTGATATAACATACTTCCTCTATTAGACACTGGGGGCCTGATTTGATGAAATTAATGAATTCCCAAGATAATACTATCCTATGCTTTACTGTTATATGCAGGTAGTTAATAATGACAGTTTCCTGCAAATGTACCCTTTGTATGACTGTAAAATTTCGGATTTGTTAAGGTAGAGAGTTGCCACTGTGCCAGCAGTAAACAGAATAGATCCCAGACTTTGATTTTGATCGGATTATGCATAGACTCGTTAGTCCAACCAAAATGTAACTCTGGAATTCCAGCCTAGTTCGACAAGGGTGAAAACTGGACTTCTATAGACAGTTAACGCCCTTGCCTCGGGAAGATGCTGTCCTGAGAGCTGAAGGTCTGTGGTTAGCCCTGACTGCGACATAACAAAAGATGTTAAAAGATGGTTGTTACCCTGCATGATGCTTGGCATTAGAGGATTAAACAAGGGCAGCGGGGCTCTGAGTCAGTTCAGCATCCATGTTAAAGCTGCGGCATGTTATCTCAGTGGGATATGGGGCTGGGACGAATCCAAATTTACTACCCAGGTACCCACCCCCCTATTACCCAACCCTACCCGGGTACCCACTGTTGGTCTCAGGAGATGTCTCAAAATGTCCGATTGGGAACATTTTTAGCATAGCCCCGGCAAAACGTATTTAGATACATGTTTTGAACAATCTGGTCATTCATACACTGAAGTTGAATCAAGTTATATCTTTATTCAACCATATGAAAAAATCAGAAGGAATGGATGCATAGTCAGAAAGAAATGCGAACATTAGCGGCTTGTCGTGTAACCATAGAGTTCAAGATAATTTTTGTCATTAAACAATATATCATGTGACTAACCACGGGTCCGGGTAGTCCTGTGGGTCCTCGGGTCCTACTCAGTACCCACCCGACCCGGGTACCCGAGTTACCCGTCCCAGCCCTAGAGGGATAGCATCATAAGTCTTGACGTGCATATGTAAACAAGGATTATATCCTACCTAATATTGTCCCGGGGGAGGTTTTACTCTAGAGTATAGGATAGGATTAAACACACTGGTATGGGTTTAAATTCACTAGGGAGAATCATCCTGACACTAGAGAATTTCATCCCTGAGATAAAAAAATAGGCTAGGGTAATAATCACTCTTACACATACACATCCATGTTAACACTGTGGCATGTTATCTCAGTGGGCTAGCATTATAAGTCTGGACGTGCATTCACATTGCTATACGATTAAAATCATCTTGAACATGGTGTAAACCCCATTTCATCTCATCTGTTCCTGTATCACTCTCCTTGTAACCAGGAGAAGCAGGGCACTGTGGAGGAGGCGTCGAGGAAAGTGGTCATCAGCCGAAGTCTTGACAACGCCATCCAGGACATCATGGACCTCGCTATCCACGACTTCATCCTCTCCTGGTACACCAAACTTGGACAGAACCAACAGAGATTTGTAAACTCCGTACAGTAAGTTAAATGTTTATTGCAGAACTCATTTCTTTAATTAGACAAGGGTGGTGGGTAGCCTAGTGGTTGAAGCATTCACTTGTCTCCAAAGACAAATTTAATTCCCCACATGGTTACAATGTGTGAAGCCCATTTCTTGTACCGTGGTATTGCTGGAATATTGCTGAGAGCAGGATAAAACCATGGTCACTCACTCACTTCATTTAGACAAATACATGAGATAGGAGAGAGTGTAGATGTGGGTGGGTGAGTGGGTAGGTGGGTGTTTGAGCGAGAGTGTTGTATAATGGATTCAGGAAATGTAGAACAAGGGTTTTAATTCACCCAGAGCACATGGCATACATGCAGGCAGACATCTTGGAACTCCCCCCTCCTTTACTCCCTAACTGAAGAGTGCATTTAATAACATAAGCTGTCCGGAGTTATCTCCCCTAGACCATACTGTGAACACATTAAGCCGTCCGGAGTTATCTCCCATAGACCACTACAATGAGTATATATAAAGACATAACAGAGAGTGAGTGTGTGAGTGGGTTGTTACTTCAGTTTTAGCAATATTCCTACCATATCAAGGAGTGAGATACTTGAAATAGACTTCACACATTGTACTCATGTAGGCAGATGAACCAGGGCTTTTGGTGTGAACCACCTCTGCTGTAGTTGTTTAATGTCAGTGACCTGACCTTCCTGGCAATCTGAAACACGGCAACAATCACACTTGAAAAACGAAGAATATGTTCCAATGATTCTGTCCCTGTTAGAGAACTATCATTTTGGTGCAATAATTATCATACTGCTATAACAAATCTGAAATCATAATCATGTTCTGAGACCTTCCATCAATAAGCCACCTGGTATGACATAATTAAATATTTGTATTTCTGCTTTGATTCCTTGCTGTTAACAGTATCAGTATAAACAATGATATTTGCATTGTCTTACAACTACCGTATTCGACGTAATAAGCACCCAGGGCACTCTCAAAATTAGAAATGAGGGGCTCTTATTAGAATATTATTTTTGTGGAAAAAACAGAGTTGAATAAAAATTTTGTGGTTAATTCTGACGGCCTGACTGTTTATATACGACAGATGGGTGCATAAAACACATGAGTGCGTATTATACACGAATAAATAAGTCTTGCGTAGATTGATCAATCGGAAGGGGTGCTAATTGGGATTGTTCACGTGCCAATATATTAGCAAATATTGCCGTGGGCGCTTATTAGAGCGGGGCGCTTTTTACGTCGAATACGGTAATTAGTTCAGGTCATTTATGTGTTTTCACAATCATAGAGGTATAACAGTAAACACGATGTTGAAACTTGCGATGTTGTTTCGTCAGATGCGACACGTGGCTGATGGTGGAGGAGCTTGGGTCCCGTCTCTCCCGGGTGGACTTCGTGAAGGTCATCACGCAGGAGGTCATTGACCTGCTCCACGACCACTACAGGGACATCCGATTTGCGTGCAGAAAGTAAGAGATCACTGTTATAATCATCGCTTGTCTCAAGTAGGGGTGAAATGATATATTGGTGCACCGTTGCATTATGAGTTTTCATGCAACAAAACATGGTACATTTTGTTCTGTATGGATACAAGACGATACACTTTCAAAAAAACAACTACTCGTTTAATGACACCCAGCATTTTTGTCAGTCAAATATAATGAAATGTGCTGTAATTAGGGTTTCAAGTTCACTACTAAAATAGCTGCTACGAATGTGTGTCTACAGCTAGCTTTACCTTTTGAACCTGCTATGAAATATTTCTAGTCAAGGAGTTTCCACGTGATTTGACGTAAATATGCGCATTGTGATACATATCGTATCGTATCTTGACCTATCATGATATGTATCACATAGTAACCTTGCTGTATCGTTTAACCCCTAGTCCAGGAAAATGTCTGTTCTTTAGTTAGTAAGTGAGTAGGGTTTTACTCCGCTTTTAGCAAATATTCTACCAATATCAGGACAGGGGACACCAGAGATTGTTCTCTAGTAAGTTCAATTGACATTAGTCAGTATGTGTTAACACTGAAAGGGCTTGTTGACTTTAAAGTCTCTGGTAGGGGCATCATTGATTGGAAATTTTAGTTTAATTGTTTACCAAAAACTTGGCATCTTTAAGCAATGGAAGTTACAATGGTTTACTATTCCAGAGATGTTGTTGAGAAGACGGAGAAAGCCCCGACATTTGTATTGCACCCATGGCTGCGGGATGAGGAGTCTGAGAGGAACTACCTACGGAAGTTGTGTGACGTCCTGCTGCTCTGTCTCCTGCCACCATGCTACAACCACTGCCACAGCATCAGACATCTACTGAGGGAGATAGTCACTGCTGCCGGTAATGTTTCCATGCTGATATATCTCTTTTACAGCCTGGGGGCGGTCGGGTAGCCTAGTGGTTAAAGCGTTTGGTCATCATGCCAAAGACCCAGGTTCGATTCCCGACATGGGTACAATGTGTGAAGCCCATTTCTGGTGTCCCCTGCCGTGATATTGCTGGAATATTGCTAAAAGCGGCGTCAAACCAAACTCACTCACCTTCTATTACAGCCTGGGGGCACGGGTGACCCAAGAGTTGCGTCCCTTGGGAATGCCAGAACCTTATAATTGCGGGTTCAAATCCTGGTTCGCCCCAGTTATGTTTCTAGGTCTGTCAGCACCATACCCAGGCTCGCAGGTTTAACAAAGTTGTACAAGACCTGCCTCACTTCGGGCATTCCTCCCACATCAGCTGACATGCCGTGATTTAACTAGAATACACTTGCAGAAAGATGCAAGGTTTGCTTGTTTTATAAAATTAACAACTATGTAACCCCATCTTGCTTGTGTGAACTTTTACCAAATCCTGTTGATACATTATCTTTTTACAAGTTAAGAAATGCTCAAAATATGTCAATACCATTCAATAGAACACAATTATTTAGTCACTAATTTTTACCGCCTGCTATAAAAATATGGAATGATTTGTCCAGTTCTCTTAGCTCTTTATATCTTTTATAACCAAAAAACAAACTAAATGTGTGCCTTCATATTTTTCCAGGGGTTTAAGAAAGTACAATATATAGCTTATAAAATTCATGCTCTCAGTTAAGTTGTGATTTATGTACAGACCGCCTCCGTGGTCTAGTGGTAGAGCGTCAGCCCGGAGAGCGGAAGGTCCGGGGTTCGATCCCTGGCAGCATCATACCAAAAGATGTTAACTTGTGAAAACTTAGGAAATAAAAATATGAATAAAATATGTTTAAAAGTAAATAACCGTTACAAGTGGCATTAAACCCAAATCACTCACTCAATCACTCAATCACTCAATTACTCAATCACTCAATCACTCAATCACTCAATCACTCACTCACTCACTCACTCACTCACTCACTCACACACACACACACACACACACACACACACACACACACACACACACACACAGACTGCTATCAGGTCTTGTTTCTGCCGCCATTCCACAGTCCCTGCTGTAGCGTCAGACATCTACTAAGAGAGGGAGTCACTGATTCAGGCAATGTTTTCATGACGATATATGCTGTAAAGTCTTGTATCTGTCTCCATGCTACACTCCAGCTCTGAAGCCAACGTTGGACTTGATCTGTGATCCCGACTACATCAACCTGAAGCTGCTGAGCTACCTGGAGTACCGCGAGAAGCTGTCCGAGGACACACGCCGCACCTACACCTACGCTGCTACGTACGAGGATTTTGTGAAGAAGATAGAGATGTGTGTGGACATTGAACACCTGAAGCAGATGAGGTGGGTTGAGATGGCCGTGCAAGGTTCAAACAAGATTTACTTTAACATTTCACCAGATTTGGCTTTACTCTTGGTGATTTGGAGTGTTGTGTTTGGAAAATACTAAATTCTGATGTTTGTAACCATTGAAAACTGCAACTAATTCTGTTTGAAGAAGATCTCCCAAATGCCTCTCCAGGAATTGTGAGAATTAGAGATGGGATGAGTCCAAATTTACTATCCAGATACCCACCCCCCTATACCCACCCCCCTATTACCAGACCCTACTGACGTACCCGCTGTAGCTCTCAAATGTTGGGTTCAAAATGTCCGATTGGGAATTCTTTTACCAGAGCCTAAACTATTTAGGTAGTAATATATATCTTTGGATCATATGTTTTCTGACATCATACGTTTTTTGACTGTCATGTTTATCGCGATTACTCTCGCTATAATGGGGTGTGTGGCATCACGCAGACATTGTTAATAGCCAGATGATGGCTTATTGTTAAGGGAAAGTTTTTTATAAGTGAAGGAGATTATGTAGAGTTGTTCATGTGATTAGAGAGAAAACCATGAATGTTTCTTAAACGTCCAAAAACCCATAACAAGGGGATACACATATAAAACAATCTGATCATGCACAGAAGTTGACTGAAGCTTATCTTTAATAAAGCATATGAAAGTCAGAAGGAATGTGTGCATAGTCAGAAAGAAATGCAAACATTAGTGACTTGTAGTGTAACCATGGAGTTCTAGTGTATTTTTGTCATTAAACAATACATCACGTGACTAACCCAGGTCTGGGTAGTCCTGTTGGTACCCTGGTCCTACTCAGTACCCACCCGACCCGAGTACCTGAGTACCCGAGTTACCCGTCCTAGCCCTAGTGGGAATGTTTCAGAAACATGAGGTGAGGTGAAACAGGGTTTAACGTGGCATCCAAGATTATTGCACTTATATAGCGACGTGCTTGTACGTGTGTGTGTTTGTGTGGCTGCTTGTACTAGTCCGGACTGATGCCAATTTATAGTGCTAGCTCACTGAGATACCATGCCGCAGTTTAACATGAATACCCCACTCGGACACAGTATACTGACTCCTAGCCGACCTGTCCTTGTTTTAGCCCCTTTATGCCGAGCGCCAGACAGGGTAACAACAAGTACCATCTTTTAACGTCTTTTGGTATGACGCGGCCAGGGATCGAACCCCGGACCTTCCACTCTCCGGGCGGACGCTCTACCGCTAGACCATGGAGGCGGTCCTCAGAAACATGAGATATTGCAGATTGGTGCTTCTGTTCCAGATACAACATCATCTCGGAGATCATGCATGCCACCACGATCAACAACTTGAAGAAGGCGCAGGGAATCAAGACAGGTGGGTTTCATAGGTAATAGTTGAGAAATAATGAAGGTAGGCGGCATAAAATTTGATGTGTGTATGCGAAACTGCCCCTCATGTGATCTAGGTATAGAGGGTGAATATCATTTATTCTTGAATGTGCTATTTTTAGAATTACATATTTACCAAGACATGTATCACTTTCATAAATATGCAATCATTTAAAAATATACCGTATTCGACATAATAAGCGCCCAGGGCGCTCTCAAAATTAGAAATAGGGGGCTCTTTTTAGAAAATTAGATATATCTTATTAGAGTTGAAAGATAAATTTTGTGGCTAATGCTGACAGCCTGAAATGTTTATATACGACATATATATTTTTCCAGAATTTAATTGCCCATAATTCAGGATGCATATAACACACGAGTGCATATTATACGCGAATAAATAAATCTTTTGTACATTGATCAATCGGAAGGGGTGCTCATTCTATTAAGAAATATTGCCGTGGGCACTTATTAGAGCGGGGCGCTTATTACGTCGAAAACGGTAATTGCCATAAATAATCTTGAACAAATATGATCATTATGCTTGTTTATCAAAGAAGATTTATTTGTTAAACTATGTTTAAAATTATGTCTATTATAACTACGCGTAATTGATGTTTGTATCTGGGCCTATGGCTTTTGTCCTCAATAAAGAATTGATTGATTGATAAGTAGACTAGACTGAGCATACACATAGTATACTGTGAAAGGTGGAGTTACATATTACCCGTCCATTTACCAGAATTCACTGAAGGGATACGGTGTAATTTTTTTTCTGCGCACAATTTTCAATTATTTCTCTCCAAAATACTGAATCCACTAGAGGGGGGTGCGCATTATACTTGGGTGCGCACTGTACTCAAGAAAATACGGTAACTGTCCCGAGCCAATTAACTTTGTTTCACATTTATTGCAAGAAGGACAGACAATCCATCATTTGGAGTTGGAGTTGTGATAAAATGTGGGTTTCCTGATCACAACAGGACATATCAACTCAGTCAGTCTATTGTTTGAATGACATCACATAAAACTCTCTGTGACGAGATTTGCAGATGTGTTGATATGGCACTGTGATACTATGAGTGATAAATACAGTGTAATGGTTGGCATAAACGAGCCGCGGTAGCATGAAGCAAAATTATGGACAGTGAGAATAACTGAAAATAATTGCATCAATATCCTTTCCCCTATGATAAATTTCATGGAAGTGGTAGTTGAAGACATACCGTATATGACCGCGTATAAGCCGAATTTTGAGGACCAGAAAAAAGATTCTGTAGAAAGGGGTCGGCTTATCCACGGGATACACTTTCATGATAGTATTTTTCAGATCGTGATCTGTCAGAAACATCGCCTGAATGACGGTCCGATAGATCACAACTTCCCGAAAGTTTGGAAGTTGCCACTACTAGAGCCATTATTGTTATAAATTATCAATAAAGTTATTATTATACACCAATGTTGTCATTATTAAAAAAATGTTATGCATGTTTCTACTTCCGATAATAAGTTTTCAATATTGAATGTTCAAAGTTGATCGTTCTTCGTAAACTCCGCGATCTTTACATGTAGATCTAACAATATATGTAATTCCCAGCTATAATATATAATCCCCAGATGAAATCGCCAATAGCTATTACGTACGTTTTGCAAAGTTCATAAATTGATAGTTAACAAGTGTCTACCTTTATTGAAAGAGACAAATAAACAACTGTATCGGCGAGTTATTCCGTTCGCCATTTGCAAAAACATGTGATCAGCTGTTTCCTGTGACGTCACAAACGGTGACCACTGTGATTGCTTCCTGTTGTTTAAAAAGCAACACGATACACAAGGAAATGAGCATTGATAATAACGGGCCGATTGGTATTGTCATGTTGTTTACACAAACATTTTCAAGTTGTGGGTGCTTAGCGATCGTGTTGGGAGTAGGGGCTTAATTAATTAATTGTTGAAAGATTAGTTTAATAAACTGGAGAAGCCTGTGAGTAAGTGATGGTCATTCAATGTGTTCATAGTATGATAGTTTATTTAATTCAATTGGATTAACATACAATAGTGGTGTAAAGGGGGTTATAAAAGTTGGTAATTACTGACATTCTCATCATGAGTTTGAAACGAAAACGCCATGCTTACGATTCTGAATTCAAACTGCGAGTCTTCGCTCTAGCCGATATATTTTCTCACGGGTTCATAATTCTATATACACCGATTCAGAAAATGGCGCTTCGTTGTTGATGGCAACATATAACGATCATTATGAGATTAAAAAAACCCACGAGAAACAGCTTCCCACATTATGAAAGTGGATGACTGGTTTGTTAAATCTTTATTAGAAATAATAATGACTTTTTCAATATAATTACAACGTTTTTCATCTTATATTTTTGAATATCTGTGAGTACCGGCACATGTCTTGCAGTCCGACTTCGCAGTGTTTTTTGCCTTTCAATTCCTGGTTCGGCTTATCTGCGGGTCATGTCATTTTCTTTCGTATTTCAATGGTCAAGTTAACACCTCGGCTTATCTACGGGGTCGGCTTATCCGCGGTCATATACGGTACATCTTCCTGAGGCAAGGGAGTTAACTGACTACACAAGTCCAGTTTCCACCCTGGAATTTCGGAGTTATGTCTTGTCTGGCCTAACGAGTCTATGCATAGTCCAATCAAAATCGCGTAAAAAAAATCAACATTTTGGTAACTGCTGTGCAGATTTAGGTCGATTGCAGGATTTGCAAAGCATTTGTACCGTCAACTGGGCATCGGGGATATTTTCCAAATCTTTTCATGTTTTTTTAATCAAGGTGCTCAAGTAATTTGATGCATTTCATGAGGGAAGACCCGTTTTATAACTATACAGATCTTTATTATTTATCAGACCAGTTTGACTAGGGGTACCATTTTGTTTGAAGCAAATGCTATTATGAGATAGGAGGAATCGGACTGTCAATAGGTAGGGACATAGAAGGGTCATAACTCGTATAGCAACTGGCTACAATCAAGCTACGGAATTCCAGCCTAGTTCGACTAGTGTGGACGTGGGACATTTAAAGTCAGTTAACTCCCTTGCATCAGGAAGATGAAGATATATGGAGATAGGAAGATAAATATAGTTAAATCCATAATAAAAATGACTTCTCATTGGTGTAAAAATACCCAATTGACTGGATCCAAGGGAGTAAAAATATCAGACTCAGACACTCTGAGCCAACCCGTAATTATTTTATCCCCTTATTCCATTGACAAATACCATCTTTTAACGCCATTTTGTATGACGCGGCCGGGGCATGAATCCCCGACCTTCCGCTCTCTCTGGGCGGGGGCTCTACCACTAGACCACGGAGGCAGCCTTAAGATATAGGTAGACTTGTATAGGGTACAAATGTTATGGAAGCTCATGCACTTGTTTGTGTGTTGTGATGTTACTAGAGGTTTTGTTGTAGTTACTGTGCATGCATTGTTACTTGTTTTAGCAGCCAGGGTGCATGGTAAGTGAGGTAGTAACGCTTTCAAATAAATGTATCTAACATTGCAGTAGACAGTAGTGTACCATAGTGGAGTGTCTCCTTTTTATATCTGTCTAACCTCTATACCAGCTCCGCTTGGAAGAAATAGTCAAGTTTTTTGTCATGTTTATTGTCTCCCCTTCTGACATGTTTAACTAACGGCGACCATTTGGTCAAAAAATACAAAGTTGAAAAGAAGGTCAAAAGTAGGCAGTGTTAATAGTCAAATGTTACGATAAGACGTCCTATGAAAGAACAATGTGTACTAAAGGACACTTAACTGCTGTTGTCCTTTTCTGCACACTGATGTTCTTAGAACACATTGTTATTTTCATAGGATGTCTTTTCGTAACATTTGACTATTATATTGCATACTTTTGACCTTTATTTCAACTTTGTATTTTTTAACCAGCATCTGTTTGTTTTAGGATTTTGACCTTTATTAGTAACATTTGATATTATATTTGTAACATTTGACTATCATTGCATAGTTTTGTCTTTTATTTTTTGACTGAATAGCCTACCATATTTAACATGGTTATTTTCAAGAAGCTTATTCTAATTTTGATACATTGAGATAGGTACAAAATGTCCGATAAGGGATAGTTTGACCATTGCCCTGGAAAAATGCATTTAGATGTACACAAATAAAACGATCTGATCGTGCATTCACTGAAGTTGACTGAAGTTTTATCTTTATTCAAACATATAAAATCAGAAGGAATGTGTGTATAGTCAGAAAGAAATGTGAACTTGTAGTGACTTGTAGTGTAACAATGGAGTTCTAGATATCTTATATTATTAAACAATATATCATGTGACTAACCATGGGTCTTGGTAGTCCTGTTGGTGACCAGGTCCTACTGACCCGTGAAGATCCGGGGTAGAATAGATTTTCAGCAACCCGTGCTTGCAGTAAAAGGCGACTATGCTTGATGTAAGAGGCGAATAACGGGATCGGGTGGTCAGGCTCGCTGACATGGTTGATGGATGTCATTGTATCACAATTGCGTGGATTGAGGCTCATGATATCAATCACTGGATTGTCAGGTACAGACTCGATTATTTAAAGACCGCTGTCATATAGCTTGAATGTTACTGAATGCGGCGTTAAACAACAAACCAAACCAAACCAAACCAGGTCCTACTCAGTACCCAACCGACCCGCATACCCGAGTTATCCATCCCAGCCCTACTGACAGTCCATATATTCTTGTGAATATTACAGATTTTTTACAGAATACAGGAGCACAGAAGGGGTATATAATTGCCTCGTAACTATTTTTGATTATGTTCTATAGATGTTTGAATTAAATTTGTTCAAAACCTACCCCTGGATCTCTGACAACAAATGTAAATCGTTGAGTATTGTTTTAAGAGCGATGCATTTTGTCACTTTTCCAAGCAGCCTGGGTGCATATTGCAGTGAATACATTATCAAATTATTACCAATTTCATTAAAATCAGATCTGAAGACACCCCGTTAGGGGTCACGTCAGAATGACCTTTCATCCGGCCAATCTGAGCGTTGCTTACCAGATCATGAAAGTGACAGTCGGAATGTGATTCCTAATCATGCAGCCTGGAAAACTTTAACATGGGGTATTCTGAACAATAGTTGCGGGCTTTACGACTAAATCCATACAAGCTAGACCATCTATTAGCCATTCCAGAATGTTCTTTTGTTCAGGTTTCAATTTTTTAATCAAGAATTTGTCAAAATATGTTTCGAAGCGTAGTCGCCAATAAGACATTAGTGCTGTAAAGCACGAGAATGCTGCTTACTGATTGGCTAATGTCGACTTCCTGTCAGTCATTCCATTGGTCGGAAAGTTCGCGAAAGGTCGGTCCCTAATGGGATGTCCTCAGATTTTATGTTTAGCGGTAGCGAGAACTAAGATCTGATTTTAATGAGATTGAATTATGGCCGATATGAAGCTGCGAAGTCAAGAATGATGGACTACGAGTCCAATCACCAGACACATATTGACACTTGTTAGAGCTGTATCTGATAAGGCCAAACAATAAAATACTCGTGTCACAAGTAATCCACCAAACAGAATGGTTGTTGTTGAATGCATATGAGTGTATCACGAGATATTTTGAGGTCTGTTTTCGAGTTCATGTAGCGAACAAGGATGACCCTCGAACATCAAGTGTACATGAGATATTCTATTCAACGATGAACCTGTAACAAGGACCTGTCAATACAGTTGACATCTAAAGGAATTAGATCCAAATTAAGGGTCTTAAGTGAACAGGAACATTGTTTGGATTGTCAGAGACACAAGTATTTTGTTTTTGACCTGACACTATTTCTGTATTATTGTACTGTATGTTGTTTCTATCTCTGTAATAATAACGTTCACAGAATGGGTTACATCCTCAACTTATGACTGTAGTCATCGTATGGTTGTTTCTCCTACTGTGGGTATTTATGTGTTCCGCTGTGACGAAGATTCTACTTACATGTAGAGCATTACTCATCCATGTATAGCATTGTACATCTTCCATTTACTCTCATAACAAAATGAGATAAACCAATGCACTTTTCAGTTGTAACATACTGTGGGTATTTATGTGTTCCACTGTGACTAAGATTTTGCTTACACGTAGAGCATTACTCATCCATGTATAGCATTGTACATCTTCCATTTACTCTCATAACATAATGAGATAAACCAATGCACTTTTCAGTTGTAACAGGAAAATGTCCTTTTATCATGTTTATGAAACAAATTATCAATGTCACTGTGCAGAGGTGGAGGAATTGATTCATGCACATTGGAGTGAGTGAGTTGGGTTTCACCGCTTTTAGCAATATTCCGACAATGTCATGGCGGAGGACACCAGCAATGGGCTTCACACATTTTACCCATGTGAGGAATCGAACCCATGCCTTTTGGTGTAACGAGTGAACACTTTAACCACAAGGCTACCCCACCTCCCTAACATCCTGATGACATGATGGTGGAAATAAATAAACATCATGTTAATATAAAACAATATATTAATTTTCTTTTTTCTTTTCACCCTCCAACTTCAGGGTCTACCTACCTGTGATCAAGACCCGTGAAGATCTTGGGTAGAATAGGTCTTCAGCAACCCACGCTTGCCGTAAAAGGCGACTATGCTTATCGTAAGAGGGGACAAACAGGATCGGGTGGTTAGGCTCGGTGACTTGGTTGATGCATGTCATCGTATCCCAATTGCATGGATTGATGCTCATGATGTCAATCACTGGATTGTCTGGTCCAGACTCAGTTATTTACAGACCGACATCATATAGCTTCAATATTGCGGAGTGCGGCGTTAAACAACAAACCAACAAAACCTGTGATCAAATAGGTACAGGTACAAATGACAATAGAGAGTAGGCCTGGGGCGGTCCAAATTTATACTACCTGGGTACCCACCCCCCTATTACCCGACCCTACCTGGGTACCCACTGTAGGTCTCAAGAGATAGGTAAAACGTGTCCCGTTTGAGAAAGTTTGACGGTACTCCTGTCAAAATAAATATAGATACAGGTATAATCCGATCTTGTCATACATACACTGACGTTGACTGATGTTTTATCATTATGCAAACATATAAAGTCAGAAGGAATGTGTGCAAAGTCAAAGAACATTTATCACTTATAGTGTAACCATAGAGTTCTAGATATTTTTTGCCATTTAACAATATAATCACATGACTAAACACGGATCCGGGTAGTCCTGTGGGTACCCGGGTCCTACTCAGTACCCACCCGACCCGGGTACCCGAGTTACCCGTCCCAGCCCTAATAGAGAGGTGATGTCAATCATCTAATTTCTTCATTAGGAAATCATTCATGTTTCACCGTAGGACATAGTACATGTGTGACATGATTCAGAGTAGTTTTAGTGAAGAGAATTGTTAAAGTTCTTCCAAGAATTATTCTACCAATAGATACCAATCTGGAAACATTCTGGAAGGAAGGATTGGAGTCCTGTGTTGTAGTATTTCATTGTGATCCTAATCAAGGAAATGAAAGGAAATGATTTGTGATAAGTCTCATTTCCACTTTTCTACCTCATAGAAAAAGAGAGTTCCCCTAAAAGCACAACAAAAGGAGAGCTCCTCAAGGCCCGAAACCTGAAGCGATATATCAATCAGGTACGTCATCCTTGTGTGCTGTCATCCTTGTGTGCTGTCATCTTCTGCTTGTGAATGAGTATAGTTTTATGGTTCTTCACGATTCATTGCGTAGCAGTCTTATATTATTCTATAAGTGCTGTGTGACATCACTTGTGGAGCAATGTGCAGAGAGGGTGCAGTCTATGTTAACATATGGATGTTATGATTGCTTTGCTAAAATCGCTTTGTGGAACGGAGCCCAGTGCAGAGTATGTCCACAGTGCTCCATGGTTGTCATTTGAGCTGATTTATAAGCATCAAGTGATTTTGACATGTGACCTGAATGATTTGCTTTGTACTTTGAAAATGTGGATCATTGCTCATGTCATCAAAACAGCATTTGTCACTCACTCGGGATGAACAGAGTGAGGTTGAAATGACAGTGACTGAAAGTAACATTTCGTACGTGACCTTTCACACTTCCTTTGCTTATAGTGAGGTACGCCAGTCTACCAGTGACCATCTTTTTCAGGATAAATGTCTAAATAATAGTGTCAGAAAATGTCATATACGAGGGGCTTTCAATAAGTTTTGCAACTTCAATATAAGACCAAGTCGCAGAATATCTTTTGCACTTTCATTTTTCAATATTGTCTCCATTCACCTCAATACACTTATTCCATTTGTCCTTCAAGCTTTTTATACCACTTTTATAGAAACCCGCAGATTGGCCGTCTAACCAAGCCTCTGTGGCAGCCTTTAAGTCCTCGTCATCCACGAAGCGCCTTCCACGTAGGCCTAATTTCATTTGCTGGAACAGGAAATAGTCACTGGGGGCTAAGTCGGGGCTGTACAGTTAAATCACCCACCCTACAGCCCAGACTTGGTCTAATATTGAAGTTGCAAAACTTATTAAATGCCCCTCATTAATAGACTCTTGCAAGGACATTTATGGTCTGGATCAATTTAAGGATAAGGATTTTACATGTTATCATTAACAACTGTGCTTGAATTAAATGACTGATAAAACCTTATACATCACTGTGCATGTGTCTCAGCTGACGGTGGCCAAGTCCCGATGTGAGAAGCGCATCCAGGCCCTCGGGGGTCCGGACTACAAGTACTACAGTGGGGGCAATGGAGGGGAGAGTCGGGCTACGTCCCCCCTCCCCGGTCAGAAGGTCAGTGCGCAACTGTAGTTCTTGTGCTTGATGCATCTCATTGGTCATCATAAAGAAGATTTATTTTCTTCAAATTGAAGGAACTAGTGTTTACAATTTGTTTTGTTCCATAACCACTTTCAAGAGGGGGTGTTATTTGTGACTAGTCTGTACTAGCTCATGTGCCAGATGGTTTTTGGCCATTTAAAAGACATATCAAATAAAACAGAATATGTTTCATATGTTTTCGCGAGAAACATTTCCTATTTTATCAGTCTGAATGTTTAAGCATATAAGATGGAGTTCTTTACTCCTGCCGAAACCCTTTCAATTATCTCAAAGTTAGGTCAAGGTTGTCACTTTCATTTTAGATTAATGGCATGTAAGTATATACCATGGTGTGTAACTAGCGGACGGCATTGGAAAGTGGATAATAAGTTTAAATCCTCAGACAGCTAGTTTGGTCAATACATAAATATGGAGACCAGTTTTAGAAACATGCACTAAGCTTGCTCACTAAGACATCTCCTCCAGATTGGGTTGTGTGACCCAGAGTGTATTTGTCTTCACTAGGTGTTGTCATTCAGCGTGATCATGGATCTGCCCCAAGCCCGGGACTACTTCATGAAGTACCTCAAGAAGGAGAACCAGGAGTCCATGCTGGGGTAGGTGTTTGTCTGGAAGCTGTCAACACTAGGGTGGGTGTTTGTCTGGAAGCTGTCAACACTAGGTGGGTGTTTGTCTGGAAGCTGTCAGTACCAGGGTGTGTGTTTGTCTGGAAGCTGTCAACACTAGGGTGGGTGTTTGTCTGGAAGCTGTCAACACTAGGGTGGGTGTTTGTCTGGAAGCTGTCAATAGTAGGGTGTGTGTTTGTCTGGAAGCTGTCAGTACCAGGGTGTGTGTTTGTCTGGAAGCTGTCAACACTAGGGTGGGTGTTTGTCTGGAAGCTGTCAATAGTAGGGTGTGTGTTTGTCTGGAAGCTGTCAACACTAGGGTGGGTGTTTGTCTGGAAGCTGTCAACACTAGGGTGGGTGTTTGTCTGGAAGCTGTCAACACTGAGGTGTGTGTTTGTCTGGAAGCTGTCAACACTAGGGTGGGTGTTTGTCTGGAAGCTGTCAACACTAGGTGGGTGTTTGTCTGGAAGCTGTCAACACTGAGGTGTGTGTTTGTCTGGAAGCTGTCAGCACTGGGGTGGGTGTTTGTCTGGAAGCTGTCAACAGTAGGTGGGTGTTTGTCTGGAAGCTGTCAGTACCGGGGTGGGTGTTTGTCTGGAAGCTGTCAATAGTAGGGTGTGTGTTTGTCTGGAAGCTGTCAACACTGGTGTGTGGGTTTGTCTGGAAGCTGTCAATAGTAGGGTGTGTGTTTGTCTGGAAGCTGTCAATAGTAGGGTGGGTGTTTGTCTGGAAGCTGTCAATAGTAGGGTGGGTGTTTATCTGGAAGCTGTCAATAGTAGGGTGTGTGTTTGTCTGGAAGCTGTCAATAGTAGGGTGTGTGTTTGTCTGAAAGCTGTCAACACTGAGGTGTGTGTTTGTCTGGAAGCTGTCAATAGGAGGGTGTGTGTTTGTCTGGAAGCTGTCAATAGTAGGGTGGGTGTTTGTCTGGAAGCTGTCAACACTAAGGTGTGTGTTTGTCTGGAAGCTGTCAACACTGAGGTGTATGTTTGTCTGGAAGCTGTCAATAGTAGGGTGGGTGTTTGTCTGGAAGCTGTCAATAGTAGGGTGTGTGTTTGTCTGGAAGCTGTCAGTACCGGGGTGGGTGTTTGTCTGGAAGCTGTCAACACTGAGGTGGGTGTTTGTCTGGAAGCTGTCAATAGTAGGGTGGGTGTTTGTCTGGAAGCTGTCAACACTGGGCTGGGTGTTTGTCTGGAAGCTGTCAACACTGAGGTGTATGTTTGTCTGGAAGCTGTCAATAGTAGGGTGGGTGTTTGTCTGGAAGCTGTCAATAGTAGGGTGTGTGTTTGTCTGGAAGCTGTCAACACAAGGGTGTGTGTTTGTCTGGAAGCTGTCAATAGTAGGGTGTGTGTTTGTCTGGAAGCTGTCAATAGTAGGGTGGGTGTTTGTCTGGAAGCTGTCAACACTGGGCTGGGTGTTTGTCTGGAAGCTGTCAACACTGAGGTGTGTGTTTGTCTGGAAGCTGTCAATAGTAGGGTGGGTGTTTGTCTGGAAGCTGTCAGTACCGGGGTGGGTGTTTGTCTGGAAGCTGTCAACACTGAGGTGGGTGTTTGTCTGGAAGCTGTCAACACTGAGGTGTGTGTTTGTCTGGAAGCTGTCAATAGTAGGGTGGGTGTTTGTCTGGAAGCTGTCAGTACCGGGGTGGGTGTTTGTCTGGAAGCTGTCAACACTGAGGTGGGTGTTTGTCTGGAAGCTGTCAGTACCGGGGTGTGTGTTTGTCTGGAAGCTGTCAATAGTAGGGTGTGTGTTTGTCTGGAAGCTGTCAATAGTAGGGTGGGTGTTTGTCTGGAAGCTGTCAATAGTAGGGTGGGTGTTTGTCTGGAAGCTGTCAACACTGGGGTGGGTGTTTGTCTGGAAGCTGTCAACACTGAGGTGTGTGTTTGTCTGGAAGCTGTCAATAGTAGGGTGGGTGTTTGTCTGGAAGCTGTCAGTACCAGGGTGGGTGTTTGTCTGGAAGCTGTCAACACTGAGGTGTGTGTTTGTCTGGAAGCTGTCAATAGTAGGGTGGGTGTTTGTCTGGAAGCTGTCAATAGTAGGGTGTGTGTTTGTCTGGAAGCTGTCAGTACCGGGGTGGGTGTTTGTCTGGAAGCTGTCAACACTGAGGTGTGTGTTTGTCTGGAAGCTGTCAACACTGGGGTGTGTGTTTGCCTCGAAGCTGTCAACACTGGGGTGGGTGTTTGCCTGGAAGCTGTCAACACTGGGCTGGGTGTTTGTCTGGAAACTGTCATCACCAGGGTGGGTGTTTGTCTGGAAACTGTCAACAGTAGGTGGGTGTTTGTCTGGAAGCTGTCAACAGTAGGTGGTGTGTTTGTCTGGAAGCTTTCTGAGCGATTGGGTATTTGTCTGGAAGCTGTCAACACCAGGGTGGGTGTTTGTCTGGAAGCTGTCAACACCTGGGTGGGTGTTTGTCTGGAAGCTGTCAATAGTAGGGTGTGTGTTTGTCTGGAAGCTGTCAATAGTAGGGTGGGTGTTTGTCTGGAAGCTGTCAATAGTAGGGTGGGTGTTGGTCTGGAATCTGTCAACACTGGGGTGGGTGTTTGTCTGGAAGCTGTCAACACTTGGGTGGACGTTTGTCTGGAAGCTGTCAACACTGGTGTGGATGTTGGTCTGGAAGCTGTCAACACTGGGGTGGGTGTTTGTCTGGAAGCTGTCAACACTGGGGTGTGTGTTTGTCTTGAAGCTGTCAACACTGGGGTGTTTGTCTGGAAGCTGTCAAATACTGGGGTGTTTGTCTGGAAGCTGTCAACACTGGGGTGGATGTTTGTCAGGAAGCTGTCAACACTGGGGTGGATGTTTGTCTGGAAGCTGTCAACACTGGGGTGGATGTTTGTCTGGAAGCTGTCAACACTGGGGTTGATGTTTGTCTGGAAGCTGTCAACACTGGGGTTGATGTTTGTCTGGAAGCTGTCAAACACTTGGATGTTTGTCTGGAAGCTGTCAACACCAGGGTGTGTGTTTGTCTGGAAGCTGTCAACACCAGGGTGTGTGTTTGTCTGGAAGCTGTCAACACCAGGGTGTGTGTTTGTCTGGAAGCTGTCAACACTGGGGTGGATGTTTGTCTGGAAGCTGTCAACACTGGGGTGGATGTTTGTCTGGAATCTGTCAACACTGGGGTGGATGTTTGTCTGGAATCTGTCAACACTGGGGTGGATGTTTGTCTGGAAGCTGTCAACACTGGGGTGTGTGTCTGGAAGCTGTCAACACTGGGGTGTGTGTCTGGAAGCTGTCAACACTGGGGTGTGTGTCTAGAAGCTGTCAACACTGGGGTGTGTGTCTGGAAGCTGTCAACACTGGGGTGTGTGTCTGGAAGCTGTCAACACTGGGGTGTGTGTCTGGAAGCTGTCAACACTGGGGTGTGTCTAGAAGCTGTCAACACTGGGGTGGATGTTTGTCTGGATGGTTGCAGCTCAATTTCAAAATCATGATCAGACAATTTTTAAGACTCACAGTTAAGTTTTTAAATAGCTAAGTTTGTGTTATAATGATGCTGTGTTAATACCACCATCATCACAAGTATGCCATAATGTTTCAGGTTTTGGAATGCAGTAGAAAAATTGCGAGTAGCAAGCAAGGTAAGAATTATACCCATATGTAATTATCAATTTTACAGATGTAGGTAAATAGTTTTATGATCCCAGTGACAGGAAGAATTATTGAAACTCATGGTGAAACAGGGAAGTTAACAATGTTTCAGTGTTTTGAATACCGGTAGTGTATTTAGTTCCACTCCAGATTCTAGGAAGGCTAAGTGAGTATTGTTTGGGTCACTTTTTGGGCCACTTACAATTATGGGGGGACACCTAAAATGCACTTCACACATACTCAAACCCAGACCTTCTGGATGACAAGCAAACACTGTAACTGTTAGGCTATCCTACATCCTCAAGGAAGATTAGCAGAAACATTCAAGTCATTGATAAAGATACTTTTCTCTGATCCACAACGGATGGTAGTAACTTTGCTAGACTGCTGCTTGAACCCCCCTCATCCAATAACACTGTCATGCTACTCAACATTACCAATATCTTAAGCACTAAAATTGGCAAGGGGCAGAGATGGCCCAGTTGTCTATGGTTACACACAACACTATAATACCGGCGTTAGTCCAACCTAGTACAAGCAGCCACACACACTTGTCGCAATGAATGCTATAATTGTGACCATGATGTAACACCCCATTTCTGCGCACTGCTTCAGTACAATGGAGTAATTGACGGTCATGATGTTGCAGGACAAGCGCCACCATGTGGCCAGTGAGATCTACCAGCAGTACGTGTCCAGCAACTCCACGGCGGTCAAGCTGGACAAGGCTACCATCAAGGGCATGGAGATATTTCTGATTGGTGACAAGGTATTGTATTGCATTGTTTGTTGTTTAACACCGCACTCAGCAATATTCCAGCTATATGACGGAGGTCTGTAAATAATGGAGTCTGGACCAGACAATCCAGTGATTGATATCAATCAATCAATCTTTATTCATGGTACTTATGAGGCCAAAGGCCGATAGTACATAGTACATTGATATCATGAGCAACGATCCTCGCAATTTGGGAAACAATGACATGCATCAACCAAGTCAGCAAGCCTGACCACCCGATCCCGTTAGTCACCTCTTACAACAAGCATAGTCGCTTTTTACGGCAAGCATGGGTTGCTGAAGACCTATTCTACCCCGAATCTTCACAGGTCGATGACAAGGTATGGAAGTCACTGTTCATGACCTGCAGTTCTGGGCCCTGTCCCATAAAGCGATCACAGCACTGAGGTGATGTTGACTCCGATACTTTACCAGAGGCCTACGATCATCATAGTGCTAAGATTGCTTTGTGGAACAGGGCCCAGAACTGGTTATTTGTTTGGGGAGCTGAAATCTTTTTTCAGAATCTGTTATTCTGTCATTAATGAGTAAAATAATTTATTGAGACCGACCCATCCATTACATAGCTTCTTTGGAAAGGACATCCCCATATTCATCTTATCATTTTTTTGCACAGAATTTCTCTTGCTCATGAGTATAATCTGATTGGATGTCCATTTTTAGCTTACATATTTCAAATTGGACTCAAAACAAAGCTAAGGTGCAAAAGTGTTCTGGGGTATTTATCTTAATAGAACCGTCGTCATATAGCTTGAATATTGCTGAGTGCGGCGTTAAACAACAAACCAACAAACCAATATCATAATAGAGTGGAAATATAATACAATTGATGATCAGAAATGTACTTTTGGCTTGTTCATATTAAACTGTGGTAATCTGATATATTGTTCACATCAACATTAAACCCAACTCACTCACTCACTCACTCACGTCTGCCACTCTTGGCACCACTATGCAGGGTCCGGAGTCGTTCTATGATGCTCAGAAGCAGCTGTACGGCATCATGGAGGAGAAGTACTACCCCTCCTTCATCGTGAGCGACATCTACCACCAGTGCATCTCCTCCCTGGAGGAGGAGGACAACCTCGACCCCCTCGCCATGTCCTCTAAAGGTAACCCTTGTCTTGTTATGTACTGTTGTTTTTTGTTGTTTAACAACACACTCAGCACTATTCCAGCTATATGATGGCGGTCTGTAAATAATGAAGTCTGGACCAGACAATCTAGTGATTGATCATGAGCATAGATTTTTGCAATTGAGATATAATGGCATGCATCAACCAATTCAGCAAGTGTGACCGATCCTGTTTGTCGCCTCTTCCGACAAGCATTGTTGACTTTTACGGCAAGTATGGTTTACTGAAAACCTATTCTAACCCAGATCTTCACGGGTCTTCAGGGCTATAACTAATCATTCATTCACAATTAAATACATGTGATTTGAAATTGGTATTGGTGTCACAATGAACCTGACTCTCTGTTCTTCTTTGTGTTAGATGAGTTGTTTCTGGAGTCGAAGGATGACATTGACCCGAGTGACAGCCCCGCCATGTTTGCTGATGAGTCCTACCATGCTCAACAGAAGATGCAGCAGCTGGATGAGAAACTGGCCAATAAGACACAGGCCCTTCAGGCCATCAAGAGCTCCCAGAAGCCCGATGAGAAAGTAAGTACTGATCAATAAAACACAGGCCCTTCAGGCTGTCAAGAGCTCCCAGAAGCCTGATGAGAAAGTAAGTACTGATCAATAAAACACAGGCCCTTCAGGCTATCAAGAGCTCCCAGAAGCCCGATGAGAAAGTAAGTACTGATCAATAAAACACAGGCCCTTCAGGCCATCAAGAGCTCCCAGAAGCCCGATGAGAAAGTAAGTACTGATCAATAAAACAAGGCTCTTAGGGCACCAAAATCTCTCAGAAACATTATATGTACAGTAAGTATGGCCTATAAAATCATCTCCTGATGAGTCAAACCTTGACAATGACAATGACACACGCTGCAAGGTGCAGCTTCATGTATGGTCCATTCCTTCATTGTATGACTGTCTGCACTGCTACAATTCAACATTGACAATCTACAGCCATAGGAGTGGCACGGGTGGCCCAGTCATCTAAGGCGCTGCAATTCGCTGTGCAGAGTTGTGTCCCTTGGGCAAGCCAGAAACCTATGATCATGGGTTCGAATCCCGGTTCGCCCTGATTATGTTTCTAGGTTTGTCAGCACCATACCCGTGCTCATGGGTTTCACCGAAGTGGTAAACGTCCGAGACCTGCATCACTTTGGTCTTTCCTCCCACATTAAGCTGACACGCCGTGATATGACTGGAATACTGTTAAAAGCGGCGTTAAACCCAACTCACACACACACATACAGCCATAGGATGTAACTGGTTAAATAATCCTAAGTTATTGCTGTCCAGTTATACATACTGTCTGATGGCAACATGATGATGATGCGTGTGTTCCAGACGAAGAAGGTGGAGGATGACATGGATCAGGAGATAGAGAAGATCCAGGAGGAGAAGCGCAAGTTGGATGCTCACATCACCCGCACCCAGCTGTGGATCGACCACCAGGGCACGTGGATGGCCAAGGTCCACAATGCTGAGGTAGGCTTCCCATGTCTTGCTTTCTGCATACATTTGTGCTTTTGTACGTAAAAGTGAGAATCTTTGGCCCATGAGGTAGATGTTAATGTCAATCTCATCAAAATCAGATCTTAGTGCTCGCTACCACTAAACAAAGATCTAAGGACACCCCATCACAGGTCACATCAGAAGGACCTTTCATCTGACCAATCAAAGCGTCGCTTACCAGATTGGGAAAGGGAAGTCAGAATGTATTTTCTAATCATGCAGTCTCAAAAAGGTTAACATGGGGTATTTGGAATGACAGTTAAAGGCTGTAGGACCATTTCCTTCAAAATCATCATCTATCTCTCGCGTCAGTTGCACAAACATTTCAAATGGAAGAGACTTTTTATCAGCCATCCATTAATTTTCAAATTTTGACTTAAGAACTTTTTCGATGTATTGTCAAAGTGTATCCAGAAAAGGAAGTTACAAGTTTGAAACTATGGCCGTAAAGCTCAAGAAAGCTGCTTTCTGTTAGGCTAATATCAACTTTTTTGTTAGTGATTTCATTGGTCAGTCTTCATTGGTCACTGGTCAGATGTTCTGGCGTGTCCTGTCATTCTGACATGTCCTGTCCTAAAACAGTTGTGAAGTGGTAACAGGCGCTAACATTTTGTGGTGTTAACAACAAACAAATTTATTTACACCCTAGCAGTAATATTGTGAAGCTACATCCACTTTCACTCATATTTCAATCGACCCTTATCGTCTCCCAGGTATCTCAGTCGGGTACAGATCGACTAGCTCCCTCGTTCATCCTCGTCATATTTTTACGAGGGTCACAGCCGGGGTCACAGGATCTACAGGACAGCTCACAAGGCTGGGTGGTGTCTCGGACCCTGGATGACTTTTACGCCTTGCACGAGAAACTGGTTCAGGTAGGAAGGCTTTACCTTACAGAAGTATGTATGCCATGATGTGCTGAGGTTGGCTATGCTTAAGGGTTTCATATGGATGTTATTATTTTGAAGACTGCCTCCATGGCTAAGTGGTAGAGCATCTGGCCAGAGAGTGGAAGGTCAGGGGTTCGATCTCTGGCCATGTCATACCAAAAGACATTTAAAGTTGTTACCTAGACTAACATCTAGTCTCTGAAATGAACATATTGTACAGGAAAAAAAATAGTTGTTAAATTATCTTAATAAAATTTAATAAAAGGAGCCCAGAGACTCTCTTCATTTTCACTGCAGAAATCTAGACTTGCCAAATATTATAGACTTGCATGGGCTGTATTTGATATATTTGTATCAGGGTCTGTAAGACAGACTAGTTGTCTGGTGCTCTGCATTAAGGAGCTAAAACGAGGACTGATTGGCTTGGAGTCAGAATACTGTGTCTGTGTGGGGTATTCCTGTTACATTGTGGAATGGTATCTGAGTGGACTAGCACTGTAGAATCTGCAGTAGTCCAGACTAGTACAAGCAGCCACACACACGCACTCACACGTTTATGCGCATTGCTATATTAGTGCAGTGATCTTGAACGCGACGTTAACCCTATTTCACCTCACCTGTTATAATGAAAATATTATCTATAATACAGGAAGTCATGTAAGCTGTTCTTGTCATCTTCGTCCCCAGATTGGGCCATGGCTGAAGAAGAAGGAACTGCCCAGTGTAGGGATGGCTTTTTTCAAATCCATCGATGCAGCATTTCTGGAGAAGGCCAAAAAAAGTCTCAATGAGTATCTCATTGTGAGTACAAACAATTGTTATCAATTCTGCTCATCTCAAAATAATGCCATCAGACTGTCTATTCATGGTAATTATGTAACGTTGATCAAAGTCTGGAGGTAGTTTTGTTCTTGGTCGGGAGGTGAGTGTATTCAAGGTCAGGAGGTAACATTATTCAAGGTTATGAAAGATCTATATTCAAGGTCAGGAGGAGAGTGTATTCAAGGTCAGGAGGTAACATTATTCAAGGTTCGGAAAGATCTATGTTCAAGGTCAGTAGGAGAGTGTATTCAAGGTCAGGAGGTAACATCATTCAAGGTTAGGAAAGATGTATGTTCAAGGTCAGTAGGAGAGTGTATTCAAGGTCAGGAGGTAACATCATTCAAGGTTAGGAGACAGCAGTTAAGATTAGATGAGTTGACATATGTGAACTGTCACAGTTGGAATATTGCTGAGTGAGGCATTAATCAAAAACAAACAAATAAATAATTAACTCAGTTATGACACAAGATATATAAGTCTGCTTATCCTTAAAGGAATGTGGGGTAGCCTAGTGGTTAAAGCGTTTGCTCGTCGAGCCGAAGACCCGGGTTCGCTTCCTGACATGGTTACAATGTGTGAAGCCCGTTTCTGGTGTTCCCCGCCGTGATATTGCTGGAATATTGCTAAAAGCGGTGTAAAACCATACTCACTCACTCACTTAAAGGAATGTTGTTAGGATGTTAAGCTCTGATGGATATAACAGTTATCTCCCCTGGTTGCAGGAAGTGATGAAGGATGAGCGTATGACCCAGAGTGAGGCTCTGTATGCCTTCCTCACTCCCTCACCCGAGTGTCTGCTGATCCCCTCCACACAGAAGAAGAGCAAGTTCTCACTGGCCACTCTCATTAAAAGGTCGGACATTTATGATTTGACCAGATAGGGCTAAAAAAAATAATAGTCTTGGTTCTCAGGCACCACCTGCATCATCAGAAAGTCTGCCCCACTTTTTGTTTTTATTTCCATTTAAAAAAAATAAAAATGCTAATACTTAAAAACAATGCAATCCAATATAGCATGCAGTTACTTCCCTTTACATGCGCGCTGCTTTACTGTGCATCTCGTGTTTGTATGCTTGTTTATTTAGGGAGCAATAAATACTACCACCATCCATCTACATTATATTTTCAAAACTCATTGCCTGAGAACCTTTGGTCTTATTTTTTTACTTGGTCCTCATTTCTTTGTTGTTCATTGAGACATTCGGTAACCAAAGCGCCATTCATTCTTGTTCTTGTAGTGATTAAGCATAAATTGATTGAAATGATTTATATACTTTGTCGACACTGTATTTTACACAAAGTCAAGTTGTTAATGTTTCTAAAATGATAATATTTGTCTCCCATTGATGTGTTTAAATCTACGTTAATACATGAGGCTTTCTTTAATCTCACTGACACAATCCTTCCACTTCCAGCCTGCCAAACATCCGGTCATCAGATGCCCACCATAGTGATGACGAGTTTCTGTTTCTCGGGGATGAGAGGTATCTATTCTAACGTCACAAAGTATAGTGCTTTGCTCAAACTAAATGGAATGTTACAAATCTGCAAAGAAGCAGGTGAGCCACAGAGCATCTGGATATTATGCAGCAGTACTGAAGTAAATAACCTCCACGACACTGTCAGCAGTGTTATCCATCCACACATAGTCTGCAACTTCAGACACTAGTCCGAAGCCCAAGTCTTGTAAATACCTGTTCGGTTTAGTAAGCTCACCTGATAAAAGTCCTTGTAATTACACTTAATTACAGAACATTATGGTAAGAGCCATGATCCGGCATGTCGTCACAAAGGTTTATGGGACAGACTGTATTCAGTTTGCAACATATTTGCATGTGTTTGACTATCCTTTCTCAAAATGTGTAATACAAAGTAACTGAGCTGAGAAGTCTCCCTTGCCATGCCAGGATATGCAGATCATGGGTGTGAAACTAAAATTTATCCTGTTTGAGACTTGCTTTGTCCGCACCATTCCCATGCTCTTGGGTTTCAACAAATTGGACAATGTCCTATCTGTGTTATCTGTCTGTAGCGGCCATAAAATTTCCGAATCCCGTGATGGGATTCGAACCACAGACCTTCTGATCAGAAGTCGGACACCTTGTCCATATGACCAAATAGGTTAATCCCGTCAGCAAGCTGACAAGGTAAGGATGTCATCTGTGGGATGACTCCACGCCCTGCTACATAGTCCCCCATCAACAGAAGGCACGTCCCAGGCCGCATAGTAGGGTACTGAGGCTTATTTTGCTCAAATTTAATATGAATGTGCTCAGCCCCACGTTGGGCGCCAATGTAGCGGCCATAAAATTTCCGAGTCCCATGAACCACAGACCTTCTGATAAGCAGTCGGACGCCTTGTCCATATGACCAAAGAGGTTAACCCCATCAGCAGGCTGACAAGGTAAGGATGTCATCTGTGGGATAACTCCACGCCCTGCTACATGTCCATAATCTGAAAAGATGTGTACAAAATGAGTGCTCAAAGCTGCTAATTTAGGTTGTAACTGACATGTTGATGTGCCTCTGCTGCAGCACTAAGGAGGATCACAGCCGCGACTCCATTGCCAAGCCCATCTACCGCCTGATGAACGAGGTGTTTGAATTGAGGGGGACGTTTAAGTGGCTGAGGAAGTCCTTCATTTCATTTGTTGAAATATCTTTTGGCAGATCCATTAACAGGTAATACCTACAGAACACGTTCAGCCACCTTGAGTTGGCAGATCCATTAACAGGTAATACCTACAGAACACGCTCAGCCACCTTGAGTTGGCAGATCCATTAACAGGTAATACCTACAGAACACGCTCAGCCACCTTGAGTTGGCAGATCCATTAACAGGTAATACCTACAGAACACGCTCAGCCACCTTGAGTTGGCAGATCCATTAACAGGTAATACCTACAGAACACGCTCAGCCACCTTGAGTTGGCAGATCCATTAACAGGTAATACCTACAGAACACGCTCAGCCACCTTGAGTCTGCAGATCCATTAACAGGTAATACATACAGAACAGGCTCACGTCAGAACAACCTTTCGCGAACTATGTCCGACCAATGAAATGATTAACAGGAAGTCAACGTTAGCCACTTAGAAAGCAGCTTTCTTAAGCTTTGCTCTACCAGTTTCAAACTTGCAACTTCCATTCCAGACTGTGCTATTTAAAGTATTTTGAATCAGTCATACAGCCGGTAACAGTTGTTTTGTGTTGAGCTTTAGAGGTTGCATGATTAGAAAACATATTCCATTAACAATGTAACATAACAATTTGAATATTTCATTTATATTTTTTTATTACGTGTTTGTATAGTTATGTAACGTGTAGTTGTCCGATTTTCGATCACGAACTTTGATCCTACTTAATTTCGTTTATCTGACATACTCGTTAATCCAACATAATCATATGCAACCAACCATGTCGGATTAACAGACTTGACTGTATTTATGTATTAATGTTAGGGTCTTTGACCTAAGATCGTACCACAAAAGGCTTGATAAAATATCATCTCCAATAGTGTCTAAAATCGTAAGTTGTGGAATCCTTAAGAGAGTTTCATAAATCAGATTTTGTTTAAGGAAAGATGAAAGTTACGAGAAGGCTCATGAAACAAGGTGGAGTTTCCTAATGATAGCATCTGTGTGTTCCAGGCAGCTGCGAGAGACTGTAGACTGGGTGTTCTCCGAGTCCATGGTTATCTACTACTTGAACACATTCAAGGACTCCATGTGGCAGGAGGGAGAGCTTGTGGAGGCTCCTGCACCACGTACTGATGATGAGAAACTCACCACGCGTGTGGAGGCCAAGCAGAAGATACTGGAGAACATCCCAGGTGAGGGAGGGTGGGGAACTCTGGGACTCCCAGCAAGAATAAGTCCCAAGTATGCCATGCTTGTCGTAATAAGCAACTAAACTGCATCCAGTGGTCCGGGGACTTGGCTGATCGTGTTGCCATCCCTGATGGTTTGGATTGGTGCTCTTACTTACTGTCTGGATGCCTGGTCCAGACTCAATTATTTATGTTATTTACTAGAATATTGCTGTGTTGCCAATTTATGTTAGTCATCTTAATCATTATTCCGGAGTGAGTGAGTGAGTGAGTGAGTGAGTGAGTGACTGAGTAAGTGTCTACCCCACCGCCCTACTGGGTGAGTGAGTTGGGTTTAACGATGCTTTGGACAGTATTCCAGTTATTTCATGGCATGTCAGCTTAATTTGGGAGGAAAACCTGAAGTGATACAGGTCTCAGATGTTTCCCACTTTGGTCGAACCCACGAGCATGGGTATGGTGCTGACAAATCTCACAATCAAAGTTTTCTGGCATGCCCAAGAGATGCAACTCTGCACAGGGAATTCCAGAGTCTTATTTCCATATATTGCCCATTGTCACATTTAGTACACTCAATATTTCGACCCATAAGGAAAATATTACAGGTTATTCTCACAGTTAGAACAGGTAATAATAATGTTTGATATATATATAAAAATTTTTTCTCTCGTTTGCCGCTGATAGGGATGTTGATACTGTATCGGTACAAATTTATTAATCTCGATACTAAATTGATAGTTCACTGCCACAGAAATGTTTAAATAATGGAGCAGAAAATTTTAATAATTCAATTTTAAATAATTAAAATATCAGCCTAGTTCATATTTAGCATGAAATTGATTAATTGCAGGTCTACATAGGTATTTTTATCTTTACACATACAGAATAATCAATTACCGTATTCGACGTAATAAGCGCCCAGGGCGCTCTCAAAATTAGAAATATGGGGCTTTTATTAGTATATTATTTTGGTGAAAAAAAAAGCAGAGTTTTAAGATAAATTTTGTGGTTTATGCTGACAGCCTGAAATGTTTATATACGAGAGATTCATTTTTCCAGAATTTAATTGCCCATAATTAAGGGTGCATATATCACACGAGTGCGTATTATATGCGAATAAATAAGTGTTGTGTACATTGATCAATCAGAAGGGGTACTAATTGGTATTGTTCAGTAGCCAATATGTTAGCAAATATCGCTGTGGGCGCTTGTTAGAGCAGGGCGCTTATTACGTCGAATACGGTATGTTATTAATTGGTATACAGAGTGTCTTTTGAAATCAAATATTTTTTTCAGTTTGTAAGTGGTAATAATAATAACTATGTGTTGAGACTAAAAAGTACAGCTAGCCAGCTTTAGTGGCAGATGTATTAGATAGATGTCACTGGATTAAGTTCAAGGTAACCGATGATGTCACAATGGTCTGCAAAGCATTGTGATGCAATTTCATTGATACAGTATCTCACAGGCGATATATCCTCTGGAACCCAGTTTGGGATGGTAAATCAATATATCATGACACATTTGAGTTGATGTATACTGAAATGTCCAATCAATGACACCCCTCATCTTCCCGAGGCAAGAGAGTTAACTGACTTTAAAAGTCCAGTTTCCACCCTTGCCGAACTTGGCTGGAATTACTGGGCTCGATCGTAGCGCCACCAGTGGCTGTTACCAGTTATGTCCCTTCTAAGCCTCTCCTATTGACCAATCAGATTCCACCTCTCGTATCACTTGCGTTTGCTTCACACAAAATGGTGGGACCCAGTCAGGGCGATCTGATGGATAATCGAGATCTATATTGTGATAAAACGGGTCTTTCATCACGAAATGCATCAAATCACATGAGCACCTTGACTAAAAACATGAAAAGATTTGAAAAATATCTGCTGACAACGAGTTGGCGGTGCACATGCTTTGCAAATCCTCCAATCGACCGAAATCTGCATAACAGTTTACAAACTGGATTTCGATTTTGTTACGCGATTTTGATTGGTCTATGCATAGACTCCATAATACCAGCCTAGTTCGGCAAGGGTGGAAACTGGACTTTTATAGTCAGTGAACTCTCTTGCCTCGGGAAGATGGACACCCCTAGACTCATGTAGTTTCTGTCTGCTAAGTTTTCCACACTCATTGTTGACAGATGCCCTGAAGAACCTGGTAGGGGAGGACAATGCGAGACGTGGAACCATCAAGATGTTTGAGGCTCTCCAGGATGTTCGGCTCAACAAGCAGCTCTTCTACGTGAGTTGTCAGGTCTTCCTGTGCTGCTACGTCCAGTGTTTGAAATAATTTTAAAACCCAAAAGGACAGTCGGGCAGGTGACCATAAGTGTTGCCTGCCCATCTTCAAAGTTACCTGCCCACATTCAGGTATTATAAATAATAAAAAATCACAAACATCAGAGACAAATCGCGTCATGATTCATTTGAAATAATGCAAACAATTACAAGAGAATCTAAGAGGAACTACAATAAAACTGAATACATAAGTAGTCCTAAAATTATCTGCCAGACAGTCGGGCAGGTGAAACAAATTTCATGCAGCCCGACAGAAAAGTTACCAGCCACAGGCAGGCGGGCAGGCGGGCAGGCGGGCAGGTGGGCAGTTGGGCAGGCAGTCGGGCAGGCGGGCAGGCAGGCAGGCGGGCAGGCGGGCAGGCGGGCAGTCGGGGAGGCGGGCAGGCTGTTATTTCAGACACTGGTTCCAACCCATGACAGAATTATTATTTCATCCCGCCATATTAGGATTCTCATCCTGTGGGGATCCCCGGGTAGAAGTGGTCCCAAGCAACCTTTGTTGGTTGTAAAACGCGACTAAATGGATCCGGTAGTCAGGCTCATGACATGGTTGATTGTGTAGATTATTTGAATATTTTTAGCTCATGTCTTTCTGTGTGAGGATCAGAACTTATCAATAACCTGTCGTCCTATATCATTTTAATGCCATTCCACTGTGCAATGTATTATGATACATGCCTGTTTCCAGAACTGTTTATGATGGAGCTATGATGTTAATGTGTGTGATGTGTATGCAGAGTGAGTGAGTTGTGTCTATCGCTGCTTTTAACAGTATTCCAGTTATATCATGGCATGTCAGCTTTATGTGGGAGGAAAGCCCCAAGTGATGCAGGTCTTACACGTTTACCACTTTAGTGAAACCCACGAGCACGGGTACGGTGCTGACAAACCTAGAAACATAATTGGGGTGAATGAGATTCGAACTCACAATCAATAATGTTTCTTGGGTGCCAAAGGGATGCAACTCCGCACAGCAAATCATGGTGTCTTAGATGACTGGGCCACCACCTGTGCCCCCGATGTGTTTGCAGAACATCATTGAAGTGTTTATGATGGAGCTGTGATGTTAATGTGTGTTGTGTTAACAGAACATCATTGAAGTGTTTATAATGGAGCTGTGATGTTAATGTATGTTGTGTTTACAGAACATCATTGAAGTGTTTATGATGGAGCTGTGATGTTAATGTGTGTTGTGTTTACAGAACATCATTGAAGTGTTTATGAAGGAGCTGTGATGTTAATGTGTGTTGTGTTTACAGAACATCATTGAAGTGTTTATGAAGGAGCTGTGATGTTAATGTGTGTTGTGTTTACAGAACATCATTGAAGTGTTTATGAAGGAGCTGTGATGTTAATGTGTGTTGTGTTTACAGAACATCATTGAAGTGTTTATGAAGGAGCTGTGATGTTAATGTGTGTTGTGTTTACAGAACATCATTGAAGTGTTTATAATGGAGCTGTGATGTTAATGTGTGTTGTGTTTACAGAACATCATTGAAGTGTTTATGAAGGAGCTGTGATGTTAATGTGTGTTGTGTTTACAGAACATCATTGAAGTGTTTATAATGGAGCTGTGATGTTAATGTGTGTTGTGTTTACAGAACATCATTGAAGCGTTTATGAAGGAGCTGTGATGTTAATGTATGTTGTGTTTACATAACATAATTGAAGTGTTTATGAAGGAGCTGTGATGTTAATGTGTGTTGTGTTTACAGAACATCATTGAAGTGTTTATGATGGAGCTGTGCCCAGAGGTTGAGAAGATCCGATCTCGTCTCGACTCCCAGACGTCCCCAACAGTGAGCACAACCAGTACAGCAGTGCAGACCTGAAGCTGCCATTACTTGTGGCTCGAGACACTCCACCCCTGCAAGTGTGTCAGACAGCCATGTGATGCGGGGCATAGGCATTAATCAAAAGGGACCTCGCCCTCACTTGACGATGGGCTTGTCTCCATCTCAACCCTTGGCTTTCAGTACAACACTAGTCATCTTCAAGTTGCTTTGTAGTTCAGAGTACCAGAAACTGGTGATCCTAGTTAAAAAAGAACCAACAACTAAATGAAACACTACATGTTGTTGCTATATTAAATTATCAATGTGATATTTAAACCTACCTCTCTTGAAAAACTATGTCGATGGTGTAAGATATGATTTTCTGCATGATGGCATCATGTCCCCATTATTCTACTACTAACCCACTTGATTTCAGTTATTCCTGACCAGGTTCCATCAGCTATTACCTCTTTGTGAAATACCGGTATTAAGGAATGTGTCCCGTATTGATATACAGTCAATTTCAAGAACAGAAAGATTACAAAAGGTGGCTTTCCTCTTGTTTAACAATAGATGTGCATGAAACAGTACTAGTTAATTCAAAATGGTTTATTATTTAGACTCAAAATAGAGACTACTGTACACTGCACGGCATCCATATGTATTGACAGGTGATGGAGGCGCGTTGCAACTTGTCTGACTGTCCAGTTACATTGTTGAATTATTTCATAAGCTTAGCTGTGGAGACAAGCCCTTCTTGACATTGCATGCCAATACTAAGCTCTGTGCAGCTTGATATGTTATTAATGATACATTCCTGACGTCGCTGAGTGTTGTGAATATGATGTTATCTGCAACACAGGGTCTACATCTGTCAATTTTAAAATTTGAATCCGTGATATGTAACACTTTCCTGTGATATTCAGTATTTTGTATACTTATCCTGCATTACTTCGTCTAAGTGCCCTTCCATCGCAGTGCTACCTCCCCACGATGTCTTCAGATGTTACATTCCAAAGCAGTAATGTGCTCTTAGGTGATGTCATCTCTTCCGGGTCACGCTGTGTGAGGGTACTACCTCACGATTGGAACAACTGTCTTTTACAGAAGGACCTTTCACCACTCTTCTGTCTGTTAAAAAACAGCAGTAAATGCATGAGAGAGTAATGCAGGATAGGTATACAAATGTAAAAGATATTTGAGTTTACTAATTTTATATATCAGATATCTTTTTGAAGAGTTGTTTCGAATGCTGAATCTATAGTCTATTTTTTTGCTGACATTGCAAGTTTAGTTACTTGGTGTTCATGTGTATGTGTGAGAGACAAGTGAAAGGTATTTGGGTTTGGGGGAGACGGGGAAAGAGAGAATGGGGAGGGGCAGGGAAGAGAGAATGGGGAGGGGCAGGAAAGTGAGAATGGGGAGGGGCAGGAAAGAGAGAATGGGGAGGGGCAGGAAAGAGAGAATGGGGAGGGGCAGGAAAGTGAGAATGGGGAGGGGCAGGAAAGAGAGAATGGGGAGGGGCAGGAAAGAGAGAATGGGGAGGGGCAGGAAAGAGAGAATGGGGAGGGGCAGGAAAGAGAGAATGGGGAGGGGCAGGAAAGTGAGAATGGGGAAGGGCAGGAAAGAGAGAATGGGGAGGGGCAGGAAAGAGAGAATGGGGAGGGGGCAGGAAAGTGAGAATGGGGAGGGGCAGGAAAGTGAGAATGGGGAGGGGCAGGAAAGAGAGAATGGGGAGGGAGATGATGAAAGGAAGAGATTAACCAAAGATGGGGATGATACAGAGATTGTTGAGGACCATTCATTTCAGCATTTTAGATAGATGTATATATGCAGTAAAGTACAGCTGGTTGGGTAAAGCACAGAGACAAGAGAAACAGACAGATTCATATTGTAATCAGCAACATTACTCCAGCAGTGAAGTCTTGTTAATCAAGACATTACCATCCCTGTGAAATTGTCCAGATTAACACATTTCTGGATGAACGAATCATGGGTATGGAGTAAGGTTGCTTTGGTTACGCATGTTCTCATCCAGATGGTCTGGAAACTCCATCCTCTGTATCTGGACCAACAATGTTTCATTGTATTCACATTATTAGTTATCAACCTGACCAGGGACCACAGTGTTTAGTGCTATGACTGTTGTCAGTCTATGTTAAAGTATGGTGCCGTCCCTTGGGCATGCCAGAAACCTATGATTGTGGGTTCGAATCCCGGTTCACCCCGATTATGTTTCTAGGGTTGTCAGCACCATACCCTTGCTCGTTGGTTTCACCGAAGTGGTAAACGTCTGAGACCTGCATCATTTGGGGCTTTCCTCCCACATTAAGCTGCGAGCCGTGATATAATGATCCACTGAAGGTACATGTACCATTTCACTGATGGGCTATCAGGGATCCATAGTGCTCCAATCTCAGTAAGGCTTAAGAATACGAAAGAATTGGTTCTCAGGCAATGGCTTTTGAAAATATAGTGCGGGCGGGCAATGTTTTTTTTTAGTTTGGTTGTTTAAACTAGAATGTAACCAAATAAACAGTTGTGTACAATCTACCTGGGAAAGGGCCAAGCTATATAAATGTATTCCTTGTATTCTTTCCTTATTTGGATCACATTATTTGTAAATATTGTAGCATTTCACTGCCTGGGTTTGGGTGTTCTAGAGGTGGAATTTTTCAGGACTTATTTAAAAAAACAAAAACAAAAACAAAAACATGCTCGGAATTTTTAAGGACTTATTTAAAAAAAATAAAAATAAAAACAAAACATGCTCGGAATTTTTAAGGACTTATTTTAAAAAAAACCAAAACAAACAAAAAGCATGCTCAGACCTTATCATGATGGGGGCAGTTTCTGAGAACCAAGACTGTTATTATTTTTAGCCTAAAGATGTTTTCAGATCTTTACTCCAATACAATACCCTACCCTGCCAGGACACCTCCATAGGCCATCTCACTTGCCAAACAGCATCGGTGGTTCTAAAGTCTCAGTACAAGCAGAGACCATATACCGATCGATACATGGTCTCTGGTACGAGTTAAGCATTCAGACAAGCATGCCTGAATTTTGTATCTAGAAGTTTCTAGATGCTTAAATGCTACTTTGTTTTGGATATATCCTGTCATTTCTGAGGGCCATGGCATCTGCACACACAAGGATCTACCATTGAGGGTACATTTGTGTTCTGTGGTGGTTTGGTTTTGCTAAGATCCAAATTTCCAAAAAGAGGTGGTAAAACAATGGAACAGTATTATATATAAAGCTGACATCGGACTGGTGACCTCCTGTGGAGGCCCTCAGATCTTGATGTATCAGTGAGTGAGTGAGGTTTAACGCCGCTTTTAACAGTATTCCAGTTATATCACGGCATATCAGCTTAATGTGGGAGGAAAGCCCAAAGTGATGAGGGTCTCAGACGTTTACCACTTCGGTGAAACCCACGAGCACGGGTATGGTGCTGACAAACCTAAAAACATAATTGGGGTGAACCGAGATTCGAACCCACAATCATAGGTTTCTGGTGTGCCCAAGGGACGCAACTCTGCACAGCGAATCGTGGCGCCTTAGACGACTGGGCCACCCGTGCCCCCTCTTGATGTATCAGAGTGAAAGAGTGCACCAGAATGTCCGAGGAGGGATACTGGTCAGACATCGTGTCTCATGTCATATTTTAGGGTGTTTTGCTCTGTGATAGATTTTAATCAGGAATTTAGTTTTAGGTCCCCAAAATGAAAATGAAGTGATCTTGTATTTGTCCTGTTGTCCATTGTTTCACATTTTCCTCATCACTAGGCACAAAACTATTAAAGTCTGTGCACAGAATTCCCAAGCTATTTAAAAATGGAAGCCATATTGAAAATGCTGTTTTTGCCTATAACACAGCTATTTCTGGATGTATCATAATGAAATTTCACAAGTGCTGTTGGAATAGCATAATTTCTTTTTTGTATTTTGATTCTGACTCATCTGGGCCCTTTGACCTTCACCAGACACGTAATCATATTGATATACAGTCCCTGCCTTCACATACCAACATTTATCTAGTTTTCAACATTTTTAGACTCTCCTATGAAACCCTCTGCATAATAAAGCTGATTTTTACATTATCCCAGCAATGGTGTCTCAAAACACAGCTCACATTATCCCTATTATGCTCACAGAATTCCGATCATGATATTAATATGAACCCCACTGCAGCAAAATTGCAATCTCATTAAAATCAGATCTTAGTTCTCGCTACCGCTAAACAATGACATCCCATTATGGGTCACCTCAGACCGACCTTGCGCGAACTTTGACCAACCAATGGAGTGACCAATCAGAAGGCAGCTTTCTCGTGCTTTACGGCACAAGTTTTGAATTGGCGACTACGCTTCGAAACATATTTTGACAAATTCTCGATTACCAATTTGAAACCTGAACAAAAAACTTCCTGGAATGGCTAGATTGTAAGGATTCAGTCATTAAACCTGTAACTATCGTTCGGAATACCCCATGTTAAAGTTTTCGAGATTGCATGATTAGAAATCACATTCCGACTATCACTTTCATAATCTGGTAAGCGACACACTGATTGGTCGGAAAAGTTGTTCTGACGTGACCCCTAATGGGATGTCCTCAGATCGGATTTTAATGAGATTGGCAAAACTGAAAAATTCTTTATGGCCCTTCCCAGAGTGAGTTTGGCTTTTATGTGAACTTTGAACATTATGTTAGTTATATCAGGCCATGTCAGCTTGATGTGGGAGGAAAGCCTTAAGTGATACAGGTGTCAGGCCTTTACCAGTTTGGTGAAACACACGAGCACAGGTATGGTGCTGACAAACCTTGAAAAATCAGGGTGAAAATGAGATTCGAATCCACAATCAATAGCTGATATTTATTTATGTATCAATGTTTACCTTCAAATATATACTTAAATAGTACACAACTTTATGTATGATGTTGAAAATTTTACACACTTTAAGTTGAGCTACAGAGCCTAATTATTTGAAGTCAATTTCGGAGAACCAATGATGTCTAAGTAGTTGTTGTTGGTGATGTATGATGACTATGCTGTGCAGATTCAACTTTACCTCGACTTATTGTGTGACTGCAATATTAACTAAGCCCTATTGCTTGTTCGTCTCATCTGTGCAATAAACTTGTTTGGAAGAAACATTTCAGTTTTCCATACTACATCACCCTGACCATCCTGACTTGAAGTACATGGAAGAACAAGTATAGATGAGCGGATCCATCAGTGATTTGTTTGTTTGTTTGTTGTTTAACGCCACACTCAGCAATATTCCAGATATATGACGGCGGTCTGGATAATCGAGTCTGGACCAGACAATCCAGTGATTGATATCATGGGCATCGCTCCACGCAATTGAGATACGATGATATGCATCAACGAAGTCGGCGAGCCTAACCACCCGATCCCGTAATTCGCCTCTTATGACAAGCATGGCATCTCCATGGGTCCATCAGTGAGAAAGAGTTACGACTACTACACTGATCTAACAAATGGTGACTGCTTCAGATATGGAGACAGTGAAACGCTTTCATCGGGACATATTGAGCAATGCAAGCCCTTATCTCAATGTGCATAGCTCGGGGATATTTGAGATAAAAATAATATTCAAAACTGGGTTCATCTACTGCTAGTGTGTGACACTGCATATTGAAAGTGAAGCTCTCTTAGTTGTGGTATTGCAGTATTATATTATAAGCAACCTGTTGTACCAGAAGCATGTGAAGCTGAGGTGAAATAGGGTTTAATGTCATGCGTCATGTCCAGCATTATTGCACTAAGCAACATGCATGCACATTTTGTTTTTATTTGTTTGTTGTTTAATGCCACACTCAGCAATATTCCAGCTATATGACAGCATTCTGTAAATAATTGAGTCTGGACCAGACAATCCAGTGATTGACATAACCATCCATCCACACAATTGGGATGCGATGACATGCATCAGCCAAGTCAGCGAGCCTGACCACCCGATCCTGTTAGTCGCCTCTTATGACAAGCAGTCGCCTTTTACAACAACCATGGGTTGCTGAAGACTTATTCTACCCCGGATCTTCACATGTGTGTGTGTGTGTGTACTGCTTGTACTAGTCCGGACTGATGCTGATTTCAAAGTGCTAGCCTACTGAGATTCCATGCCATAGTTTAACATGAATACTCCACTAGACACAGTATACTGACTCCTAGCCAACCAGTCCTTGTCTTAGCCCGTTAATGCCGAGTGCCAGACAGGGTAACAACAAGTACCATCTTTAAATGTCTTTTGGTATGACGTGGCCGGGGATAGAACCATCGACCTTCCGCTTTCTGAGTGGATACTCTCCACGATTAGTACTAGTTGAATGTAACTCATGTCTACCGCTTCAAATCTGTAGAGCCCAGGTGCCCCTGCCAATCTGTGGAGCCCATTTGCCCCTGCCAAACTGTGGAGCCCATTTGCCCCTGCCAATCTGTGGAGCCCATTTGCCCCTGCCAATCTGTGGAGCCCATTTGCCCCTGCCAATCTGTGGAGCCCATTTGCCCCTTCCAAATATGTGGAGCCCATTTGCCCCTTCCAAATATGTGGAGCCCATTTGCCCCTCCCAAACTGTGGAGCCCATTTGCCCCTCCCAAACTGTGGAGCCCATTTGCCCCTCCCAATCTGAAGAGCCCATTTGCCCCTGCCAATCTATGGAGCCCATTTGCCCCTCCCCATCTGTGGAGCCCATTTGCTCCTGCCAATCTGTGGAGCCCATTTGCCCCTGCCAATCTATGGAGCCCATTTGCCCCTCCCCATCTGTGGAGCCCATTTGCCCCTGCCAATCTGTGGAGCCCATTTGCCCCTGCCAATCTATGGAGCCCATTTGCCCCTCCCAAACTGTGGAGCCCATTTGCCCCTTCCAATCTATGGAGCCCATTTGCCCCTTCCAATCTATGGAGCCCATTTGCCCCTGCCAATCTGTGGAGCCCATTTGCCCCTCCCAATCTGTGGAGCCCATTTGCCCCTGCCAATCTATGGAGCCCATTTGCCCCTCCCCATCTGTGGAGCCCATTTGCGCCTGCCAATCTGTGGAGCCCATTTGCCCCTGCCAATCTGTGGAGCCCATTTGCCCCTGCCAATCTGTGGAGCCCATTTGCCCCTGCCAATCTATGGAGCCCATTTGCCCCCCCCAATCTGTGGAGCCCATTTGCTCCTGCCAATCTGTGGAGCCTATTTGCCCCTGCAGATCTATTGAGCCCATTTGCCCCTGCCAATCTGTGGAGCCTATTTGCCCCTGCAGATCTATTGAGCCCATTTGCCCCTGCCAATCTGTGGAGCCCAATTCATTAACACAGTGCCAAATTGAAAAGTTGTGTAACTTCTTCCCAAGTACCTAGCAGCTTCTGTAGCACCAGGGTAAAATGTGTCAACACTTGTCAACAATAATAACAACGATCTTTTGTGTAAATGCATTATAAAGTTTATTCCTCTGAATATAAGACTACCGCAAACTACACCATATCATACAATCATCATACACAAAAATACCTCTGATGTAGTCTGGGCAATGATTGGTGATGCTAAATGAGTCTCTGATGATAGCATGATGTCAACTTGTCTAACCCTGAGCTTGGAACTCAACAATGTTCCAAGAGATGTCGATGTTTGCAGTCCATGTATCATTACTCCATCTTGAATTGTCCAAATCCATGGAATAGACCAATGTAGTTTCGTTCTAGCATGTCCAATGCAGTCGTCAAGGCTCAAAACTTGACCATTATGTACAAACATTGTGCGTTAAATTATGAAATTTCAAAGAACCTTTCAACGAATGAATCTATTATGGAAGCTTAAAAATAAGTCAAAACTGTAATCTCAAACACTAATACTTAACAAAAGCTTAACTGCTTTAGCATGTTTACAAAGGCCAGACCAATCATCACCTTCCATTTGCAGACACCCTAAATTTGTGAAGTAAAAGGAAGACAAAAAACTGTACACTTGAAATTATGCTTGTTTGTATTTTTGTACATACTGTATTATTAAGAAATTTAACCTCATTGAATCCTTGAAAAAATAAACATTTATTTTGTCTCGTATGGCTATGACTGTGTCGTAAGTATGCAGAAGTATGTGATAAAGTCTTTTAGTAAAGATTGTCTGAGCGCTAACATCGCTTTGTGGAACAGCGCCCTGAACACAGCTCTTCAAAGTGATTGTACGGCTACGACTGCCATGAGTATATGACAAAATGTTTGTCTCACGATCGTCCTAGTGCTAAGACTGCTTGATGGAACAAGTCGAAGACATTAACTCATCAGGCCATTAGACACAAATGGTCCGCAAAAAAAAGATGTTGACAACTTGGGAGTTAGCATGGTTCAATGATTGTGAGGCTGCACAGGTAAATACATGGGACCATCTGGATGATAGGTAAGATGATGGGCAGAACCTGCTAGATATGTACACTGACTAATAAATGGATTATGAAAGAGGTACATGTCTACCATATACATACTGGGTATGACTTCTTCAAATACAAGGTAACAATACGCAATGCTGACTAAAAGTAAGTACATGCCACTATTTAACACAAAAGTACTGCTTATGTGGTTACATGTATTAAATAATACAACTCAACTTTAGATAGGAAATTCTAGGGTCCTATTCCGCAAAGGGATCTTAGTGCTACGAATATCAAAATTCCAAAACTTAACACAGATTTACGATGGTCGTAGCGCTAAAATTCACTTGTGGAATGGGGCCCTGAATGTGTCTGATTGTTTTAATATTGCCATGGAATGGACATATTCCGCTTCATGTCAAGTTAAGATAATAAATCCATCAGTTTTCCTGCATGAAATATCCCTATTGTAAGTGGAGCAGTATAGACACTTCTTGTGTAAGGTGATAACACCTAATACATGTTATATTGAACATCTTATCTGAAATGCAAATATTCTGTAGCATAATCTCCATTAAGAAAAAGATGTTTGAAACAAAATCATAAATTCCTCATAGATAATGTTTGAATTATGCAATATATCCAAGAAAGCTTGACACTTTCAGATTACATTACCAATTTGAATAGGCAAAATAGGAATGTCAGGTGATGATGAACACAATTAATGCTGTTTGAGGATGATTAGCAATGACACAATAATATTTTCTTATCTCCACAAAACAAATGCCATTTTTCTTCTTATTTAAAGAATGGTGATTTTTGGATGTTAACTGTTCTCGGATAGTAAAGAAAGAAGCATCTGGCTAACTACATCCAGAGATATTTTCACATATTTCATTAGTACTCTGAGAACATGTCTCTAACACAACTGAGAGAGTATTAGCAACATTTAACACCCTAACTTCAAGTATTCAACAGATCTCAACTCATATTATTTGTCTGCATGGATCAAGACATCACTTGTTTATTTTTTGGTTTACGGACTGGATCATATAAAAATTATTCATAATTTATTCCTATTTGCCTGACCGCTTCCTTTTTTTTATCAATTTGAAAAATGATGTTCAACCTTCTGAATAGCTGATTAAAAGCTTTGTATGAATTCTCTGTCCACTGTAAACAGCAACAAGCCTCATCAGAAGTAACTATGTACATGTTGCTATAGACACACTAAACATCCTACACTTTATACAGTATTCACATTTAGTTTTCCCCGCTAAACTGACCAAACTTCAGGCCAAATAAAATGTAAAAAATATATTTATAAAGAAAATATGATATTTCGACCGACCCAAACTATTGGTTCGCCAAAATCTGTAAACCATAAAATGAAGGAAGTGTGCCTAACACAACACAACACAACACAACACAACCCTTCCACACATGTGACTGAGTGTTGCTGTGAGTAATGTTGAGAAGATGCAGCTCCACATTGCATAGAACTGAGGAGTGTGCAGTCCGCCTTTAAATAACCAGGACATTCACTCAGGATTAATAACCCTGTTCTGAAAATTATGAATTTTCTTTACTCGATAATTATCATAAAAATGTTTCTCTCAGAGCAATTTGAGTTTTCAGCCCAGGATGCCTTCAAACATGTGTGGGCCAGGACTAGTAAGCGTGAGTCTAAACACAGGAAATGGGCAGTCCAATCAAGTGTCTCCAACACTATGACTGCAAGCTTAAATCTAATGATGCATACCACTCAACTTTTGATAAGGATATTCTGAGTCTACAGGAGGGCTGTTACTGATTACGCTATGTACACAGAGAAAGGTCTCAGTTAGACTCACGGCACTAACTACAATGTCTACCGAGACTGGAAACAACGCCAGAATGTCCAGCATAGTCCCTCTAGAAAATGTACACCACAGCTCTGAAAACTATCTGAAAACTATCTAGACCTAGACAAAGATCTATTCATACAATGCTAAATGCTTGTCAGCAAGTCTAACTTGATCTATATGCAGGGAGAGGTAAATGGTCTGGCTATTTGAGGGGATGCACGCTGGTTCCAGTTTGTGTCTGTACACGAGGTAAGTCGGTTATTACATACATCAGTCACACTCACACAGACTTGGTAAAAAATAGGGAAACAAGCAGATTGCCTTCACAGGGGACATGTTTGGTCAATGTTATGCATAGAGATGTGATACATACACGGAAACACCGATACTCACTGCCCTCCACAAGATGAGTGGATGAAACATGAGAGTGGTCTAATGCTGCTTTGAACAGTATTTGTCAGCTTTGTGTGGAAGATAGCCCAAAGCGATGAGGTCAAAGACGTTTACCACCTTGGTGAAACCCAAGAGCATGGGTATGGTGCTGACAAACCTTGAAACACAATCAGGGTAAATCTGGGATTCGAACCCATGACTGCAGGTATCCATGAGTCAACTCAGTACACCAAGCTGCAACGCCTTAGACAACAGGGCCACCAATGCCCCTCTTACACAAGACAAAATGGTTGAACACAGTAATATACACAGAACTTACTCAATCAATGTCGAACATGAGAGACTTGAGCGATAGACTACTTTGAACAATATGTCTGTCATAACATGTCGGCTTAATGTGGGAGGGAAGTTCAAAGTGATGCAGGGCCTTGACATTTACCAGCTGGAGAAGCACAAGAGCAAGGGATGGGGACCAACAGATGGAGGTTACAACTGGGTGAATCTGTGATCATGTCAGAGGCATGAATTAGGGACGGAACTTTGTACAGCAAGTTGCAATGCCTCGGGCTGCTGGCCCACCCGTGTGCTCAGATTTGCAAGGTAGAGAGCAGTGGGTCTCGGTCTTATGTTTACAAATGTACAAACGGAACCGCAAACAGAAATATTGTACATAGAATAACAAGCAAAATACAAAATGTCCTACATCATATATACAACATAAATGAAGTCAGTGAGCTGCCATGGCATCATTATTGCATGTGAACTAACAGGTGCAAGATTACAGTTGCACTTGGGACGACAATTTCCTAAAGGTGTTCTGCAGACTATTTCATAATAGAACTAGTAACAAAACAAGCAATGTATGTTAACTTTCCACCAAAATAACTCACCAAATTTTGTTCCTATTCATTGAGAAATGAATGCTCTTACATTTTCTGTTTTATTTTCCAGTATAAAATGGGAATTCAGATAAAAAAATTAAAAAATTTGCAACTGTGATCTTGCACCTCACATTTTCAGGCTTTCAGTGCCATGGGCTCCTGTATCTACAAAGTTTTTAACGACCAGTTGGAAACTTCAAGAGTTAACCTGAGTTTGAAGACATGTTTAATATGAACAAATCATGTGCAGTTTGGATGCAAGTTTTCTCCTGTCAAACCTGTTCAAGGTAATGAGGACTGACCCCATACCCACCTATCTTGAATGACCCAACATTTCCACTAGAGATGTGTACATTGTATCCTGAAACATTCTGACTTCACCCAATCATGTGGCAGATGACCTAACAAATATCTTACTCTCTAAATATATATTCATCATTGATCCCTAATGTTTTAAAATGCCGTACAACTAAAACTAACTGGTTTAATGACATCACTGACAGTTTGGGAAAACATATGCCCATGGCAAGCCAAACACGGGTTGGTTCATTTCACAAAGAATGAACATTCCAGTGACCTTGACCTTCAATGTAGGTAGCTGATAACCTTTCCACTTCAATGACCCATATTAAGAATGAAATGTAACATAGTTCATCCTACTATAATGAACACTTCTTGAGTTATTGGAACATAAAACATCTTTTAGCTTATGACCTTCAGTGTGAACTTGACCTCCAATATCAGTTGCAAGTATTTCAAGAACATCCCAAAAGGCGATCCTGCATACAAACCCAAAGTGATGTCCCAAGGTGTAATTCAATGTAGCAATGAAGATATGGTCTATGCAACTGAATAAAAGTAGGTCATCGGACCTGCTACCACCTTGGCATACAAATAATATTATAGCTAAAATGGATAGAATTATCATTAAACCGCCCACATGTTATCAGAAATCAGCGGGCCACTGTAACTTGATAATGCCCTCATATTGCTTGACGACAGGCCATTATCACGCCTGTTGTTAGGTGACGTCATAGGATAGGGATATGTGCCTCACGTTCAATAGTGACGTCATCTGGTTTGTTCTATGACGTTTCCATGTTTGTAAAAGTGGGTCAGTGACATTCGTGTTGATTGCAGTAAATGTTTCAAAACCTATATTGTTTATTCCTTTTATTTGATAACGAATTCCATCCATTTTAGCTATAATAACAGTAACACTATTTTTCAGGGCATTATCATTTGCAGAAGCCCTCGGTCTTTTCAACTGCCCTCCTTCGTCTGGCAGTTAATGGAAGACCTCGGGCTTCTGCAAATGATAATGCCCTGAAAAATAGCGTTACCCTTATATTAACGTCAAAGATTACAACTGTGACCAGTAGTGTTATTAACAAGAATGAAATCGATCACTGAGCCAAGATTACACCCGTTTGGAAAGGAGTGAGGTCTTTACAACACACAATATCTCAGCAATAATATGGCAGGGAACACCAGGAATATCATCACACATGGTGAAACGAACACAGGACTTAGGTGTGTAAAGTGAAGATCCACTAGGCCAACCCTATGCCCTTACAAAGAAGACTGGTATTTGTATATTGCATTATCCTGCTCAGCCACAAATCAGGTTATAATAAATTCATTTTTGGATTTCATCGCTGAGTGTGTGAGTGAGTATGTTTTTACGCTGCCCTCAGCAATATCACGGTGGGGGACACCAGAGAAGGGCTTCACACATTGTACCCATATGGGGAATAGAACCCAGGTATTTGGTGTGATTAATGAACGCTTAACCACTAGGCTACTCCACCGCCCCTTTCATCAGTGCCTGTTTCACATCATATTATTGTCCCTAAATATTTACAGATTAAGAAAATCACAATGCTTGCTCCCTTGTTTCTTCACCAGATGAAACACACTATATACAAAGACGAAATATTCATATGTCACAGTTAACGTACATGCTTGAACATTTGTTTGAACATTTGTTTGAACATTTGTTTGAACATTTGTTTGAACATATAACAAAAAAATATGACATTTAAATTTTTAGGTTGAAATGTAATAATTATTTTATTGTGGCCACATATTATGATATTTATCTGATTATACTGATCACCATGGCATTAATACCCTGACATGTTTTCTCCAGCTGAATCCCATCCTCACCGATCCTGGGAATTTTATCTCCATTGTTTAAAATAAATACCATGGACCATTCCCAACCCAAAGCTCCATTTTAAATCGGTTCCAAATGAGACGATGCTAAACATAAGCCTCCAATCAAATCAGACCCACCGGTCCTGGGACTTTTCTCTCCATTGTTTAAAATTAATACCATGGACCATTCCTAACCCAAAGCTCCATTTGAATCTGTTCCAAATGAGACGATGCTAAACATAAGCCTCCTTTCAAATCAGACCCACGAGTGAGAGAAATCATTTGTTAATTCTAGTGAAAAGACAGTTGTGATCATAAGGCGATGCTAATTTCACTTTCGAAGCTTTGACGGCAAAGTGGTCCAGGGTATTGATCATAATTGATAGGTGACATAAAGCTCTGCATAACCAAGGGTGGACAAACACACAACAGTATTCTACACCTCTAAGTACTAGGTCCTACAGGACACACATGTCTGTACAGATCAAAGATACAGCTGGCAATAACATCAGCAGTATGAAGGACAATGATTTTCTGTATTAATTTTCAAGCAAAATTTGTTACCTCTGAAACTAAAGCAAATATCTACACATCTACACTCAGAGATTTAGCTAGACCTGCTCAGAGGCTGATATTCGGCCCCAAGTCTGTTGTAAAAGATAGTAAAAATTCCTAATCTAAATTACAAATTTCACAATTCCATTTAAGAAAATATGATAACGAACTTTTGTTCGTTGTTTAACGCTGCACTCAGCAATATTCCAGCTATATGACAGTGACCTGTAAATAATCGAGTCTGGACATGACAATCCAGTGATCATGAGCATCGATCTACGCAATTGGGATACGATGATATGAAGTCAGCAAGCCTGACCACCTGATCCCGTTAGTCGCCTCTCATGACAAGCATAGTCACCTCTTAAGACCTATTCTCTACCCGGATCTTCATGGGTCGATTAGGGGTGTAACAATTCACTGAATTGTACGTACAATGGTGTACTGACTGACCAAACTCTGAATGAAGTTCCAGTAGCTGTTTCCTCCTTAATAAAACACAAGAGGTCCAAAATGTATTGCCAACAGTACAATATCAACCAACAGTCTTGTAGTGACCTAGTACTTTGAGGTAACATCTCTTACATAACTACCAGGAACAACCTTAGTTTATTACTTGGATCACAGTTGCACCAAGTCAATTTTCTTAAGAAAATCACAAGAAGGTTTCAGTTCTTTTTTCTTATGTTTCTGGTGACCACAGCTCCTTCTAACCCAAGGACCAGATTTTACCCTGTTGGGTTCATTTGTGTGAAGCTTGGAAGAAATATTGGAATAATTTTACAAATCTTTGTCTGAACGGATACTGTCCGTGATTGTCTTGTTAACAAAATTAAACAGCAGCTATGGTAGTCTGTCTCATAGTCACCGAATCATATTGTTTTCTCTTCCACCAGCCCTTACTGTAGAACAAATCCCCCTGCACACATCTATGAGCCAAGTAATGAAAGAAACTGGCACAACCTCTAAATGAAAACTGTCATATCTCTCATACTCATACCATGAAAACACACTAAAGTACACATTTATGCTTGTATTTGTTCACAAAGTAATCAAAAAACAAATAAAAGTTCTAAAACGACAAATAATAGTTTAAAAACAAAATCATGCCGATATGCGAAGGCTCACCCTTGTGCGGATACAAAGTAAATACTTCCAAATTAATATCAGTTCATCATGTACAAAACAATGCTACCTCCAGTGTATCACAAATATTCACCTTCAACTGTCATATTATGTGTACTCATGTGCTCCATGAGGTGTTCTGAGCCACCAAATTCCTCCCCACAAAGACCACACTCAAACTGCTTATCACCCCCTCCGTGGATTTTCTTGTGCTTTGTTAAGGTTCCCGACTCGGAGAAAGTCTTGTTGCAGATATCACATGAGAAGGGTTTCTCCCCAGTGTGTGTGCGGATGTGTCTGATGAGTGTGGAATTCTCTGTGAATTGTTTGTTGCAGATGTCGCAGTGGTAGGGCTTGACCCCCGTGTGAGTCAGTTCATGTCGGCGCAGCGTGCTGGCCTCCAAGAACCGTTTCCCACAAGTCAGGCATTCGTGGCGTTTGTCGCCTGTGTGGATTTTCCTGTGACGCCTCATCGCTCCTGTGTCCACAAAAGCTTTTCCACAGATGTCACATTTCTCTTCCCGTATATTCAAGTGTATCCTTCGATGACGAGAAAGAGCACTGGAATCCACAAAACCCTTTAGGCAAATGTCACACTTATGAGGTTTTTCTCCAGTGTGTATCCGCCTATGCCTAACCAAGGCCCCGGATTCAGCAAACGACTTACCACAAATTTCACACCCAAAAGGCTTTTCACCCGTATGAACACGCATGTGCCGCTCAAGTGAGCTCATTAGTGAGAATTCCTTGTCACATGTTGTACACTTGAACACTTTGTCCCCAGAATGCAGCTTGAGATGCTCCTTCAGAGCTGACAAGACCGTGAACAACTTTCCACAAATACCACAAGCTAGTTTCTCAAAATGGACCTCTGCATGCTGGACGAGTTCCTCGTAGGAATTAAACTCCTCCTGACACACCCCGCAGTTGTACGTGCGGTCTTCGTGGGTCCGCTCATGTCGGCTCAGGGAACTGGAATCAGTGAATGCTTTGTTGCAGGACTTGCATTTATAGGGTCTCTCTCCAGTGTGGGTCCTGATGTGGCGGATCAGCCCCGGACTGTCCGGGAACTCCTTGTCACAAGTGTTGCACTTGTAGGGACGCTCACCAGTGTGAATACGCTTGTGGCGGGTCAAACCTGTTGTGTCCGAAAAACATTTCCCGCATTCATCACATTTGTATGACTTTTCGCCAGTGTGGGTGGTCATGTGACGTTTGAGGGCACTACTGTCTATAAACCTCTTCCCACATATGAAGCAGGCATAATCCTTTTGGCCACTGTGGATACGAGAGTGTCTGGTCAGTGCACAAGACTCCACAAACCTCTTCCCACACTCCTTGCACTTGTAAGGCTTCTCTCCTGAGTGTATACGTTTGTGCCGAGCCAGTGAACAGTTCTCAGAGAACGCTTTACCACACACATTGCATACAAATGGACGTTCCTGAGTGTGTGAACGTGTGTGGCGTATCAAGTCTCTATGCTCAAAGAATGACTTTCTACAAAAACTGCACTTGTAAGGCCTCTCCCCTGTATGTATGGTGTAGTGTTTGATGAGTGCAGGCATCTTGTTGAATCCCTTGCCACACAGCTCACACCGAATATTGCTCCTGTCGGTGTGAACGAGCATATGGCGACGGAGGGAGCCCGACTCGATGAACTGCTTGTGGCACACCTGACAAGTGAATGGCTTTTCGCCAGTGTGGATACGGATGTGACGAGCAAGGGATCCTTTCTCTGAGAAACTTTTCCCGCATGTTGAACAACTGTAGGGCTTCTCGCCCGTGTGACAGCGATTATGTCTGGTTAGTGATGAGGTGTCATTAAAGCCCTTACCGCACAGATCACAGAATACTTTGAACAGTTTCTCCAGATTGTTCTGGTGGGTGAACTCATGGCGCCTCAGGGCCCCTACTTCAGTGAAGCACTTGTCACAGTGCTCGCACATGTAGGGTTTCTCACCCGTGTGGGTCCGCATGTGACGTGTCAGACCACCAGACTCCGAAAAGGCCTTTCCACACATTTTGCATCCATGAGGCTTTTCACCAGTGTGTGTTCTCAGATGACGCCTTAAACCACTAGATTCAGTAAACTGCTTGTCACACTCTGAACATTTGAATGGCCTTTCTCCAGTGTGAACACGCATGTGCCTGACCAAGGCGCTATTGTACGAAAACACCATGTCACACAGATTGCACTTCACCAGACTCTCATTCTTTGGCTCCCACACATCGTCCATCGGCTCCCGCTTGACTGATTTTAATCCAGACAAAGAAAAGTTCCACTCCTCATCATCTAGGGGCTCAGATTTTATCTGCACATGGTTGCCGTTCACCATGGTAGGAGTCCAGTCGTAGTCCATTGGCTCGGTCTTAATTTTTTTGTATCTGCCATTCAGTAGGGATTTCTTCCTTCTCTTCCCTGGACTACTGTTTGGTGTGCTCTCAAGTCCTGGTTCGGTCTTGATCTGCAGCCGATAACCATTGCTGTGTCTCCTGTTTTCAGTCTCATCCAATCCTTCCTCCTCATCTGTATTATAACCCGCCATTTTGCTATCATCCTCCCATGATGCCATGTCCTTCTGGTCCTCTGCGTCATCCATATACTGCTCATCTTCACCATAACCAGCCCCGTTGAACTGGTGGTACTTGGTGAGGCTCTCGATATTGATACTGCTGTCCAGCATTTCACTACAGCCGTTCTCGGTGATCTCCTGCAGATCAATGGGAGATACTCTACTCTCGTCATCACTAGATGGCGCCTCTAAAGAGTTCTCATTGGCTCCACCTGTGCCCTCATACTCAGCAATAGCTGCAGCAATCTGCTTACTTTTCAGGCGCATGAAAACGTTCTCCAGCTTCTTATGAACAGATGACCTCTTTCTGCTGGCTATCTCATCAACGAGGGTCAAGGCGCTTTCGTCTTCAGTCTTTCCGGACTGGCTATCTGTGGTGGTTTTCTGACTGTAGTCTGTATCATTGCTCACCGAGTCACTACATACCTCTATACTGTTAGCAGTGTTGCCAAAATGTACTGGGAGATTGTCCTCATCATCCTCTTCCTTGCCTTCGCTGGCCATGTCTTCGCCACTCTCTTCATCTCCATCTTCATTAGGACTGTTGGTGCTATTGCCATCCTCAGAGTTGGCATCGCCTTCATCAGCAGAGTCATCTATGATTTCAGATAAGGAATTTCTATTTGCTGATTGATTTGATGCATCCTCCTCCTGCCAAGGTTGTGATGCATCTCCCATGGATGGATTCGAACCCTCTTCCTCCACAGATGGATTTGAACCCTCTTCCTCCACAGATGGATTTGACCTGTCTTCCTCCTCAGATGGATTTGAACCCTCTTCCTCCACAGATGGATTTGACCTGTCTTCCTCCTCAGATGGATTTGAACCCTCTTCCTCCACAAATTCTGATTCTGTGGCCTGCTTCCCACCTTTTCTTCGACCAGCATGGTTGGTTATCCTCCATCCATCCTCACCCTCACCATCACTGAAAAAGCACACCTTGATTTTCCCAACCTCTGGATTTTCATTTGATTCACTGTGGCAATTTTCAGGAAGCACATGACTACTTTCTGCAACGTCTTCCATTGCAGCCTCCTCTTCATACAGAGTTTCTTCCCTCTTCTTCTGCATGGTCATAAACTGAGGGGAGACAACTCAGAGTGGCCTGTTGGCTTCATCCTACTGAAGCTTGCCATCAGAATATCCTGCAACAACAAAACAAACACAAACAGTTTTAAGACATCAAGATCATATGAACATAATGAATGCTGTCTTGTACTGTGGTAGAAACTAAATAGTCGCTCATCATGGACCTGCTCCCTGACCTGCTCAGAGGCCGATATCCAATATAAAAAAACATCCCAAAGTGAATTCTAAAAATTACAAATCAGGCTAAGAAAAATAACAGTCTTGGTTCTCAGGCACCACCAGCATCATCATAAAGTCTGCTGCACGTTTTGTTTTTATTTCCATTTTCAAAAAAATATAGAAATCCTTATACTTAAAAACAATGCACACAAAAAATTGAAAATGGAAACAAAAACGAAATGTGGAGTGAATGATGAATGTTATGATGATGTGGGCAGTGACTATTATTTTTTTAGCCTAATTCATGAGATTCCAACTTATTTGGAGTGATTGGAGAGAACACTTGTATTTCTCTTATAACAGAAGTAAATAAGGAGGAACGATTTTTTGCTTAGTATTACATTATTGCAAGGTAGACACAATTTTATGGATGACAACTTCTTTAATACTGTAAAAATCAATGTTTCAGTGTAGATCCTTATACCGTTGTCAAGCAAAACTGGAAGAACGTTGCTTTTTACAGTATTAAAGAAGTATTGTTATCCATAAAATTGTGTCTATCTTGTCATCTGTCACCTTCTAAGTAATGCCTATCAAACAATTTACATTATTGCATTGAATGCAATGTTAAAATACCTCTTATTTTCAGAAAAATATGAATTAAAAAAATCCCATTAATGAACAAAATAATGTTTTTCCCAAAATTTGCTGCCAAGACAAATCCCTGGTCATATCATGTCAGTCTGTCATTGCATATTTCAGAAGTTAGAAAAAAGAATGGTAAATGGTATTTATCATTATTACTACCACTGACCTATTAATATAGATCTCACTTGCCAACTGTCATAAAATTATACCATTAGCACCAATTTTGTATTATGAAAATGCCTGACCAAAATAGACATATTTAGTCAAATATGTGGCCCTTGACAAATGTTGAGTGGTATAAATACAACTACTGAATTGTACCATGTACCATTTTGAGTGGTTTTGGTGAAATAAAGAACTTGAACTTTTCAATACAATTTCTCGATTTCTTAATGCTGCACTCATATTATTGTTTGCTTGTTGTTTAACGCTACACTCAGCAATATTTCTGCTATATAATGGCGACCTGTAAATGGTGAGTGAGTGAGTGTGGTTTTACGCCGCTTTTAGCAATATTCCAGCAATATCACGGCGGGTGACACCAGAAATGGGCTTTACACATTGTACCCATGTCGGGAATCGAACTCGGGTCTTCAGCGTGACGTGCGAATGCTTAAACCACTAGGCTACCCGACCTCCCCAATGACCTGTAAATAACTTAGTCTGAACCAGACAATGGCGATTGAATGAGTCATTGGGATGTAAGCATATGCAATCATCCAAGTCACTGAACCTGACGACAGATTCATTCGGTGAACTTTAATGACCAGTGTTTGTGAAGAAAATCAGATATGTTAATTTTAGAAAAGTCACAGAAATTAACAAATTTGAATGAATTTCATGAAAAACTTGATGAAAGTATCAGTAAGTCATCAAAGACTTTTTATCTTATGATGATAATCAATGTAAGTAGTTAACAGGGTGGGGCAGGGTAGGAATTGACAAAATTACAGCCTCCAGAACCAGACTTCTTCCTCCTTATAGAAAGAAGCAATGTAAAATAGTTCCAGATGTAATGAATAAGGAATAAACATTGTTGATACCATGGGTTTAGTCTGTGCCAAACACTTTGAGTCTATTGCCAAGCAGTTGGCTCTTGGCATTATTTTCAGCAGATTTGAATAGTGTAATATGGACTATATATTATTAGCCGAGCTTACTGGACTGAACAAAATCTTTGCTTGACTCAGGTTTTGGACACAAGGCTAAAAGTCGAAGACAGTATGTACATAAACACTGATTCCACACAACTTTGAGGGGTATTGCAAGCATTGTGAGCTTAGTACATATCTAACATGAACCTTAACAATAAATTGGTTCCCCAATAAAAAATCCCCAATAGGTCTAACATTGAAATAGGGAAAGAAATTTATAGGGTAAGTGAGTCAGTTGGGTTTTACTCTGCTTTAGCATGTGTTTATCTGGACCTGCTCCGAGGCTGATATTAGTGTTATAACAAGACCAAAGAAGAGGCAATAACACTTAGTTTTACATTATTTCACTGAGTGGAATGTTCAAACCTCAGAATTTAGGAAAATAGGAACTTTATCAAAAATCCCAATTTTCTAATAAAATAATGATTTTTTAACAAATGTGCCTGACAATAGCTGGTTTAGAAGTTTAGATAAATCTCTGTTTTGCCAATATTCCAGCCATTCCTGCTGGGGACACCAATTAATGGGCTTATCACCCATGTTGGGAATTGAACCTGAACTTTAGGTGTGATGAACAGACGATTTAACCGCTACACCAAAACTAACAAAGTCTACTTGTCTGATTAGTGATAAAATATATGATCATCCCAAAATAGTCTTAAATTATCCCAGCTCTCAGAATACAATTAACATGAAGCATATTTGCTTTAAGCTTGTGGCATAACTAAACCAAATAAGCACATGCTCTATGAATAAAAGAAAATACAAATTCATATTCAATATTCCAAACATCCCTGCAGGGTAGCAGGAGTCCCATCAACAAAATAAAAAAAATGCTTCATGAATAGTCTGATTCAGAATTAAAAGCACTTCCCAATGTTTGGGGAGAAAAAAAGCCAAGAACTAAGATTAATGCCTCCTTATGCAAAAAGCTATGTTACTGAATCTTAAAACTCATTTTCAATCATGAAGATACTTGAACAAGTCGAAACTCTCAAGGAAATATTAACACTGGTATTAGACGTCACACAGGTTGCCCCAGTCGATCAGAAGAGTGCACTCTCCTTTCCTGAGTTTGTATATATCTTAAATGTCACAAAAAATGTACAGGTTGATGCTTAAGTGATTCTTTAATATCAGTGAATCCACCCTTTTTGGAATTTTTTTTCTTTCTGAACTATGAAAGCTCCCCCACTCCCTTTATTCAAAAACTACATGTCCAAAGTCATTCCCTTTCTCTTCTGCGACTAGATTTCTACACAGGTCTGCAATAAATAATCATGCTTAGAAAAAATAGTTATTTTTTGTGCATGACAACATGGTGCACACAACATAGTAGACAAAGAATGAATATTACTTTTATTTTGTTTACTCCTAATGGCTGAATGCATCATTAGATCTAGGCCAACAACATTTGAGCATAAATCCACATCTTGCATGTCAACGGTTTTAAATCCTGATTGATCAAGGATGTTAATTTGTTGTGACATTTACAAAAATTATGATTCTACATTTGTGGTCGAGTACAAGCTCCACTAAATACTGTCGTGAAGCAATTGGCCCTCTGAAAATCATTCTGCAGTTAGGCTGTAAGCTCGAGGCTAACTCTGAAAGTAGGATCGACAAATGCATAAAACACCCCGAGAAACAGCAATTAGGGAACTACAAGCTTCTCTTTCTCCGAGCATTTTTTCAAAAGACGCATGCCTCTGCAAGCGTCGTTACCCTTCTTCGCTGGGCGACCGTAATCCCGCACCCTGCCACACACGCTCTCCGACCTGTCATTCACAGCGTACACAATTACAATGAAGAAGTTTCAAAGTTTGTCTTACTGAAGCTGAATAAAATCTTTCAAAACAATGACATAATACCAAGAAAGACGGATATCAAAAACAATTTCCCTATTGGGAGTAACATTCCGCAGTGACACGCATGCATGGTCCGACCTCCCGTCTCACCCTGAAGTGGTCGGGCCGAATAATGAGGTCGCACTCCGCCGAGGTGTGTGCCTGTGTCACATCCCGCAACTTTACCGAAAACAGCTTGTCGTTGCGAGATTTTGGATATTTAGTTTGGTTATAAAGGATCTTAACATACATGTGGAACAGTTATGTTGATATAACAACCCTATGGTGTCGAGGAGACGCACAACTCAAATTACCTCCACACCGAGACCACGTCTGAGGCTGCGACTTCACCGACCGCCATCTTGAGCCAAGGGAGGTAATTTGAGTGGTATGTGACTGTCCTCTTGGCTACGGTTACCCAGAGAAGAGATTTCGTTGTGAGGATTATCCAAGCTTATCGGCTTGTCCGTGAACAAGTTTCATATACTTGCAGGCTGACGACTGATAAGGGCCAAGTAAAAATCGTGGCTTATATTTTACGAATATTTTATTGGGTTAATTGAAATATGCATTTCTTCTTAAAATTGTTCTTATTCAAAAACAAATGTAATAATTCAACCAATAATTCATACATCCTAATGATGTTATTCGTTGCTATGGTTAAACTTTACATTTTCAAACTGAGTTACTTTTATTTCTTAAAAAGCAAATTGACTCCCTGGTCTAGTGGATAGGGCGTCTGCCCGGAGAGCGGAAGGTAGATGGTTCGATCCCCTGGTTACGTCATACAAAAAGACGTTAAAATCTGATGCTCTTTGTTGTTAAACATGTCTGGCGTTCGGAATTTAATGGGTTGAAACGAAAACTGGACGGCTCAATCGGAGTCGGTGATGGTGAGGCTGTGTTGCGTTAAACAGTCACATTGTATCTTAGCACATAATTGTTAGCACATAAATACGGACCACACACACACACACACACACACACACACACACACACACACACGTCACTATATAAGTGCCAGAAAATTGAAGGTGACGTTAATCCCATTGCACCTCACTATATCTAACAACTTTTATGTACATTGTATTAGATTGAAAATTTAACACGTATAACAATACCTTTTCATTGTACTTCTTGCCATTCGTTTAAGTATCCTCCCTTGAGCGTTTAAGTTGGTGTATCTTTAACAGACGTTACCCCATAGATATTTTGTCAGGGCTTAGCGAGTCACGTGACTATTTTTATGGTTGTGTTTAATTAGACCTTTGTTAATGAACACACAATTCAACACGGCCAACTAATTAGATGAGCCATGGAACAACACGATCACATTAATCACTTTGTTTCATTATGTTGTTAACAATGGGCAATTTGGTAAAGAAAAAAATAGCCTAACGAGAACTACTTCTTCCTCTTGTTTGTAAAAACGAAATAAGAAAGTTTCTGTCAACATAAATTCAAAGCCGTCAAGTATAAATGAAAACAATACAATTTATTCATGATTTTTTCTTTCGGCAAGAGTTTCTACAATTTCTTTGCAATGCGAACCTGAAGCCACGCGTAAACTAACATCTGTAAAGTCTCTGAAATAAACAGTTGTTAAATTATCGTAATAAAATATAATTAAAAGAAGCCCAGAGACTATCTTCATTTTCAGACTAACATTGCAGACTTACTGACTTACTCATTTTAATAGACTTCACCCGTGAAGAATAGGTCTTCAGCATGCAATGCTTGCCGTAAAAGGCGACTGTGCTTGTAGTATAAGAGGCGACTAATGGGATCGGGCGGTCAGGCTCGCTGACTTGGTTGGTGCATGTCATCGTTTCCAAATTGCGTGGATCGATGCTCATGATGTCAATCACTGGATTGTCTGGTCCAGACTCGATTATTTACAGACCGACGTCATATAGCTGGAATATTGCTGGGTGGGGCGTTAAACAACAAACAAACAAATATTTGTTTTAGGGCCGGTATGGCAGGCTAAACGAGACGGACAAGACTATATACTTATATATAGCCTTAAAAAGTAACGTTTCTCTCTACCCGTGTAGATCCGGGTTAGAATAGGTCTTCAGTTACCCATACTTGTCGTAAAAGGTGACTATGCTTGTCCTAAGAGGTGACTAATAGGACATAATAATTGAAAAAAAACATGTCCCGTGTCGTATATTCAGTTGCAGGAAGCAAACGTCAGATAAAGCGTATTTATATTACAAGTATAAAAAAGTCCCAAATGAGCGGGTTTTAAAGTGATGATCCGATACCCGAGAAACATACTGTCTTCGTAACGTACATTAAAGATAATGTAGTAATTCCTAAAATGGACCTTGAGTGAATCTTATCAGGATGGTGAAAGAAATCAGGATGGTGGCAAATAAACGTCAAATTAACCCCTACAGCGCTGGCACATGACGGTGCCTGGTGGTTCAAACATAACCTGCACATTTTTTAAACCTGATGATAGCTCAGCTAAATATATTCCTTGATCAAGTTCAAACTTCATACATCAACACGGTAATAAAGTGTATACATAGGCCAACATTGGCATAATTAACCCTTTATATTTGATAAAAGGTGGACACAAAATCGGCCTTATATAGGAATTTAAAAGACAACTGTCAAAATTTGAATCGAAGCAGCTGCTAAATTTTAAATGTTTCAGAACATTTATAACCCGGGATAAGGTATGTTGAAATGTTCCCAGACCCAATCCACAAATTTAGCCCAAATTTCCACAAATAAAGTATGTTTAACTATATTTACAGTCATCTAAACAGGCTAGGGGCCGCGATTCGCTGTGCAGAGTTGCGTCCCTTGGGCACGCCAGAAACCTATGATTGTGGGTTCGAATCCCGGTTCGCCCCGATTATGTTTCTAGGTTTGTCAGCACCATGCCCGTGCTCGTGGGTTTCACCGAAGTGGTAAACGTCTGAGACCTGCATCACTTCGGGCTTTCCTCCCACATTAAGCTGACACGCCGCGATATGCGTCATGCACACTACAAAGGCCCTCAACAATAAAAAGACTTGCCATGTCTACTTTCAGCTGGTATAAAACTACAATGTTCGGCTTCGTCATTACTTTTGTTATGAATAAAAGAAAGACCCATTAAAATGGGATCTTTTACTCAGATAGGATCCCTCTCTCAACGCACAGAAGAGACAGATCTAAATTCCATGAGACTGACTCAGAAGCGACATTAAAGCAAAATCTTCATGTTTCCAAGAACACTTATCTTTGCTTGGCACTTTATTTTTCATAAGTTGGTTTGCCAACAAAATTGGTCGAATGTTTAACCAAACAAATGTATTTAACTTTCATATTAGTACTGCTACTAATAAATGAAAACAAAACAACCTTTAACATTGCAAGATACCGAAAGATTTGTGATTGATTTTGGGGGGTTAGAATGACGATTTTTATACATGTTATTCACCATTTCTTTCGAACAGCTGTGGTAAAATCTCGTGTGATTCATCATCTTACCAAATAATAAAACAGAATCGGTTCAATACACAAATTGTTCAAAGTTTTAATTTTTTTTTTTTTTTTTTTTGGTTGGAAGGTCTGATAAATCAACTGGAAAATAATACAAGGTCTTGACTTTCTTGATCATAAGAGAGTTATGTAGGATACACAGAGTTGGAATATTAAGCTGCAATAGAGTAGCATTCTTACGAAATTTATGTTGACATTATGTGGTATTACCTATGGCGAACTCTTATTAAAGCACATATGTGCTCAAAACATAAGAAATAGGTCAAGAACTAAGATTAACGCCTCCTTATGCGAAAAGCTATATTAACTGAATCTTAAAACTCATTGCCAATCATGAAGATACTTGAACAAGTCGAAACTCTCAAGGAAATATTAACACTGTATGGTATTGGCCGTCACACAGGTTGCCCCAGAAGATCAGAAGAGTGCACTCTCCTTTCCTGCTTTTATATATATCTTAAATGTCACAAAATATGTACGGACTGATGCTTAAGAGATTCTTTAGTATCAATGAATACACCGAGGAAGAGTTGGAATATTAAGCTGCCATAGATTAGCATTTTTACGAGATTACTGTTGATTTTAAGAGATATTAACTATGGCGAACTCTTAGTAAAGCAAATATTTCCTCAAAACATAATGCGAATGATACGAGTACGTATTAAAAGTTTGCCTAAGATTTGAATCTTGCTGTGATATTTTACTTGTTGTTTTTTACACATTAATAAATTTATCATTCAATACAAGGACTCCATTTTTATTGTTTTATTTATTGTGCGGTCATCTTCCCGCGAGGACGTCTTGTGATTTTCAAGTAGTGGGGGCTGATTAAAACAACAACAGAAAGAGAAATGAATGGGTCAACATAGATCAAGTTAAGCACTGTAATAATTTTGCAAAGGACGATCTTTGAGGCGGGGATGTACTCACTAAAAGCAGCTCAAATATAACCCAACTTTATTTGACAGCTGGCCTGCTATTTAATTGGTATTCATACTAAATATTTGTTTACCCAGATACTGATATTTTCCGATTTCGCAGTAAATGGGAATACACGGCGAACAAGTCATCGAAACATGCAAAAATATCATATCAGTTATATCGAGTATGTGATTTTGTATGATGTTAATTACAGTAGCACTGTCTGACTCTGTTATCTTTTCACACTGACCTGTATTCGAAACCGTTTGTTCACGTTGGGGTGTCTTTTAATCGTCTGACTGAATCGCGTACATTTGTAGATTTGAACGACACCTGAACGGTACTAATACAATATATACATTATTGTTGCCTGCGAGCACAATTGGCCTTTCAATGTTTTCCGAATTACACAATGTCAAAATAAATTTAAAGTTGCAACATTATAATTATATCGTATCAAGTCTTTGAAAGGCAAATAGAAGTGATACACATGAAGAAGATAATTTACGGATGTCAGCTTCTTTATCATGTGGAACTCAACGTTTCGGAGGTGAACCTGATGAAGGAGTAAGTATATTCTCCGAAAGGTTGTGTTCTTCATAATAAAGAAGTTGAAATTCATAATACTTCTCTTCCTTGTTGGAATTATAAATATCGGAAAACGTTAGTGATCTATATAATATATTACACTGGCTCGCATAACGCATATTTTCTCCATTTCCACAAAGCATTTATAACCATATCTTAATAAGATACGATCAGGGACGTTGGGCCCCCATTTGTCTAAAACTGTTGTTTTGGGTCTCTAGCTCTTACGCTGTCGCCTATGAGCTGCTAGCACTATCATTCAAGAGTCAGACCCCAGTTCGACGGCACACCTGTTCTGTACTGACTTCGCAACTTAATATGTCTATTTAAAAGATACTTTATATGAAGTACTGTTATTTCATGTATTTAACATAAAATAATAACAATATAATTTGATGAATATATGCTTGTATTTTCAAACATGATAAATCAGACAACGGAGAAGATATGATTTTTCTTCCATCCATGAACTATTTACTAAATATTAGTTGTCAAGAACTAGGAGCCGGCGCTTCAATTAATCCTTCCGGCCACGTGACCTTTCCTTTTCGTGCCTATGGTCGCCACACTTCTGTCTATATTAGCAGCCTTCGCCAAAACCAAAAATATGGCAACAGAACGCACGTTTATTGCAGTGAAACCCGATGGAGTCCAACGCGGACTCGTCGGAGAAATCATGAAGAGATTTGAAAATCGTGGCTACAAACTGGTTGCCTGCAAAATGATGACGGTACGTTGATCGTTGCGATGTTGGAGATACACGTGGTTTGTCGCGACTGTCACGGAGTGACTCGATCTCCACCGAGTTTAACCCGTGGAATTTTGTAGATATAATTCTCCTTCGACATGCTGAAGTATCCCAGTCAACATCATGAAACCGAATGTCGATTTACATTTAACCTGACCAGTACATTAGGCCCGGAAAGAATAGTCTGATTTCAAAGATAAATTCTCCTCGGTCTCCGCAAATATTTGCCGAGGAAGTAATTTTTTCTGAAATTAACGTAGGTGCGAGAAAAAAGTATTGTGGCACTTTGCCCTGAAGGCCCAGATTTTCTCAAAACGAGGGTTAAAGCAAGGCAAACTGGGAAAAAACCCCTCTATTATCGATCACTCCTTTTGCGTCATCACGATAATGAGATGTAGGTACTGATTGCAAAAAATAGCGAATTGAAATAGAACATCATAATAGTTTACATGCGTGATACACCCCCCAACCTCCGTCTCAAGCACTTGGTGTCAATAAGAAAAATATTTTGCTGCATTATGATTCCCAAGAAAGAGTTTGAGCCATCTTAATTCTTATGAAAGATAACACAGAAACTCATCTGCAGACTTTACCTTCTGAACATCTTGGTGATCTACAACAAATAATTATAACAACTGGTTCTTTAAACATTGTCATTGCCTGGAACCGTCCTGTTGGGTAAGTGTACTGACATGTGAAGCAGTAAGTGCATAGTAATTGACCCCATTGTCTGAAAGCTGCTATTGTTGAATTACTGTTTCAGGCTTCCAAGGAACATCTTGAAAAGCATTATTCTGATCTGTCAACCAAGCCATTCTTCGCTGGCCTTGTCAAGTACATGGGATCTGGACCAGTTGTTGCAATGGTAGTACATATTTGTTGATGATTATCTGTACATTTATAATTCTCCAAATGAAGTCTAATGGTGCCATGATATTATTACCCTGGTCTTTAGATAGGGTGCACAAAAATTTCATTCTCAGCTGCCTGGGGGAGTCTACATACCAAGCTGAGGTCTTGAATGTTTAACAGCCAAATTACCGTCATGTCCTACCGAGTACACATTCACCGCCATGGGCATGGGTGGTCCAGTCGTTTGAGGGAACATTTGAACATGGGTTCATGTCCCAAGTCACCCTGAGTATGCTTCTAGGTTTGTCAGCACCATATCCATGCTCGTGGGTTTCGCAAAAGTCGTAAATATATACTGAACAACAAAAGTTCCTGTGACATTGAATAATATTTAATGCAAAGTTATGTTTTTTACCAAATCTGAAACAATTTCGGTTTGCAACAGATAAAAGACTCCAGTAAGTGTTCAAATGGTTTAATTTGCCATACTGATTTCAGAAAAAAACATGAACATGCCAAAATGTCAATTTACAAATCAATAGCGTGTGTGTCCACCTCTGGTTGCGATGCAAGCAACACATCTTCGTCTCATGGAATGGACCAGGCGTTGCACAAAGTCCTGTGGGATATCTGTCCATATCTGTTGGAGCATGTTTCGAAGTTCATGGAGTGTCTGTGGAACACGTGGTTGATGTCGAAGGTGCCGACCCATCTCATCCCACATGTGCTCGATTGGTGAGAGATCAGGGGAGCGAGCCGACCAGGGGATGACATTCACGTTGTTTTGTTGAAGAGAATCCTGAACCAAGTCGAGAAATATGAGGCCGGGCGTTGTCATGTTGAAAGGTAATGTCTGGGCCATGATGACGCAAAAACGGTAGAACAACAGGGCCTATGATCTCGTCGCGGTTGCGCTGTCCATTGAGATTTCCCTCTACCACTATCAAACGGGTCCTCAGTCTTGCTGTAATCCCTACCCATACCATAACGCTGCCACCCCTGAACTGATCTTCTTCCATGACACAATGATTGACGTAACGTTCACCTTGACGTCGGTACACTCGAATCCGTCCATCGCTGTGGCTGAGGTGAAAATGACTCGTCAGTGAATAGAACTTGTCCCCACTGCATGGCTGTACAGCGTAGATGCTGTCTGTACCATTGTAGACATGCTTGACGATGGTTTCCCGTAAAAATGGGACTTCTGGCGGGTCTTCTGGCGACAATCCCTGCACATCTGAGGCGGCGATGTAAGGTTTGTGAAGATATTCGTCGAAGGCCAGTCGCTGTTGGAGGTTGGAATGGATTTCGTAGGTGTGTTGTTCGAATCCAGTTGTCTTGTCGATCATTGGCTACGCATGGCCTGCCACTCCGAGGACGGTCTCTGGCTGCATTCGTCTGTTGCCAACATTGCCATAAACACCAAATTGTGTTTCTGTGGACGTTAAATTGTCTTGCAACATCAATTTCACTCAATCCTGCTTCAAGCATACCAATGGCTCGCAGACGCTCATTTTCGGACAGGCATGGCATTTTGTAATGTTGAATAATTGTGTAATTTCGTTTTTCTGAGTGGTTGTCAGCACGATGCTAAACAGTGCATATGGAATCCCGTTAACGCACATGTTTTTATACCCACTCTTGGGTAGTGAATGGGGCTTGCATAAAAGTCAACTTTTGCATGGAATGCATGCTTTTCTGTAGCTGTTGCGTTTTTGTGACTTGATTCCATACATGTACTACAATATTGAAAACCAAACTTTACTTGTTTGAAAAATACACTAAAACATTGGTGTCACAGGAACTTTTGTTGTTGAGTATATGTGACCTGCATCACTTTGGAGTTTCCTCTCACATTAAGCTGACACACCGTGAAAGAACTGGAATACTGTTCAAAGCCAGGGGTCGACTGCTGGCCTTTTGGCCCGTGACCAGTTAAAATTATGAAACGCTTGCTGAAAGAAAGAGTAGAGGGCCTGTCTGGCTTGTAAAAATTTCCCCCCTTCTCTGTGTATGTTTAATTTTTTATTTGGACACTCCTTATGAATCATGTTATTTCGGTAAGAAAATATTAAGGGGGGATGAGGTGTGAATGGTTAACTCAAAGATCATCTTGGTAGAATGACACAATCGATGGCCATTTTGTAATGTTCTGTACAACAACATCTTTCTTTGCTCTTAAATCGCCACAAAATGAGGCAAATGGAAGCCAAGATTTAATCTCAGAGTGCAGGAAAGGATGTTTTAGGGGTGAGCAGTTCTAAAATTGTCGGTGCCCCCATGGTTACTCAGTCGTGGCCTCTAACATTTAGTTTTGGGCCAGTTAGTTTGGAGAAGGGCCAGTAACTTTTCAAAGGAGCAAGCTGTCCTGGCTACATACACATTTGTTGTTAAATCTACCCCTGAAAGCCGCATTAAACCCACCTGACTCACTCCTCTCAGCAACCTACATTACTTACCCTATGATCATGTGGTTAATGATGTAACCATGATATTTGTCTTATGAAATAAACAAGTAGACATGTACTCTTTTAGAACCTTGTAGACAAGTAACAGGATATTGATATATTGACTCTATTTTCTTTAGATTAAAAAATAATCTTACAGAATTTTTACTGGTGGTCAGGTGTTAATGATTTTTGGCTGATTAATGTCAACTTCTATAACAGTATTAAGTGGTGCTCATGATATCACCCACTGGTTGGTCTGATCCAGACTTGTCATCCATCAATGATATACGTAAAGTTAATGCCACTTTAGGCTTCCAGCAACATCTCAGCAGGAACATAGACATGAGTTTCACATATTGTACCCAGGTGGAAATAGAACCTGGGCCTTTGGCATGAAGAGCGAACACTCCATCCACTGGGCTACACCACCACTCCAGATATACAGGGACCACTAATTGTAATTCATTATAACCATAATTTGTTATGAGCATATATACAGCAAATGACCGGGACCAAAAAATAAATTTGTTAGTTCGTTACAAGCGTGTTTGTTATGAAAGCAGTGTACTGTACCTGGAATATTCTACTTGCAGCTTAAAACAGTGTTCACTCGCATAAAATAAATGACACTTTGAAAACAATGTTGCAGTGGTTCATGTCTGTGTTGTGTATTCCAGGTATGGGAAGGCAAGGGGGTGGTGAAGATGGGCCGCATGATGCTGGGAGCCACCAACCCACAGGAGTCCAACCCAGGCACCATCAGGGGAGACTTCTGTATTGAAGTTGGCAGGTAGGAATGAGGGTTCCGGGGAACAATTCATTTCAGGGGTAAAATGTAATGCAGTATATTGAGATAAGGTATCTGTACTGCGATATATTGGGAGCTGAAGTGATTGACACTGATTGACACTGATTGTACATCCTACATTCTACATACTAAAGTATATATTACTTAGTATAGTCGGTCGTCGCAATTTTGTAGTCGTGGATACAGGGGAGAAAACAATGAGAGAAAAATCACTTCACCGTTTGTCAATCAGTTTTGAAGGGAAACGTCATTGGTGAATGAGTTAGTGTAGATTTTAGGTTAAACAATACAAACGAAAACAAAACTTTTTTAATTTTTGTACCCAATGTTACCGGAACACAGAAAAATATTGCAATATGTTCATTTGAAACCTGTATTGCAGTATACCCGTAATACCATGCAGTCCTATAAATAAGACTAAATGGAGGATCATGTTCCAGTCAACTAGCCTCGATTTATGCTGCTGCATACATTACAGTTAATTTTAGTCCTTGCATAATATGGACAAACGTTACTAGATTTTTCAGTTAGTGCCTTACATTGAAAACCACTTGACACTGTAGTTTGGTTACTTTGTTCCAGTCTGTTTTGTTGAGAGGCTGCTTTGACACAGCTGAGGTGCAAACCGTCTGCTTAAAACTGGAAATGGGTGTCTGGTATTAAGACAGTGCAATGATGCAGGATGATTGGGGTGGGGTGGGGTGGGGGGGCGGGCGGGCGGACGGGCGGGCGGGGAGGGGATTGGAGGGTAAGACAAAGGTGAATGAATTCCCTATTCACAGCGCCATTGTCTGCTGAAAGCTTTGTTTCCCACTCTCCTCCCCCCTCCCGTTTCTCCTCAGAAAACAAAGGGAGTTAATTTTGTCAAAGCCTATATGTCAAGGACCAGGGACATATCTCAGCATTTATTAAGCAAAGAATTTCTCTCTGACTGGTTGACTGAATGATTTTGCAAAGTATTAATGTCAAATTAAGCTTCACAATTTTATAGATGTTTGAGTAATCTCAAAATAAGTTTGCGTGGTTGTGTAGGCTGAAAAGAAATGAGTGTAAAAATAGGAAGATCCGCGATCAAACAAATAAAATAACAATTGCCTGGCAAAGGTGTGATTACAATAGTGTTGCTATGTGCATCATCCTGCCCTAGTGGCCATGGTATGTCTGGCACCAACTGAACATGTTATGTGGTGTCAAGAAATGGTAGGACTGTTGTTGACTGCAGAGTAAAACATTTAACATTGCAGTATGTGTCATATTGTAGTCTCTGATGACAATGTATTATTTTCTTCCCAGGAACATCTGTCATGGCAGCGATGCAGTAGAGAGTGCCCAGAAGGAGATCGCTCTGTGGTTTACCCCCCAGGAACTCTGCAATTACGACAGCTGTCAATCTTCATGGGTCTATGAATAAATCTCAACTTTAATTTATTAAATGAAAGAAGCATGACAGTTATTGTGCTCATGACAGTCAGTGCAGCGAAACAATAACTTGGTAACATTTCCAACAGTTTAAAATCATTATACACGGGAGATAACTCTCCGCTTTGTTAGATCTTTTGCAGGACCTATTGGTCAGCTTCCTGTTATGTCAAGTGCTATACTTATACAGTCATGTCTACTGGTGTCGGAAGTAAACAGTGCCAGGCATTCATCTAATCTTGTTGTGTTTTTTTACTCCTGACATGGGGAATGTGGGGGCTGGAATGTCCTGTCTGCATGACAAATTCAGAAACATATTTTCTCTTACAAATCATGATTATGTTGCCATGGCACCAGACTCGTGCTCGTGGGTGACACCAAAGTGCTAACATCTGAGCTACATCACTTAAGCCTCCCTGGTAAAGGGTAGAGCATCCGCCCGGAGAACAGAAGGTCAGGGTTTTATTCCCAACCGCCTCATACCAGAAGACGTTAAAACTTGTTACCCTGTCTGGTGCTCGCATTAAGGGCCCTGAAACGAGGACTGGTGGGCTCAGAGTCAATATACTGTGTCTGAGTGGGGTATTCATGTTGAACTGTGGCATGGTATCTCAGTGGGCTAGCGCCATAAATCAACATTAGTCCCGACTAGTACAAGCAGCCACACATGCATGCATGTCGCTATATAAGTGCAACAATCTTGAACACGACATTAAACCCCATTTCACCTCACCATTTGCAAGATTTTCTCATATGTTTCCAGGAAGGGCGAATTGTTTCTCACCTCTCGAGAACGTTCGCTTGTCACGCCGAAGACCCGGGTTCAATTCCCGACATGGGTACATTGTGTGAAGCCCATTTCTGGTGTCGAGAACACATCAGTTTGACCCAGGCAGATGATGATCAGTTATTTCTTTTTTGACAACACAGCCTCTACGAATGAAAAAAACCCACACATCCTACTTTTCTCCCGTGAAATATGTCAACAGCTAGATCCCTGTTTTACAGCAGCCGCTTGAGAATCGTGTGGGTTAAGCTGATCGATTTCGGTGTCTTTAGTACTTATGTATTCTATATGTGGAATCGCGTACTGCCCTTTCTGCTCAATGCATCGCCACGTTTTAACTTTCAAAGGAAGATAATTTATTATTTATTGGACATTACTCCAAAACCCCATGGACCTAAATATGGAATTATTTTCCGTTTTTAGGCCCCATGAGCGTAATTCCGCGTGGGCTTAAACACGAGGATTACCGGCGTTTCCAGGCCAGATATAATTTACGAGCGTTTCTTTAGACTGTCGTAACGCTCTTTCATACACAATGAATGTTGATGTCGGCGGTTTGTAAGTTGCCTTGCGGTTCAGTCACTTGATACAAAAGACGTTAAAAGGTGGTACTTGTTATTACCCTGTCTGGCGCTCGGCATTAAGGGGATAAAACAAGGACTGATCGGCTCGGAGTCTGTATACTGTGTATGTGTGTGGCATTGATGTTAAACTGTGGCATGGTATATCAGTGGGCTAGCACTCATCATCCCGAGGCAAGAGAGTTAACTTTGCCGAACTAGGCTGGAATTCCTGGGCTCGATCGTAGCGCCACCAGTGGCTATTACGAGTTATGTCCTTTCTATGCCTCTCCTATTGACCAATCAGATTCAACCTCTCGTATCACTTGCATTTGCTTCAAACAAAACGGTGGCGCCCAGTCAAGACGATCTGATTGATAATCAAGATCTATATTGTGATAAAACGAGTCTTACATCGCGAAGTGCATCAAATCACGTGAGCACCTTGATTAAAAGCATGAAAAGATTTAGAAAATATCTATTGACAACGAGTTAGCGGTGCACATGCTTTGCAAATACTGCATGAAAACTGCATGACACTTTACGAACCGGATTTCGATTTCAGTGCGCGATTTTGATTGGACTATGCATAGACTCATTAGTCCAGCCAAAATGTAACTCCGTAATACCAGCCTAGTTCGGCAAGAGAAACTGGACTTTTAAAGTCAGTTAACTCACTTGCCTCGGGAAGATGGCTAGCACTATAAATCGGCATTAGTCCCGACTAGTTCAAGCTGCCACACATACACACATGCATGCTTGTCGCTATATAAGTGCAATAATCTTGAACGCGACGTTAAACCCTATTTCACCTTACCATTTGCAAGCCCTTCTCATATGTTTCCAGCAATGGTGAATTGTTTCTCACCTATCGAGACCACATTCGGTTTGACCGAGTCGGATAATTGGCAACAATCTTGAAGGCGACGGTAAACACCATTACACCTCACCTTAAGTTAGAATTGTAGTTTGTGTTGTGCGGATGGTGTTCAAATGTAAAATGCATTTCTTACAGAGGGTCCCAGAGAGCTTAAGGTCCGGGGTTCGATCCCCTGCCGCGTCATACCAAAAGTGAGTGAGTGAGTGAGTTTGGTTTTACGCCGCTTTTAGCAATATTCCAGCAATATCACGGCGGGGGACACCAGAAATGGGCTTCACACATAGTACCCATATCGGGAATCGAAACCGGGTCTTCAGCGTAACGAGCGAACGCTTTAACCACTAGGCTACCCGACCGCCCCTCATACCAAAAGACGTTAAAATATGGTACTTATTGTTATCCTGCCTGGCGCTCGGCATTTAAAGGACTAAAACAAGGACTGGTCTGAGTCTGGACGCGACGTTAAACCCCATTTCACCTCGCCTTACAGAGGGGCTTCCGTAGGATATGCCTGGATCGGGGGATATTCTGTAGACAATGCATGGTATGACGTCACCGGAGGTTTATAAGTATAGTTTGATAAGGATGTGAGGGTTATATCCTTCCAACACATGCTAACACTAGAGAAGACATAATGAAACTATAGCCGGGTCTCAGTCATCTTCCCGAGGCAAGAGAGTTAATTGACTATAAAAGTCCAGTGCCGAACTAGGCTGGTATTATGGAGTTGCTTTTTAGCTGGACTAACGAGTCTATGCATAGTCCAATCAAAATCGCGCACCGAAATTAAAATCCGGATCGTAAACTGTGGTGCAGATTTCGATCGATTACAGGATTTGCAAAACGTGCACTGCCAACTCGTTGTCAGCAGATATTTTCCAAATCTTTTCATGTTTTTAATCAAGGTGCTCACGTGATTTGATGCATTTCGTGATGTAAGACCCGTTTTATCACAATATAGATCTTGATTATCGATCAGATCGTCCTGACTAGGCGCCACCATTTTGTGTGAAGCAAACGCAAGTGATACGAGAGGTGGAATCTGATTGGTCCATAGGAGAGGCTTAGAAGGGACATAACTGGTAATAGCCACTGGTGGCGCTACGATCGAGCCCAGTAGTTCCAACTTAGTTCGGCAAGGGTGGAAACTGGACTTTTAAAGTCAGTTAACTCTCTTGCCTCGGGAAGATGGGTCTCAGTACACTTACACTTGCACGCTTTGAATAGGTTCGACTACAAAAAACATGGGGAGAGTGTTCAGGGAGGAGTACCCCATTATCTCGTTAAAGTAGGCTTATCTTCGTTATATCGAGGAGTATCGCAATTTAGGATTTCAAATTGCGTAACCCCATGATAAGGGTGAATTAGAACCACTTACAAATTCCATGTGGTTTCAATGCGATGTCTACAGAGCATCCGACAAAACCAGTGGTTGATTTTAGCAACCTCACACACGCTCTGGGAACGAGGAAACACAATTCAACAAATTGCCTAGCATGACCACCCTGTCGCATGTTGGCAATATCGTGCTGGGACTAGGGCTTGGACGAGTCCGAATTAACTACCCGGGTACCCACCGCCCTATTACCCGACCCGACCCGGGTACCCACTGTAGGTCTCAAGAGATAGGTACAAAATGGCACTGGCAAAACGTATTTAGATACATGCATTAAACAATCTGGTCATGCATACACGGAAGTTGACTCAAGTTATATCGTTATTCAAAGATATGAAACGTCAGAAGAAATGGGTGCATGATCAGAAAGAAATGCGAACATGTGTGACTTGTAGTGTAACCATAGAGTTCCAGATATTTTTTGTCATTAAACAATATATCACGTGACTCACCACGGGTCCGGGTAGTCCTGTGGGTACCCGAGTTCTACTCAGTACCCACCCGACCCGGGTACCCGAGTTCCCCGTCCCAGCCCTAGCTGGGACCTATTCTAATCTAACTCCGTGGTTTCAGTAGCAACCGCTCCGCCTTCAGGCAAGTCCAAGCTCGTCATTCCAAGAGTTTGATCGGAGGCTGCAATGATCGTTGAGATTTGTTTCGATCGCTGATACGATAGCAGGTCAAAAAGAATATAACCCGTAGAGCGTCCCTGACTTGTGTTTGTTGACTTTTATATGCCCCCTGTGTCTAATGACTTGAAATATGATGTTATTGAAGGTTTATTTTATTTGGTATAAGGCTTCCGGCCATATACAAATGAGCTATAGGCCACAGCTTGCATAAATGGTTGCTAGTTTTCAACAATTTCTTTACCTTGAGTAAATATGAGGCAGTCCACCAAAAAGCCGCCCCCGCCCTGCAAACTGATGTTTGAGAACCAGATAGACGTACATTTGCGACACAAAATCGTTTAATAATTAACGTATGGCGTATACGATCGCATTGTTGAATTATTTAATGAATTGGATTAAAACATCACAATTCCGTTAACGAAAGGGGATGATTCTCTTTCGATAACAAAAGCAATAAATCAAACAGAAAGAAAAGTGATATTAATAAATTTAAAAGCTATTTGACCCGTGAAGATCCGGGGTAGAATAGGTCTTCAGCAACCCATTCTTTCCGTAAAATGCGACTATGCTTGTCGTAAGAGGCGACTAACGGGATCGGGTGGTCAGGCTCACTGACTTGGTTGATGCATGTCATCGTATCCCAATTGCGTGGGTCGATGCTCACGCTGTCAATCACTGGATTGTCTGGTCAAGGCACGATTCTTTACAGACACCCGTCATATAGATGGAATATTGCTGAGTGCCGGGTTAAACAACAAACAAACATAAAAGCTATTTATGTATTTCGGTTTAATGTTTATTTCTAATTCTCTTAAAGATAACATTTTTAGATCGTCTAGGCAGTCTAATATTGCCCATTGAATGGAACCACGGGGCCCAGTATTGCAGAAAAGCTTGAGGGAGGTCCGTATAGGCTTGATTACCTCCCTTTGATGGATAGATGGCTATCAGGGTGAGTTGGTTTTAACGCCTCTTTT